AGAACAGTGTGGGCAGGCTTGAGACTTGCTTCGAGCGTTGCGAACACTTTTTTAACGCGCAAGTCAGAAATGTCGTATGTGCGTTATGGCCGGCTTTTATAGACGCTTTGGGCCAGCAGCCACTGCAGTACTTATAGCCATTCAGAGAACACAAATGCCTCCCATATACCCACCAACTGCCAGTGGTATCCCACAAACGGAGCTCGATTGCCGATCTCCTCCCCGTGTCCCCCAAATTCCCCCCGAGCATGCCTGGCTTCGGGGAGAACAACAACTGGTTATTCATCATAAGGGTTCATTTTCCGGGTATAACTGGCAATTTTCCTATAGTAAGCCTTGCGAGCAAAGCTTCGTACAGTAACCTCGGTTACGAGTGTGTATATCTTTTCTGCCATACGCACGTTGCCAGCAGCTAAAGAGTCAAATAGGTAGAGAAGGAATATGCTTTGCTAAACTAAGTCTAAGGCGTAGGCACTTAGAAACAAGGAATGCTGCATGGTCGTAGCGAACTTTCCCTAGCAAGCAGTTCTTAGGGCTCGGAGCAGAGACACCATGTCTAGTGACCCTTAATACGTTTTGTTATAGATACTGCCAACTCATCACATCTTGTAGTACATCTTGTACACGGCTATCCCTGGGTGACTGCGCGAACAGCAAACATTGACATCACATATAATCAATGCGCTTGTCTTCGCACAGTAAGTCTCACAAGCAAACAAATTTCTGTTCTATTCCCACAACCCAAGGCACAGTAAAAGAAAGCCAGTGGGTACGCCACCCCAGGTCTCGGGAATCCCCCGTGGCTAAGACAAATTGCGGGGGTGGAAGCTTGATGTGTTCTCCTCCCCGAGATTATATTATGATCGTATACTGTCAAGCCGAAGGAGCCGGGGCAGTTGATCGATCGAATATGGGTCACTTCAATTGGTTGAACAGTGCTATGATGTTATTGCTGGGGTTGGCGAATTGTATGTGCTTGCATTAATCCGTAAATCCGTACAGCACCGAACGGAAGTGAAGTGTATGCAGTGTAGAAAATTAGAAGTCGGTACAGACTCCATCCATGGAGGAAGTGCGGAATTACGGCGCTTATGGAGGAGTATGGACAGCATGTCTCATTGGAGAAGAGATCCCTGTCCAACTGTCGTGAGAAGTTTAAACTTTATTGGCACCGGAGAACCCCCGGCAGGTCACCATGTAGCGTTTCAGCACGGCATTTCTGCGTATTGTACTAGTACTGTCATGCCCACTTTCCGTATTCTACTGTTATAGACCTCTCCTGAGCCATGTATTTACGTGCCCGCCTGACGGACTACAAGCCACTATGGTTTCCTCGGCTAAATCGTTGACGCAAGCCCAGATCCTTCCAGTACGATGTACTACTCATGTACATCCACGCATGCTTTCTTTTGGTCTAATGTTTCCTGCGGTAAGCCAATTGCGTCGTGGTCAAACCCCCTGATTCCACAGTGCTACATAAAATTCTTGACTACGTACGAAATGACGATCAGGGCATTGGTGATGTTCAAGTAATCAACAGTCAGCGCAACCTCCCCGCCGAAAACTGGGGAAAGTATGGGCCAAAGCCAATCACGAGGCCGGGGTTCACGACTGGTTGTCTGGTACACTTTTTAATAATCGAGACACGAGAGCAACGCATCCCTCGCGTTTCTGAGCCCCACTCACGATCATTGGGGATGTTTTCCCGTTTGGGCGATGTCGAGACCTCGAATCATTATATTTCTACTACCTTTCCAGCTTGAGACAATAGATAAATTTTGAGTCTCCGCGCTCGTCCTCATACATCCATTAATCCCTTAACCGGTCACGATTCGAATCACGTTTCAACATCCCAATTGATCCTCTCTGATGCCTGTGTTCACCGAGTACTCGGCGGCGTCGCGGGAACTGCGTGTGCTTCCCTCGTTTGCCCCTCCATTGCCCCGCCTCTCGTCACCCTTTACTCGTGTCGACCAAACAGAAAAGTATGAAGTGGTTATTGTTGGCGCTGGTCCGGCGGGACTCATGTTGAACTTGCTTCTGGCACGATATGGACTAAGCGACGACTCGTTGCTTTGTGTTGATGCGAAGCCCGGAACTCTCAAATCAGGTCAAGCCGACGGTCTGCAACCTCGCACGTTGGAGGTGTTGAAGTCCCTCGGAGTCGCAGACGAGATCCTTAACGACGGGTGCCACATGGAAGAGGTGGCATTTTGGAACCCTTCCGCGAACAAGGACGAGATAATCGAAAGAACATCGATAGTTCCCGATGTTGCTGTTCCGGCGCGGTACCAGCATGAAGTGACTATTCACCAAGGTCGAATTGAACGGATTCTAGAGACGGATTTACTGCGGTATTCGAAGCGTGGTGTCCAGCGCAATACTAAACTTCTTGATGCCAGGATTGATGAAGCTGGAAATCCTGAATTCCCTGTTGTTGTTGACCTAGAAACGGATGGGCAGCGTAGAACCGTGCGCGCGAAGCATCTGGTTGGTGCCGATGGGGCGCATTCGATGGTTCGTCGGTGCATGGGACTGCAGCTTGTGGGCGAGTCGTTAGACCACATCTGGGGTGTGGTCGATCTGGTCGTGGATACAGATTTTCCGGACATCAGGAGACGGTGCGCCATTCATTCGCCAGCGGGCTCGGTGATGGTCATTCCGCGTGAGCGTATCGCTACTGGTGAATTTTTGACTCGTCTTTATGTTCAGGTGCCCGAGGAAGCTACGCCGGACCTGGACCAGGTTCCCGTCAATGAGACTATCACTGCAAAGGCTGATGCTCGGGCTCGGAGAAGCAAGGTTACCTTAGAAAGCATCTTCCAATATGCAGAAGACGCGTTCAAGCCATATTATATTCGACCGAAAGAGAACGGGGCCGTGGACTGGTGGGCCGCGTACCAGATCGGCCAGCGAGTATCGGATAACTTTACGGTCAAAGACTCCAAGGGAGTTAACCGGATATTCATTGTAGGAGACGGTAGGGCGCAAGAATACCGATAAACTTTGGGGTACACCTGGCTGACAGATTTCTTTTCAAAACGACAGCGTGCCATACTCACAGTCCCAAGGTACGTGGCAATACTCTTTTATCTATCTAACGTTACTAATTTTGCTTTCACACAGGCTGGACAAGGAATGAATGTTTCCATGATGGACTCATACAACCTGGCGTGGAAACTGGCCTATTCCATCAATGGTCTTACCCCAGATTCTGCGTTACCCGGGAAGCCTGATTCCCTCTTAGACACGTATCATGTAGAACGCCACACCATCGCACAGGAACTCATTGAATTCGACCGTGCGTTTTCATCCATGTTCTCAGGCAAGATAGGGTCTAGAGAGGATGGCGTGGAAGGTCTAACCCACGACCAATTCCTTGAGGTCTTCAGCACTGGAAACGGGTTTACCAGTGGCTGTGGCATTGAATACCCGGAAAACTTGATCGTGGAGAAGGAACTAGGACAGGATATCAAGAACCCAGTCATTGGCACAGACTACCTCTCCGGAATTCTACGTCCGGGAAGGAGACTGTTGGATGTACGGCTTAAAAGACATGCCGATGGGAACCGGCGTCATCTGCAAGATGGTACGTCAATAGCTTACAAAAAGTTCAGATCTGGGTTGCTTGGCCATATACCTGGTTCAGGAGTCTAACCATGCACTGCAGATTTCCTCTCGACCGGACGATTTCGTATTCTATGCCTTACCTCATCAGACTTGCTAGATCCCCAGGGGATGTCTGCTAAGACGTTGACTACCCTTGGAACCTCTGTTATCCAACACTTCCCAGCCTCCACACTTGAGCAGGTGGTTATCCACCCTCGCCTTAACAAGACCTTCACATGGCGCAATGTGCCTCAGGAGCTTAAGAAACACTCCGAGATGCGGTTCCACAGCGGCTATGACATCGACGACGTCTATAAGATCTATGGTGTGGACCCAGCCCAGGGAGCCTTAGCCGTGATTCGGCCTGATGGATATGTTGGGACAATTGCAGCGTTAAACGATGTAAACCGGATCGAGAGGTACTTGGCAGGATGCTTGAGAAAGATTTAGATGTAGAGTGTGATATACTATAAAATTTGCTATGCCGACTGGAATCGAGACAATTTAGATGAGGGCACAACAGTCCGCCACTAATAGCTGCCTATCTTATGTTCAACTAGTATGTCTACGTGGCGGTGACTGACTGACAAGATAAGAAAACAGATAATCGCTAGGCATGACAACTCAGCCTGAGACAGACCCGCACCCTCATCTTAACTAACGTTTTATGGAACAGGGGATCCAACCGTCAACTAACAGCGGTCAGTTCACGGGGAGCGAGCTCTGGGCCTTCCAAACTGTCGTGTCCAATGCCAGATGAGTCACGGGGATCGTCACCAGACCCATGATTCTTGCAGATGATGATAATGAGCTGATTCGCTTACCTCTCCGACATGACAGGATTTCAAAATGGAACCCGTACTGTTCAAGAATTGTTGAAATCAGGGCTTCCTCATTATCGGGAGTCGGGGTTCGGAATTAATATGATTGGCTCAATGCAGGTCACCTTGAGACAGTGATGCGTCACGTGCCATCAAGTTGCCGAAGATCCGATTCTAGATGAATGAAGTTGGATAACTTGGAATCTCCTCAACTGCAATAGACGGGCCAAGCCGCGCTGCTCCACAATTATCGTCGGGTGTCGGGGTGCCGTCCATAAATAATCAGTGTCAAGCTTTCCTCCTAGCCCAATCATGGCTCTCAGAATTGCAAAATCTAACAAAAGACGCTCCACTGTCGGTGTTAACGCTTGCAAAATCCGTCACTATGATGGATTATCCTAGGGTTATGCTGTACAACGCTTCGTTGGATGCTTTTATTGGTGGTTCGTTGGCAGGGTCAATATGACTCGGGATATATCGTGTGGTTCCCGTCTCATGTTTTATTTCTTCCGTTCTGGTTTCTCGTGAATCAAAAACTTCTCCTTGGCTTTCCTGGATATATTGCTGGCTATGGCTGGTAGTCATAGGATGTTGGGTACTGGACCTACCAGATCACAGTCTTCGACGTCCTCTACTCTCAACTCTGAGTCGCATCTATCAGCCACTGAACCGCGCCGTCCAGGTACTGCACGTTCAACGGGGAGATCTAGCCCAGGAACTATACAGAATGTCTCTCATATTGGTGGAATTGATGCCGGACAAAATCCCGACAATCAATTTGTACTCCACAGTAGTTATGCAACTGAACATGGTGTAGCGGTCCTCCAGGACGGCGCATCAAAAAGTGAAAAGAATGGAAACGAGCATGGTCTTGAAACTCTGAGAGACCCCAAGGAGCGGGTGATTGACTTGGAAAAGGGTGCTCAGCCTGCATCTAGCATTGGGAAGTCAAACAGTCCACAGCAGGACTCCAAACTAGTGAGTCTCTACGAGCTCATCTGCTTACCATAGCCAGTTACTGATAACGTAGGTTACATGGTCTGGTCCTGACGACCCTGACAACCCTAAGAATTGGCCAACGAAGAAGAAATGGGGAGCTGTTTTGATCGTATCCTGTTTTACGTTTATCTCCCCGGTAATGTCGTCCATGGTTGCACCTGCATTACAAACCATGAAATCCGACTTCAATATTGAAGATGAAGTGACCTCCCAACTCATGCTGTCCATTTTCGTCCTGGCTTATGCATTTGGCCCGCTATTCCTTGGGCCCTTATCCGAGATCTACGGCAGAGTCATTGTTTTACAGCTTGCGAATCTATTTTTCCTTATTTTCAACATCGCCTGTGGCGTATCTCGAACTACGGCGCAGATGATCGTCTTTCGGTTTCTGGCTGGTCTAGGCGGCAGTGCCCCTTTAGCGGTAAGTGCTGCAGATCATTGCGTATATATTGAGTCACGATCTAACAGTACTTAGATAGGTGGTGGTGTCCTTTCTGACTGCTTCCTACCGGAGGAACGCGGTAAAAGTATTGCTATCTATAGCTTAGCACCTCTCCTCGGCCCAGCTGTTGGTCCGATTGCTGGCGGCTTCATCGCAGAAAGAACAACATGGAGATGGGTATTCTACGCCACATCCATCGCTGATGGGGTCATCCAAGTCATGGGCCTTTTCTTCTTGCGCGAGACATATGCCCCCAAGATCCTCAGGACACGAGCGAAAAATCTCCGCAAAGACACAGGAGACACCTCCTATGAGACCGAAGCTGAGCGACAGAACAAGACTTTACCTGAGGTTCTAAGCACAGCGCTTGTTCGCCCGTTTCGCCTTCTCGCAACACAGCCCATCGTCCAAGCCCTTGCAATATACATGGCCTACGTGTACGGTATCTTATATTTGATGTCATCAACATTTCCGGCCCTATGGACCAGCCCAGAGTACTATAATGAGTCCACAGGCATTGGTGGTCTAAACTACATATCTCTTGGGATAGGGTATTGCCTGGGCTCCCAGATATGCGCACGGCTCAATGACCTCGTGTACCGCCGTCTCAAGGCCCGCAACAGTGGTACAGGAAAGCCGGAATTTCGTACTCCGCTATTATCCATTGCCGCCATCCTCAACCCGGTTGGCCTTTTCATCTACGGATGGACCGCGCAAACCCGCTGTCACTGGATTGCCCCAAACATCGGTGCTATGCTCCTGGCTATGGGCAACATAGTTGCCATGCAATGTATCCAGACCTACATTGTCGATGCCTACACACGGTTCGCGGCTAGTGCGATGGCCGCTGGTTCATTCTTGCGTTCCATTGCAGGATTTGGGTTTCCACTTTTCGCGCCATACATGTACCAGGCGTTGCATTATGGGTGGGGAAATAGTTTGTTGGCTTTCATCTCGATCGCCATTGGTATCCCAGCGCCGATCTTTTTGTGGAAATATGGAGAGACGATGAGGAAGATGAGCACCTATGCTGCGGGTTAATATCTTTAGTATTTAGATAAGTAATGCATAATGTATGTACATACTCGAGGTACTTGCTTTTTTTATTTGCCATCCTGTTAGTAATATGCAAGCAAGATATGATTATGTGAGATTCTTTGCTTATCTTTGGGGAGCTTTGTATTAGCTCATATCCATCTGGAAGGGCTTCACCTTCCTGTCTTGATATAATCGGTTTGCTTGGTTTGACCATCTGTCCCCATGTGACTTGGTCTTTCCAAGTCCGCTTTTATACAAGCCCCTCAATCGTCTCAAGCCTTACCCCTGAGTATTTATCAATGAAGTTGCTCACACTATCCAGCACGATTACTGAGTGATCACTTTCATACATTAGCTTTTTCTTCATTTCGTACCACCAGCGATTATAGCAGAGGGTGCCCAAACCCCCTAAGAAATCGATGTACGGAAAATCATCGCATCTACGGCAGCGCTGCCTGTATTCCAGACGTTCTCTAGGGGGGTTTCAACCTTGCTATTGCAAGTGCAATCCACTCTGCGGATGATCCCATAGCTCCTGGTTCAGGCATAGCACTTCTCGACGAGCATCTATCTCATATATCTATCAATTAAGCTCGGTATAGTTCCATAATTTCTTTCATATCATCCGGTATGAAAATTGCATAATGAATACTAAAAAGGTGGCAACTCCATTGACGAGGATTACCACATTGATTGTTTCAAAAATGTACTATCGAGAAGCGAATACTAAATATTTCGATCTAAAATAGATCCAAATATCCAGAACATAGAAGAAAAAGAAGCACACCGATTGAACCAATAGATCCAATCACCCGTATCTTACAAACCTCCTCTAAGCAGAGGCACTAGCCGAAGGCACAGCACCAGAAGGAGCTCCAGAACCACTAGGAGGAGCACCGCCACCACCACCCATACCAGAGTTCTCGTTCTCAACACCACCATCCTCAGTCAAGTACGCGGCAGGGGTAACAGAGCTGCTCTCAGAGGCATCAATACCAACTGAGATCCAGCCAAAGACACCCTCCGAGACATCGTCACCGAGGAAAACGTACTCGACGAAGGGGTCGATGGTGTCGGCCTCCTCGGCGAGAATGGAGTCGTCAGCGTTGGTGGTCAGTTCCTGGGTGTTGGTGGAGTAAGGGGCGGTCTCTTCGACGACGGAGATGAGGTCCTGGTCGAAGAAGATCTGGCCCACGTGCGAGGTCTTGGTGTTGTACAGGCCGGTGATGGTTCCGTTGGGCAGGACGGAGGTCTCGTTGGCCGGGTGGGTGAGCACTATTTCCCCCTTTTGTTCAGTAATCTTATATAATAGCAGAATGGGGAAACGAGGGTAGACAGTAAGTGAGGAAGTACGTACCGTGGATGTGAGTAGCACGGCTGGTATAGTGACCAGGGAAGATAGTCTGGAACTGGACGATACCGTCTTCGTTAGTCTTTTGGAGACCGCGGAGGAACGTTGCGTCGAGGTTAGTTTCGTCGCTGCTGTCGCCGTTTCCACTGGCGGCCACGCCCGAGTAGACACCCTTTGTTTTTCTTTGTCAGTGCCCCGTTCTTTTTAGAGTAGTGGTGGTTAGAGGGTACTTACGGTGGCGTTGCAGTGCCAGAAGTCCAGGTAGACCTGGGGAACGGGCTCACAGGTGTTGGTGTCGATCAGCTGGATGTCCAGGCAGAGGGGGACACCTTCCTGGTCCTCAATGATGTTGTTGCGGATCAGCTCGCCGGAGACGTCTGCTTGTGTTAGATGGTGTTGATTGGGGACAGAGGTAATGACGTACAGTAAGGTCCCTGGGTGACATCCGGGGCGAGGATGCAGGTGGCCTCGGAGGCGAAGAGGACCTCGGGGTCCGTGGAGAGGTTGACATCCTGGGTGGAGTGGTGGGTGGTGTTGAGGATGGTGTCGAGGTCTCTAGCCTTGAGGAAGTGGGAGCCTGGTCCGAAACAGTCAGTATACGATGCTGATGCATGGAGTTGGAGGCCATACGGGACTGCAGGCCCATACTGCGGCGCAGGTTCTTGACGGCCTGCTCACGACGGGCGATGTTGCGCTGCTCCTGTCCGCGAGCACGCAGCTTGGTAGCACATTGGTCCAGGCTGCGAGAGCGGAGAGGGGCGTTCTTCAGGAAAGCGGCGCGCTCAGCGGCCTCGGCCTTGACGTCGTGGCCCGGATGGGCAGAGACGACGCTGGCAAGGCCAGCCAGGCCAGCGACGAGGGTAGAAGCGAGTTGAACCATGATTGAAAATTGGTATTGTTACACGATGGGTGGTGGAGAGGATGGGAGGAGAGAATGTCTTGATGATGTGCTAGAAACTCTCGAGTGCAATGCTGGCTTTATACCCCGTCAACCTTGGTAGCATCCATATCAAACACAAGGAGTGCCGCGGCTTCTAGCTGACGCAATACCCATAGTGCACCCTGTCTAGACCGTCGAATGGGGCGAGGAGCATTGTTCAGCACCCCCGGCCCGGGCAGGAGAGCATCCCAAAATACCGTGCTAGCGCCGGTTGAATGCAATAGACTACCGTCGAACCGACATAGCTTGTTTTAGGGCATCTTCAGCCCAGTCAGAAATGGGGCATGATCGACGTCGGCTGACGAGGCAACGTCCTCTCACCCATTGTTTAGGAATGATAAAATAACCCGACTAGACCGGGCACGGACGTGGCGAGTGGGGGGAATAGAATAGTTGCAACGCATAAGAAGGACTCCGCCGTGGCGTAATCTCAACATTATGCATCATGAATGCTAAATTGTCCGTGGATCAAGCTCACTCAACACAAACACCCGGTGGCTTGGCACTGCCAGAGTGATTAATAGCCTTAGGTTGATTGGTGGCTATTCCTCGGGCATGGCCGCGAAGCCTTGTCGATCCCTTATTCTCTATGTAATTGCGTATTCGAACTGGCTATGCCACAGGAGTCTGGTCTGTGTGCGTGCATCTTTAGCATCAGGCACAAGGTGTCTTGGCACAGCGGAGCTCTTCCGAATCAGCGGAAACGGTAATTAGTACCTGTCGACTGCCGACGCGTATGTCGATCTCTATCAGGAAATTAAGCTGCCCGTGTTGCCTTAACGGTGCAAATTGTCTCTGAAAATATCAGTTAAGCATTGGCTCTATTACTATATGCGGAAAGTGGCTGATGGGGAATGGAGCGAAAGGGCAAATCACGACACTCGAGCCAACCCTATCGCAGGATGACTAATCGGAGCTCAAAGACGGAAAACTCTGCACTCCAGATTCTTGTCGATCCATGGCTTGGCAGTCCTGGATATCTTGGCAGGGTATTGATTCGTGGACGGTTTTTCTTCTTTAATCTAGATGGATCATCCTCTACATGGATGGTAGGCAGATACATTTTGGCATTGTAGTGGACAAGCAACGGGAGGTAGTCATTACGCCGAGGCACATAACAGAGATATACACAGCCTCGTTGAGTAAATCTTTTCATTTCTAGCTAGGCAACGAGAGCACGAATTCTAAATAAAATCTCAGCCCGATTCATTATTCCTCAAGCTTTCTACCACTCCCGAGGCATCTGATTGGAACTGTATTGCTCCATATCCCCTTACCAGTTCTAATCAGATAGCCGCAATCCGGTCAGATACCTCTCTGATATAAAGGGTATAACTACCAAAGAAGGAGGGGCATTAGCTCTAACATGTTCCCCAGTGGACAAGGTGTCTACCACGCTCCAAGTCGACATACGTAAGTAAATTGTTTCGCAAGAAGATTGATATCCTCTGCGGACCATCGATGAATCAACCGTTCCGGTCACAAATACGGTATCGGAATGTATTGGGGCCCCTGCATCGGGAAACCCACACCCTGATCGATGCAGATTTGCTGGTGTTGAGTTGATCCATCAGTTACAACTTACTTACCGAGTCTTAGCGTGGCCCACGGAAGAAGCCCGAATTTTCCCTACGGAGTACACCCAAGCGCCGAATGGCTTGTCGTCTACAAGACCAACTACAAACATACAATGAACCACAGCGCACGGAGTTATAGTTTGTTTGAAGAAGTGAGTATCGATTAATGGTACATCTTCTCGGTTCTGCCAGGGCATTAAAACGACATGACACGTAAAATCATGGGTATGAGTTCATAGCCGATAACCAGTCAATTAAAAATGAGAAAGAAAAAAAAAAAAAGTAATTTGCAGAACACCTCCTCCCCGCCGAAATGGACCTCCTTCCCCACCCCCCGCTGAGCTCCATAGGAGTGGATTAGACTTCCCGATGGGCGACGTGGACTTTCTCGGCGATGTCCTTCTCGGTGAATCCCATGTCGGCTGCGAAGGTGGTCTGGGGCTTCCACTTGGCGGAGGTCCGCGGCGTGGTCTCCTCCATCATCTTGTCCACCTGCTCGAGGGTGAGTCCCTTGGTCTCCGGGATGAGGAAGTAGGTGTAGATGAAGGCACAGGTGCACAGGGAACCCCAGATGAAGAACACCTTGGACTTGAGATCGCCCTTGTCCTGGTCAACCATGTACGGGGTGATGACGGCGATGATCTATCTTGTTTGTTAGTGAAACCATCACTTATGCTACACAAACGCACACGGGGTTTGCTACTTACGCAGTTCCAGAGCCAGTTAGACGCGGTGGATAGAGCCACACCGCGGGAACGAATGGGCAGAGGGAAGATCTCGCCGATGACCACCCATGCGCCAGGACCCCAGGTGCTGGCGAAGAAGAAGATGTAAATGCAGATGAAGGAGATCTCGGCGCTGACAGCAGCGTTGTTGCCGCCCTTGTCGCCGACGACGGTACCGGTAATGGCGACGATGAACTGACAGATAACCATGCCAAGAGCACCCCACAAGAGCAAGGGGCGACGTCCGATCTTCTCCATGGTGTAGAACGAGACGGGAGTCGAGCAAACATTGACAATGGTGGTGATCATGCTAATCAGGAAGGGGTTCGAAATCGTTCCGAGCTATTTTCCAGTCAGCAAACCTAAGCTTCTTTTCACTGTGGTTCGGTGACACATACGGAGCTAAAGAATGTGGTGCCGAAGTAGAACACGAAGTTGACACCGGTCCATCTAAAAAGGGGGGATATGTTAGATATGTACTGCGGTAGTCCAGACGTCACAGAACTCTCTGGACCGTGTTGGATGGGATCAACTTACTGCTGCATCATCTGAAGAGAAGTACCCAGGACGGTCCGACGGAGGTTGCTGTTGGGGTGGAAGATACTTCCACGGAAGCAGTTCAGCCAGGTCGTGAAGTACCCACCCTGGGGCATCGCCTGCATCTCGTATTCATTGTTGGCAACGATCTCCGCCAGCTCCTGCTTGATAAACTCGGAATCCTCGGGCTGGCCACGGACACGAGCGAGAACATGCGACGCCTGCTCGATCTGGCCCTTTCTGACGAAATAACGGGGCGATTCCGGCAGGAGGAGCAAACCCCCACCGAGAATGAGAGCCCAGGCAATCTGGATGCCAATCGGAATGCGATAAGAACCGGAATCCGTGCGATTTTGGGTGGCATAGTCGACACAAGAAGCCAGCATCAGACCAATGGTGATGCAGAACTGGTAACCCGACACAATGGCACCGCGGACCTTGCGAGGAGCAATCTCGGACATGTACAGGATAATGATGGCCGACACGAAACCGACACCGAATCCGGCAACCAAACGGCCCACCACGAGAAGAGCGACGGTGGTTGACGCGGTTTGCAAAACGACACCAACGATGAAGATGGCACAACCGGAGACGATGGTGAGCCGACGTCCAAACCAGTCAGCCAGATCACCAGCAATCAAAGCACCGAAAAATGTTCCTGCCGACAAGATGGATGTGATCAGGGATTTTTTCCACGATGAGATAACGAAATGAGCCGAGTCGGTGGTGGCGGGATCCTATAGTTCGACCGGTATTAGTCACTTGTCCGAGCTACTCTGGGGGCGGTTGATATAGGAAACGGGACTAACCAAGCCTTCAAATTCCTGGATGAAATAACTCATGCCCATGACACCGTTAATGTAACCGGAATCATAACCGAAGAAGATACCGCCAAAGGCTGCAAAGGCACACATCATATAAGTCTTGAAGGTGACCGGCGCCTCCACTCGCATGGTATCGGCGAGGGCGTTTGGAGCTACAGCGTCACCCATGGTGATAGAGCTGTTGGGTTCGACCTAGCACAGGGCTCGCGGGTCTATGTGTGTCCACAAAAGAGAGGACGAGAAAGAGATGGACTGTCTAGCGAAGGACAGGAAAAAACCAGCAAGAGGGTGAATGAGAGACGGCAAATTGACCTCCAAAGGGAACCACACGACGCAGGGGAGAAATGAACCGAAGCGATGCAGGGGGATGGATGTGCTTTTATAACTCTGGCGGTGTTACAAGAGTTGAGAATCGGCATAAAGCCGGACCCGGGGAAATTCACCCACGGGGAAAGTCTGTCACTCGGCCCCAAGGATTTTTTTTTTTTTTTGTTGAACATGTTGATTTTTTCCTTGACTTTTTCCGACGTAATGGCATGGTGTTCCATGGGCCATGGAGCTAAGCAGAAATTTGCCATAGAAGAGAGCGTACAAGAGGGAAACGGTCCTGACCATGTTTACAACCATGCCTGATCGAGGTTGGCTCATCTTAAATCCTTAAGCAATGCACTGCAGTGGGAACCAATCAGGCGGTCGCAAGACCGATTTAGGTGACATTGGAAGGACAATGGGCTCGTGCATTGCATTACTTCCTGCTACGCTGGTATAGAACTTTAGCGAGTCCAGCGACGGTTGTCCAACCCCAGAGTGGGCGGGAAATCTGAGTAGCGGCACAAAAAGACAAGGTCCAGATCCCTGAAGCTGACATCGGCCCATGCGCGCGCAACTTTGCACCCTCTCAATCCGAGTCAAATCGTCGGCTAGGTCGCTGGATTTGGCAGAGTCCCTTGGGATCTGACCAAACAGAGGATCGGGTCCCAAGCCGGAGAGTCAGTCGGCTTCGAAGGACTCCAGTCATTGCAGGAGATGTCCGGCCGTATGACCGTTCCTGGTTGGCGAAATTGGGTCCTTTCTGGTACCATTGGCTGGACATGGACGGGGGTCGGAAATTTCAGCCTACCACGTGTGTAGACAACCTGGGGTTAAGCCCGTCGTCTAACCCAGATAGGTAGAGTGCTCTCCGGGAAACTGCTCTCGTGGGTGATTTATGGGGGTGGATATCTGGCAGCTAGAACACTAAACCACTACTGAACCACTAAACCACCTCCTTGTCGGCATCCATGTGGAGGATCGGCGGCAAAACATTTTTCTCTCACTTCATCCTCCCCCTCCCCCCTGAGGAACATCAGAAAACTCCCCCTTCCCCCGATATGAGGATTCGAATGGATCATATTCGAGAAACAACTCATCCACAAACATAGACTGAACTGAAACCTTGTCCGACGTGAGGCAAATGAGGCCCCCTGATCGAATGTAACCCCAGCGTCCAAGAGATGCTTGATTATTCGGCTCCTCTTTCCGAGAGAATGAGGTGAGCCGGACGCCACTACAACTTTACTTGCGGCTACGGTAGCAATGAACTGAAGTCGTGGACAAGGAAGACGGCCAGCCAAGAATTTCTGCGCTAAGGGAGATTGTGGCGTCCACCCGTTGTCGCCCATCACTTTGTGAGACAATAGACCGACGGTTTGGGGTCATGGGGCCCGAAGACTTTCAGCTCTCGACTCAACAACACGGTTTTACGAATACTCATGACCGTCACGAGTGTTCCTGGAGTTGCCACTCCAATATTTGCCTCTCCTTCTTTTCCTCCTTCTTCTTCTTCTTCTTCTCTCTCGTTTTCGCAACGACGATTGGAATGGGAAAAGAAATGTTTGCTGACATGGCGCCAACCGCCAAGGGCCTTGGCATGCATCCGGCCGCCCAAAATTTCTCTAGAGTCGGCCTCCCACTAAGCCAGAAAGCGCTTAGCAAACTCTGCACTTTTCTCCTTCTTGTCGTACACTTCTACTAAAAAAGAATTCACAACCATGGTCTCTTCTCTAACCGATTCTTTAGGGCCCGCTAGTCGGAGTCGCTACCAATCATGATGACGGAGACTGCCGAAGTTGAGCCTTGTCCGGGGGTTGTAACTTCCTACCGGTGGATATACCTAAACCTCGGCGGCTTGGGCATCATCCTTTTCCAAACGTGGTCATCATGCGGGGATTCCCAGTGTTGGACCGTGGCTCCAATCCGGTGAGTCTTTTGCGTTAGTGAACGGAAAGCATCTTCTCCCGGACTCTGGAAGGAAGGCGATTTGCTGAGGTTAACCGTTTCTGTATCCTGTCAACAAGAATGAAGTAGTGTCATCTCTTCATTTATTAGACTTTCCATGACATGCAGTGAACGGGGGTTTTCTCCCCGGCCCCGGAAATGTCGGGGGAGATAACTCTCTACCATTCGTCGGTTCGTCCGTGTCTATTCCTTTTTGTCTTGGGATAATCTCCGCTCGTAGGACATACTCTACCATCGAGTTCGTCCCGGCTACTTGGTACGTATTTGACCCATGTACATACCAGCATGTTCTTTTTGAACGGGTGTGGAGTCGACATATATTTAGCCTTGGTTACTAGCCCATCTTGTCTTTATTCGATGCATTGCTTCTGTCGCACAATTGCCGCTAGCTCACCCCGAGAGGCGTTGTTGGTGTTGAACAGGGGCCAACGTTGATTTCCGTTCTGCCTCGACGTGTTACTTATTTGAACAGGGATCTACAAATCAAGCTTAGTTGATAGGTCGATGGGTGGGTATCATCCGTCTTGTCTGTTGTCGTAACCGACCTGGTTACGAAGGGATGATCATGATCTCTTGGGAGTCGGTATAGGTCCAGTCATGCGACCCAGGGCTCTGGACATATCATATATAACGCAAAGCTTAAGCCCTGGGAATGGTACCCGCAGTGAGCTGTCTATTCTCTAATCGTGAAGTAATCCAACGTAACAATGCTCTCAGCCCCCTTTTTGAGGGGTACATCTATGAGATACTGCAAGGGATCAGTTTTGATATCCGGGGTGTTGATTTTACCATGCCATATAGGGACTAGTTTGGTCCGTGCCACTATATTTGCACTGTCGAGTACTATAGTACATGTCATTATACTCTGATTGAGATGCGACAGCATCTTCATTCCACTGCTAGTTGGAATAGTCTGATGCTCCGTTACATCGAAGATTCTCCGAGTGTCGAATAGAAACTCCTAGATTTTACTTCATTTAGCGCATACTTCTGCAAACAATCTACGCCTTAACTGCACCTAGTTAACACACACCTTCAGTTACTCCACGTCTACCGGAACGAGGACGTCGCCGGACAGTCAAAGACAACCATATTCTTTCATATGTTCAATCATTCAGCTTATCTATACTATCCCGTGCATCCCTTATCGCCCTGTTCATCTGGTTTGTCGTCTTAAAATCTAATGTGGTCTCTTGAACACCATTGTAGGCACCTGTTGTACTACACGCAGCCACTATTCGACCACAACAGACCCTGAAAGCTTCTGAAACACAAACCCCTGAGCCCGCGCCGCCATGCGTTTCGATTGCAAAACGACGGTTCATTTAGAACATGATGCTTCAGTCGCCATCCATTCGGTCAGTTCTCGCATCACAGCACAAAAAGAAAAAAGAAAAAAAAAATGAATAAGTGAAAAAGGAAATCAAAGCAGACAAAACAAGAATGCAATAATAAAACCAACGCTCTCAGAAATCTATTCTCAGGCATGTCTATATTTCTCAGGAACTGGAGCCATAAGATTCCATTTCATAGGAAAGATTTCTAGTCGCTTGTGGCTCCTGCGGTTTTAGCAGAAGAATCACCTATTCTCTTCATGAAGGGGCCCTATGGCTATTCGTGGATGCCGTATAACCTTGTCTGGTGGAAGTGGACGCTTGTCAAGGTGGCTACTGAGACCTGATATTGAACTTTGCTCGTTCTCGGCACCATTAGGCTGTATCTATCACCGGGATTACAAGCTTTCTATCAGCGTTGGGTGTTATTGACTTGATACTCCTTTTTTGGGTTACTTGTTGATACACGAGGTAGAACCCCATACATCGCCGAGATTAGTAGAATATCGGTGCCTTGTGGCAAGACCCCAGAGTTTCAATTGCACCCGGTAAGACTCGAGTTACTCAAGAAACAATCCAGAACCGTCTAGAAAAGCGGGGAGAAATTCCTCGTGCAACGAGCAAGGCTTTGTGTCAGACCACCGATGAGGCTTTCGTGATGGTGCAATCGACGCGAGCCTTCGAGATAGGCAACGACAAAGTGCCCCCCGGAGGGCGGGGGTCTCACACAACGCCACAAATTCCATATATAGCACTCTTAAAGTTGTCTTCGCAATTGAGTGTCTGGTATAGCGGGGTAAGTGGTTCACCGTGCGACTCGACTGGACTGGAGTTGCCGCATATGTATGCATGCACGTCGCATATTACATGTCTCGCGTTACGAAGACGCCGCTGCAAACCAAGCAATTTGCCTCCTCCATGACGAATCCCGCATATATATTGCTTCTCGAATAACCGAGACAGTGACGTGTATCCCACAACATGCTATTGTGGGAGGGCGGCGGTACCACTGGACAACACAATAGAATGGCGAAAGTATAGATACGGAGGTAGTGATACAAGTGAGGATCAAGTAACATCTTTCTACTCCCTCGCTTACTTGAATCATATCGATGTGCTGAATTATAAATACCGGTATGCTTATTTATAGTGTGCCAAAGGAAAACTTGGTTCAATCGCCTTACTCCGCGCCAAAAATACACCCCAGTCATTTGTACAAAGAGTATTTTTATTCTGGCAATGCCATGTAAGCTTCGAAGGAATGTAATCTTGAAGCAATTTCCATTTCGAGTCTTTCCTGTCCATAGGGACCTTCACGTATCTCTCCCATCAATACCAGAGATATCACGAGTAAACACTGTCGTCTTATAGCTGTCCTTTTAATCAAATATTAGTAGAGAATAATAGTATTATCTTCTGCAAAGTCACTCACGTCAGGATTGATTGAGATCGGATAGTTTAAGGAAACTAATTTTGAATAACCTGTTGTATCGTCCATGTTAGTAATCCATCTCTCAACATTATCTCTAATCTATATGCTTTCCGAGAAGAGACAGCATCGTCACCAGGTTCAAGGCTATTGCTAGTCGCTAAGATAATCTGCTAAGAAGATCGCTTGGACCTGAGTTCAGCATCTGTGGTGAGCAAAATACGATTCAGGATCCAAAGAAATATAGCTTCTGTTGCTGATCCATTCTGTCACATGTAGTACTATTGTAGATGAAAACTTTGCGGACCCTAGCACGATCGACGGGCAGTATGCAGTAAAAGGGAGAGATCGTGACCGAGCCCTGGATAGCTCGGCGGGTAGTTGTACTGGAGTCAAAGTGTTTCGAATCTTCAACCAAGTCGTGATCAGAACGACAATTCACTATATAGTAGAGCTTATAGAATCGTCTCCTAATTAACTAATAGCCAGTACCAACAGTTAAATCACTACGTCATACACAGTTGGTATATTAACTACCAGCTTTGGTCCCTAACAAGATAACTTAAACCCACCCCATTTGTTTACCTTCGCCCTAATTCGGAACTCACACGACAGCTGGGCTCCATAATTCTGAGCTCATAAATTAGCCTCTTCGATTCAGTGCGTTGCTGCGGTTCACACTTCACCGACTCAACAATGGACCAGTCGCTATAAATAAAAAGAGTCGAATGCCCCTCGCTAAGCCCCTCCGAACCCCACCTGGCAACGCCTCGCGCTCCAATGACCGCCACGACGATCCACCTGCTATGTCACCCTGCATCGTTAGTCGCTACTTAATTAGGGCAACATAAGGCCTTAAGGCAGCAATGCGGTGGGTGGCCAGCTGGACACGGCATCATATAAATCCATCGTCCTGAACACCTTGACTTCTGAGCTTCAGTCTCACCCACTCCTCCTTCCTATCCTCCATACCATACTACCTCCCACTACGAAACCAACCTTCAAAATGGGTTCCTTCCACCACACTGCCCGCAACTGGCGCATCAAGGTCGACAACGGCGTCACCATGTTCCGAGTCGAGGTCAAAGACATGCACGGTAACTGGATTGAACGGACCATCCGTTTGGACGACCACATTGGCAACACCGATGGTAATTCCCTATACTCTGCCACTCTGGTGTCTCAAGACACAGTACACACAGAGGTGGACTAACATCCATGATCTCTAGGCTGGTTCATCTGGGGCGGAAAGAACTTCACCAGCACCGCCCGGAATATCCGCCTGGAGGATACCGAGTGGGGCCCCAAGCTGGTCGCCGTGATGCGCTCGAACAACGGTGGCGACCGTGGTGACCAGGGAATGTTGCTGGGTGATAAGATTGAGAACCGGAACGGCGAGCTTCATTTCACCGGTCCTTGAATGATGCGGCGGGGCTGACATCGATCCATGAGGGAATTTCAATTCTTTGTGAATGTTATAACTTGAAATATATATGATAACCGTTTTTTTTTCTGGTGTTGGTCTTTTTTAGTTGACCCTTCCATAGGAGATGATGTAAAGAGTGCCTATCATGAATCACTAACACATGAGACTTGGTCATTACTACCAACCTTCTGCGAAGATCCAAACATAATTCACGTTACATGCACCGGCCAATGATGGATGGACATGTCATGTCGGGAGTGTATGGTAGCGGTGGAGTCAACCAGATATTCTATAGCTCGATAGATTGGGACGCCCCGTTCCAATCCAAACCTCGCCTGATATCGAAACTAGACCTCGAGTGATCATCGTTGTCCAAGACAGTCAGAGCTCCATTTGAATTACATCCCCATCATAACAAGCTAGGAATACACCACAGGCCTTGGAATATCGGGGATATAGATCACAGACTCCAAAGATCCCACCACAAACAAACACAATTGTAATCGCATCTCGTATCAGAGCAAAGCACTTAAGCAGCCTCTCCTGTCCAGGACATGCAATAGATCACGGGTATCATGCTGGTGTTCGAGGGTTCTTCAGAACTAGTATAAGATTAGAGGACTGTACACTTGATAGCCATCCTTATATACTGTGGGGTAGATGAGAACCAGCCTCTTGGCTGAACTACAGTTTACCTTATATTATTGGACAGCCTACTCTCGGAACATTCCGTTAGAACTAGTAGTTACTAGTACTAGCCACAGGTAATCAGTTAGTACTAGTAGTCAGGCTAGCAAACATTCAATTGATTGGTCTGTGAGAAATATGCCTGCTCAAGCTCTTTAAGGAAAACCTTCAGCTTCGTCCTCTCGACTATTATTTCGCCCCTGTTTCAGTTCCTGGATAGTTAATGAGACTGAGACTCGAGATGTCCTTCTTCTCCCTTTACATCGATCAAAAACCTCCGGCCCGAAATTACGGTATGTGACACAACTTTTCCCCTGTGGTCCACATTGGCTAACCTGACAACCCATCCCTACTCAAGATGTCGTCCCAGACATGTGGCCCTCAATGGACAAACGACAACGACAGCGACACGTACAAAGAACTCGCGCCACAACGTCCCACACATCGCGAGGATGAAGGATTACAAGTTGGTGACCGGGACTCTACGCTCGAGGCCAACCACCGGGCGCAGGAGACACAACCGGAAGCAGCCGTCACACAGGCTTCGGGAGACATCGAAGCAAGCACAATGGCGAAAGCGCACAGAAGCAATCGATCCCAGAACTAGTTTAGGGAGAACGGCCGGATTCAGAAATCGCGGGTCTACCACACGGTAGCTGCGGTAGTTGTGATTATTATTATCATTATCCCGACTATTTTGGCTATGACGCATTGAGACTAAATCGATAGCTCAGTCGGCTGTTAAGAGATGCATGCAATTGCTGTCCAGTCCTGTGTGGGAAGGTGGGATGCTTGGAGTTTTGGTACTGAGGTAATACATCCTGAAGCATTTGGAGAATAGCGAACTATATAGAAATATTCTAGGTTCTGTAGGAGTATTGTGAATGATTCGCTGGGTAGATATGTGGTATATGTAGGTAGGCTAGCTTGTTCTTTTGCGTAGTAAGTATGATCAAAAGGCTGAAGTTTTTTCAACGTAGATATAAAGGTTGCTGGGGTAGTTAGCTGATATATAGTGCCTAGGAACAGGTGGGTCCATCTGAAAGGTGAGGTTGGGATATACTGCAATGAGAATGCTTAGATAGAATCGGAGTTCACATCCGGCAATTGCCGTGAACTCTTGTGGGCTAACAATATTACGCTTTAAAAAAAATATTGCCAGATAGAGGGCTGGAATAAATGCACATCCATAAGCTGAGAAATCCGGTTCGGTACCTCGTCTTAACACATTTAGACGGCTGATCTGAAAAGATACACACGTAGAGAACAAACAGTGGAGGGGAAGGCCCATCTACAGGCAACCCTATATGTTTATTCCATCGTGAGAAAGCTGGCGCCTGGCCACTCAACGCGTTAACATGCTAGCGAGGTGACCTGAGATTCTAACCATCTTAGGGACCAAATATCGGACATTCTCCAAAACAAGCTTACCCATTTCGGGCATCCTGTACCGGCATGCAGGGATTTATATTGACAGGCCGAAGCGGGTACCTGCTTCGAACGAATGATGTACTGTGTATGGACGGACTCAAACAGGATCAACAGAGCTAAGACTAAATGCAGACCTAAGCAATCGGACCCCAAGCCCGGTGGGCCCGACGGTCCACACTGGGCTCCGGTCGTGCCGATTGAGTGCCCGTTTCATTCTCTCGTCGGGATATAGTATGAGGAACTAGACAGGGGTCCCGCGGCCGGGAATTTAGTTGCTGACAATGTTACATCCGTGTGGTAAAAAGCGCGCGAATCGTGCCGCTTACAGGGTCTTCCTATACTCCGGCGTATACCCATATAGAGGCTAATTTGCACTACGGTGGGTTAGGGTTGTAACGCCGGCGAGGGATTTTTTCAAGGTTTCAGTTACTCCTTATTGTTAAATTATCTCTTCTAGTATGGCCTGATTCGGGCCACACGGAGTTAATAGTTCGTCTAAAATAAAGTTCTTAACACTTTATATCCGAAATGAAGGCACTCGTTCTACCATGGTGTCTATAGAATAACTGACGATTGAAAAAGATGAAGTCAAACTCATCAATTGCGTGAATATACAGTAGTGTACAGAATCCACATCGGAGGTTAGTTGAACGCCGCAAAGCAGGAGCTCTGCGCATCGGATTCCTTCCAGCCAACACACTTCCAACAGCTCAACAGCCCAGTCGGATCATACTTCTTCTTTATCTTCAGCAACTTGCCATAGTTCTCATTACCCCACCAGGCCTCTTGCCAATCCTTGGTGAAGGGGTTGGCCTCGGGACTGTAAGCGCCACTACCTGGAGTGATATCTTCGAGAAGCGCAGTCATATCCTGCATCTCAGCTACTTTCTGCTCCCTCACTTCGAGGGTGCTATTCCATGCCCAAAAGCCGTCGGCTCCGACAGACCAGATGGCGTCTCTCCAGGCTGGGGTCGCAGAATTGGGTTTGATGTCCTTGTAGAGTAGAGGTCCGACCACGGGGATGTATACGCTTCCACCTTTCGACAGGAGTACTGAGAAGAACTTCATGAGATCTGCACGACCTGTGGCCGTCTCAAACACTGTTTTGGGGATGAGCCGTGTAGCCGCAAAGTGAGCATTGCCCACAGTGACCGCGTTGGGAACGACATATTTCTGGTAGAACTCATACCAGGACGGGAATTCCTCAATGATTGCAGTGCCACCCTGAGACTCGGCATAGGCGACAGCCTCAGCCAGGGAATCCTCGGCTTCAGATAAAGACAGCAACGGCGTGACATTGATGAATGAGTTGCCACTGATATGACCACCCCAGCCCTCGTGAGCCCACTTGACAGCACTATTCACCAAGATATCGAGGAATGGCAAAACGTTGCTTGAATTCGCCTTCAGGGGAAACTTGATAGAGGCAGAGACTATGCCCACCCGTGGCTCAACACGATGGGTGCTTTCCATCACCACACCAAAGGTGCCACCGCCGCCACCCCGAAGAGCCCAGAAGAGCTCCTGATTCTGACATTTGTTGGCGATCCGATATTTGCCATCGGGCGTCACAACCTTGTATTGGACAACTCTATCAACACCCAATCCATAGACAGGCGATAAGATACTGTGACCTCCGGTTTGTGTCCAACCCCCACTAACGCCTACTGTCGGCGAATAACCCCCAATGAAAGTGACATTATGCGCATGGGCAAAGTGGTAGACCTCATCGAAATTCACACCTGCTTCCACAGTTATCGTATTGTATTTCGAGGTAGCATTACAACCAGTGGGAATAAAAGTAGGGTTGTAGTGCATGGACTGCAAGTGTCGAGTCCACAAAGAGAGAGTGCCTTGACCACTGCTGCGACCCAGGAAGTCATGGCCGCTATTTTTGATTGAAAGACGGGTTCCCGAGCAACTCGAGAATCTGAACGCCTCGACCACATCCTTTGGTCCCTTGACCTCCAGCGAGAAGGAAGGCATGTTTCCTTGATTACATGAGGCTGCGAGCGCTTGCGGATTGGTCGGATCCGAGTTGTCAAGTAGACATTGGTTGGCTGGGTCGGATGCGCATATTTCGGCCTGATTATACATGTAACCATTGACGGAATTGGCACGCAGGAAAGGGTCGCTGTAATTGCTCTGAATCACACTGCATGCTGCTTCGTCTGGATCCATAGAGATGCCATTGTACTGAGAGAAGCACGGCAATGAGAACGGCTTCAATGACTGGACCCGTCCACCAAGCGTGGCATTGAAGCTGGCCAAGGTACAGTTATCGGCCGCGGCAGCACCCAGAAGATGAGCGGCCAACAGGACAAGCGAGGTCTTGGAAACCGAAGGCGCCATGCTTCCACAGAGAAAAAGCAACAAGCAAAAACATGCCGAGAGGAATTTTTCGGACAGCGAAAGGCATTTTGGGGGGGGAGGGTTAAGAGTGAGAGTGGAATGGAATACTCGGATGTGGATCGGCACGGCACGTTCCCCGGCGTAGTTTAGTCCCATTGCATATGGAGTCGAAACCCTGACTGAGGTTGCATTGGTGCTTATTTTCCACAGCTGGCGGCTTGTTTCGGACATTCCTTGTCATGCATGGCTGTTTGCTGACACTGGCCTTTTCTCTGAAAAGCATGTACGATCGAAATCTGCAACTCAAGTCCAAAGCGCGATCAATCGCTGACCGACCCTCCATAGCCGTGATGCTCCATGGCCATCCGGAACCAATACTGGGGGAATGTTGTCGCGGTCGTCCCTACGGTCGGGGCAGCGCTTGCGACCCTCATCTATATCCTGCGTCTGATTGCGTGCCGGATGTCTACGGTCGGGTGGCGGTTAGAGGATTTGTTGATGGGTATTGGCCTGATTCTCTCGTACGGAGCCACGGCTTTTGTTATCTATAGTGAGTATAGCATATTCGCCGGTTTCTCTTGCTCACTGCGTGTCCATAGCCGCCTTCAATGGTGTAGGCGTTCCAGGGAATGAACTTCCGCAGGACGAACGTATTCGCCTGCAATTTGTAAGTCGTGACTCGGCATCTGATAGCTACTAGACTTCGCCAACCATATCTTCTAGGGCTCTTGGATGATCCAGAAGTTCTGGCCACCATCCATGGCATTTGTGAAAATATCCATCCTAGTCTTTCTCAAGCGACTACTAGGCACCGTGAAAGCGGTTCGTGTGGGAGTGACCTGCCTAATTGTCTTCACCATTATGTGGGCCTTTACGGAGCTCATGGGCAATATTTTCCAATGCCACCCAGTCCAGTATTACTATGACACCACACTAAACGGCCATTGTATGCCCGGACAGACCAAATTATTCCAAACGTCGGCTTGCTTGTCTTTGGTAGAAGACGTGATCATTTTGCTTTTGCCAATGCCGGTGGTTTGGCGGCTGCGAATCACCGTCCAACAGAAGGTCGGGCTGACAATCGTCTTCTCGCTAGGTGCATTGTACGTTCCCTCGAAGCAAGGTGTCGGTGACCACCGTATGAGCTGACAATCTTAGGGTATGCATTTTCAGCTTGCTGCGTGTGATTGAGTTCAACCACTTTCATACTAATGACCTTGCCTGTATGTCCGAACCCCTCCCCCCGGTCACCTCGATTAATGTCTTCTAGCATCAAGCGCTAAAGAGTCCATTTGGACTGCCCTTGAACTCAATGTCGCTATAATCTGTGGCTGTCTTCCTCTTTTCAAACCACTCGTGCACAGGTTTCTTGGAAAGGTCAAAGCCCAGTCGTCCCGTTCTTTACGCACACCACGCTATCTCAACCGGCTCAGTCAAGACCCCGACGGATTCCATAAAATCAGCGATCCCCATGGTCTAAGGACAAGCAAGAACGTGGTGGTATCTACAGACCCTAGTGGGAGACATAGTTCGGATGTTGAACTTGGCGGGATCACCGTGCATACTGCGATCCAGCAGGATGTGGAGAGTCGGCCAAATACCGGTAGCTCAGACGCAGCGATCGGGACGACATGGCCTCGGTGATCTACATGGAATATGATTTAGATTTAATTTGATATCGATAATGTAAGGCTACATAATCTAGTTCTTTGCGTCAAGTATTCTTCGTTCTCCATTTCAGGGTCCGGCTTTTAACCTGGCGTGCTTCATGTCTCTATCTTCCTTACGAAATCCCCACAAAGCCACACAACTTTCATGCCTATTTTGCAAATTCAGACCTGGCTTACTGAGTTACATGTTTCAAGTCGAGACCTGAGAATGAAGAGCAAAATCAAAAGGCCAAATAGTTACGGGACTGTGCCCTTGTGACATAATGGACCGGGGGTGGAGACTGGTGCAGATCAGTTGTCCTGGACGAGAAGTGGATCAGTGATCAACAGGACTATATTTTCCCATTTATTACCTTATCTGATGCAAGGAGTTTCACGATAGAAGAGTGCCCTGTGTGGACATACTACATGCCCAGAGAGCGAGAAGACTCAGAATGGGATCTATATTCTGTCCTACTACTAGAGGGAAACGAGGAAAGAGGCCAGGTTTTTCAGGTCGCATTTCGTGACAAGACCTGGTCAACTAATGTTAGGGTTTGCTGTAAAAATTTGGATTGTACTATACCCTAACCCTAGTGCAAGAACACAACCCCTATCATTTGTAGGATCCCGGTCCTATATAGTTTATACCCAGTCATATATATAATAAATCTAGCCTAAAGAAGGGGTCGCTTGGTTAAAGAATTCTATTTTTAATATTAAAAAGGAACTCAGTAGGGGATAGCTAACTTAAACCGGCTACTAAGCGGCCCTACAATAGTTTTGCTGTTTAGGTTTAGATGGCGCAAATAGCTGGGAATAATTCATAAATCAATGAATTCATAAGAATAAGCTAGGTTTAGCCCACCAAGATTAAATACACTGTACAGCTCTCGTATATGTAGAGGGAAATTCTCAAGTAAAAATCAGGGGGTGTCTAGAGTTGTCAGATCTCAGAGTAATCCTCCTGCTCGCGTTCTGCCTTACTATCCTGGCGTGTCTTGGGTTTTTTATTTGCTCCCTCCTCCTGGCTCGCAGTGCGCTTCTTGCCAGCCTCTGTTTTATGACCATTCTGATCTTCAGGTTCCCCATTTTGTTGCCTCTCCTCGCCCTTCTCGTTCTCGTCTTCCTCATCCTCTCCTTCTTGTTCCTCTTCGCTCTCGTTTGCATCAACTTCATCAGGTTCATCAGGCTCAGATTCGTCTGATCCAGATTCTTCACTTTCAGACTCCTGTTGGTCCTCATCCCGACAGTCTTCCGCAGCCTGCTTCCTCTCCTTCTTTGCCTTACTGGTGTTAGAAACAAACTGCCTGCCTTTCTGAGACTCCTTCTGTTTCTTCTCATCAGTCTCCTCCTTCTCCTTCTCGCTCATCTTCTCCCATGCTTTTTTCGGCAAGTATCGCTTCCTCGTCCCATCCCCCTGTTTAGCCGTGCCTGATCCCTCTTTCGTCTGCCACTCTTCCTTGCCCCATTGCTCAAGGCTCTTCTGAGACTCATCTTGTCCCTCCTCCTTCGAAGTAGTATAATCACCGCCGCGCTTTTTGTATTCGGACGCCATAAACTGGGCCTGTATCGCATGGTCTGTAAGCACACTACACTGAAAAGGAATCCCAGAACAGAAAGAAAGAAAGAAGAAAGAAACCCACCTTCCTAGCCGACCACTGCCCCGGCTTTCCGCCCTTATCACTCTGTTTGACTTCTTCTTTGACCTGTTCCCGCAGCTCGGGATCGGTATATTTGTCATCGTTGGCAGGCATGTTGGGCGCGATTGGGAAGGAAATCAATTGATTAGATCTATGGAAGAAAAAGGTCACTTTCCCTATATTACTTTTTATAGGGGCCAGAAGTACTGTAACTAAGTGATTGGAATGACATAATTCGATCTCAGATCTGAGCGGTGACATCATAGGGCTCATGCATCATCATGATTTAAATTGGATTTGAGTCTTCGGGTGATCGACATAAATCTTGATTTTACTCCCGAAAGCTTAGATCTGGACTTTTAAATAAGTTTGATTGGGTTGATCGTATTTCTTCTTCTTCTTTCTTTCCTAAGATAGAGTGGTGTTTTGTGGTTTGTTAGTGCCCAGTTACTGTTCTTGTGTAGCTGCCACATGTTGATATGATTCTCCCTGTTAAGGATATGTAAGCTCTCCTTCAAGGAGTACTGCGGGTCACAAGACAGTAGAAAAGATAGTAAATACACTTAAACAAGTTAATAACTAGAGTTTGTCGACCCTATTGCGATCAGGTGATGTAACCCTCTTCGATACTTGTACCACCCCGGTAGGACAATGTTGGTATATTTTCTCTAGAATCAGGCAGTGATGGATATCTTGTAATACCTCACAGACCAAAGAAGGGCTTTGGTCTAGTCAGCTCAATGAGCATTATAGCATCTCTCATCCAAGCCATAACAATAAAGACTCGGTAACACCGGAACAAGAGTACAGGGGTGTGGACGAGGGGCATCACCATCTGCTAAACGCGGAGAGGGCAATTTGGGGGCATAGACCTGGGCAGACATCAGGCATTCACGCATGCATTATGGTGTGACCGTGCAGTCCCTTGGTTTTCCAGGCAGCGTTAATCCCATCCTGATTAGTTTAAGTAGGCGTGCAATAGATGGATCGGCAGAACATCTTCTGTGTATCTTGGGTGGTGAAGCCTGTTCATTGAGAATATTTGGGTGTTAATGCCCGAGCTCTTGGAGTGAATAAGGCCTGGTATCATATCCTCCCTCGGGGAATTGCAGGATATGGCTTCACCTTACTTGGCTCACCGGTGATAGCAATGGTCTTAGCGGTCGTCGATTTACAGAATAGTGTGTTCAGCTTGAATATAATGAACAAAAGTTCCATTAACCCAAGGCCAGAACATTTCCTGTTTTGCAAGGAATGTGTGAACATTGTGCGTCCCAGGCAATGATTCTGTACTATGGAGAGAATACAGCTCCTCAATCCTGACATTGTGTAACGGGCCACCCCAGAATTTATGAATGAAGGGCGGGGCATTCACTCCATGCGCATATAAGGATTCGGTCCATCCAGCGTTATAAAGACCGATTCAGACAAAGTTACCTTTCCAACTGGTATACAATCTTCTTCCTGAGACTCCCTTATTTCAAACGTCCCTTAATCCTTCAACATCCATCAGATCGATATCAGTTGGATCAAAATGACTCTCTGTCTGGTGAAATTATCAGACAAATTCTCCTGCTACACCAGAGGAGAGAAAGAAGCAAGGTTCATATACAACGAGATATTCAACGACCACGAGTACGACACAGTCGTGCTGCCCAAGGCCCCAGTCATCGTCGACGTGGGAGCCAACATCGGGCTTTTCTCTCTCTACATGAAGGAGAAGTATCCACTAGCCAAGATCATCGCCTTTGAGCCGGCACCGGAAAACTTCGAGGCGTTAAACCGGAACTTAGCCTACCACATGGTTTCCACCGTCGTGGCGTATCCATACGCGCTGGGCACACAGGACTGTTCGGCGCCGTTCACGTACTTTCCGAACATGCCTGGGAACTCTACTTTGAATATCGAAGAGAAGGAATGCGAGATCCAACTCTTCAAGGAGAACTACGATGAGGCCTTCGGGGACGATATGTTCAAGGATGCTAAGCAGACCATGGTTCCGGTTAACCGGCTTTCGTATTTCTTCAGCCAGTACCATAGCGACATTGAGACGATTGACCTTCTCAAGATTGATGTCGAGGGTACGGAGTTGGAGGTGCTCGGTGGGATTGACGACGCGGATTGGAACAAAGTGCGAAATATCGTGACGGAAGTGAGTGATCTGAAGGGGAGTCTCGACAAGGTGAAACAGTTACTGGAAACTAAAGGATTCACGGTTAGCTATGGGGCCGCACGAGGGATTCCGGAGATATTTAAGCTGTTCATTGTCACAGCTTGCCGTTGAGTTGGTTTATGGAAATATGGGAGGTGCGCCAGTTATTTTGTTTTACAGTGATGACTTTATGATTTATTTTATTATTCCTAGCCGATCCGCTACAACTAGAGATTGAGTATCTGCAACCATAGGGGGTGGAGAACAGGGCTTCCCACCCACTCAGTCATACTTAAGCCACACATTACACGTGGTTGATTCATAGAATAGGCTTGAACGCTTTCAAAGGCCAAGATAATAGTAGTAAATAGTTTAGGGTGAGTACTAGTAATTAGGCTATGGACCCTATACCTGACTATTATTGGCGGTCATTTGAATCTATTTAAGATAATACAGGGTGGAGAGAATACTGCCGGACTCTTCGAGGAGGCATACTATTTGATTCCTGCAGATCATAGCGACTCACCAAATTGCGGGGCAATCTCAGCTGCATACAGTTGGCAAAATACGTAGAAGGAAATGATATACAAACACAGCTGTAGCGTAGTGATCTGATGCACAAGTGGTCCGAAGTAGAGTAAATCATATCTATTCCCATGGTTCCATGACTTATGGGGCAGAGTTGTAGCAGTAGTATATGCATGATGACCTGTGTTGTGTGCACAGACCCCCAGCCAACCACATCTGCAGCGTGAAAACTACTGATATATATATTTCTGTGATGCCAGCCCTGACATCTGCTCTTCATGTTAATTCGCATATAGACTGTCACGATCAGTTTCACCGGTGGTGATGGATGGCAAGAGTCATGCAAGGAAGTTGACAAGTATGTTATAGCTGAAGGAAACATCTGAGGGACTACTAGAGATTCGCTATGACTGACAATCTCAGGATCATCAAGGAATCCACTGGCCGAGATGTGTACTCCATGGCCAAATCGTTTCCTCCGATAATACTTGATATTGAGTATGGCTCCTACCATCCCTTTTTTGGCTATTATCTTATGAATGAATCGGTCCTAATGTTATGATTCGACCCAGGCTCAAGGAAGAAGATATTGAACGGTTGAAAAAACTCGATAGAGCAATCGTCCGAGAGCAGTAGCCAGCATGGCGAAAGTTTCATGGCACCAATACTCATATATAACCTCCAGTCTCGGCTTGGAATTTGTTCTCTCTGTTCTAGCAGAATCAGTTACAGCATGACAGGAATTTGAGTCTCGCTATGATCGTTCGATTTAGTCCGGGACGTGCTAGGCTAGGACCGCTAGATACCCGAGTGTAGGCGACTGATAGCTATTGAAAACCCAACGAATAGATCCCAGTGGCTCCGTGGAGCAGCCGGGCCTGTCTATGCGCCAGACAGACTCATGAACATAAGAAATCGGAACAAGTGTATGTTAAATAAACATTAAAAATGAAAAAAATGAAGTGAAAAAGAAATGAGGGACGGGCGGGATCGAACCGGCGACCTAAAGATAGCTTGCAATATTTGGTTAACCAATCAGGTCATTGCAATCTTCCACTCTATCCACTGAGCTACCGCCCCATTAGATGTTATTCTGCTTGATAATTTGCATTTATTAATGTAAATAGAAGAATCTCTCGATTAGTATTACTCTATCAGCCCTTAAACGCCTCGCCATAAAACTGTCTAAGATATAAATTAAGGCCGACAGCTATGCCTAAGACCTGAATAAGTGCTAAGAGTCAGTCTAGGATTGACTGAAATCCCAGGGTAGGTTTTGGATGGTTTATGCAGTCCTTCTCCTTACTCTGACCTGACAGGGCAATGGGCGCATTGGCCCCTTCATGGCCTTCCTTGTAGTGGTTGCCTCGACAGTTTCATACAGCCAACTATGCTGGATTCTTAATGTGGTAGATGGCTTATGCAATAGGGCTCTAATGAGGCACTGTATCAGGGCTTCCGACCGCGTACCATTGTTTTCTCCGGGTTAGGTTTTACTTAATGTGTTAACACCATTGAAGATATATATCGAGTGCGGGCGTTCATGTATACTGATTTTGCAACCATATTTTACGACGAGGTGAGCAGGTACAACCACTGCACTGATTTCCAAAGGCCAACAAACATACTGGATACAGATAAAAGTATTTTAATTATCCCGATAATCCACACTCGCCAAATTGGCATTATTCAGCTCTACAATTCCATTGGCCATCAGCAACTCGGAATACGGTTGCTCTGCTGTTACACCTCAATTAAGTAAACCATGAACCACCTGCCCATGTGAAACCCATGCAAGCCCTACCTCCCATTCCTAGAGATGCCAAAATGGCGGCTGATATATCATCTGAGTGTCCTAAGGAGACAAACAGACCTCTCACTGTCGCAAGAAAGCATGCAATCGCTATCGTAGAGAAGCTGGAATAGTGGTTAGGGGTCTTCCAGAACACTTTTCAAACACAAAGAGCCGGTTATGGTGCTTACATATCTGTGGAAGCTGACCCATACCACGAGTTCAAGCTATGTCCGCCTTAATGTTTTGAACAGTGACTCTGAGCTGAAGCTTGCATGGCTGACACCATAGAATGTATCAGTGTGACTGAGTCAAGACACTGTATAGCTGTGCCAGACAGGTGTTGTTTAATGCAATATGACTGCTTGGTCATACATCCGTGGAAAGGTATCAAATAAGACCGTCCTGGGTTGATATACTGAATGTGTGCTGATATTCATATAGGATGTGATTCAGCCAGTGGATATGATGGGAATGCGAGGTCTGGCTCATGACTGTCGGTAAGGTAAAGTGCAGATCATGGCGGCTGGTGACAATATTATGGACTTCACTTTGGCCTTCTCCGTGAGAACATTGCAATGTCAGTGATAAAGCATGGAATTATTCACCAGACATCTCATATATTGATGCTATTGTACACTGAACCAAGTAAAAAATCCCACTAGCGAGCATGGCACACTAAGTCATGCTCCGAGATAGACAACAGTCCTTCACATTATCCTGAGGTACAATATGCACAGCCAATATTCACCTGTTCCTTGAAATGAATCACAATTATACAAATGGCCATGACTAACCTAATAGATTCTTGCCTAGATTTCACCCCTCCTCCACATCCCAAGCCAAGTATCTATTTTGTGCTTGGCTTCGTCAAAGGTATTCATGGCATCTCGGAGTGAGTCTGACACCGCCTGCCACTTCACTCCACACTCACGCGCGGTTTCCTGGAAGTCTCCCGCCAGGATGTTGTTTAGAGCCATGTTCGACGCGATCGAGAGATTTGCTGCTATTGTTTCAGCCGGAACTGCTGAAGCTGCTGGCTCGGGGGCGGTAGCCTGGCCTCTCTTACCTTCAGCACTGGTTCCCATGCGCTGGGCAGGCCTACGCCCGCGTCTGGGTCGCCTAGGTGGGGATTCCGGTTCCTCTACAGCGTTGCCCTCATCGACTACGGCTTGGGTCTCCTCAGGCTGCTTTCGAGGTCTACCCCTTGGCTTTGGAGGGATTCTACCAACTGGCGTAGCTCTTGGTTGGCTCTTGGGCCTAAGACCTGCTCTTTTGGAGGATTCCTCGCCTGGATCGTCATGTTCAGAATCGTCATGTGAAGTTACTCCACTTTCCTTAGGTTGAAGAGGTCTTTGTGTTTCTTGTTGAAAGGCATCTGATGACATACAAAGTTAAATAGCGCTCCGAAAACAGGATAATGATACTAAATATACGAAACTTACCATCTCTTGGGTTGACGACGGGCTTGCGGTGTGTACATCGAATCTTGGATTTTCTACAAGAGCCACATGCCGGCTCCATTTTGACCTTCTTGGCCGGATTCGGTGCCGGTGCGCTGATTGCTTGCTAGGGTACCAATTAGCGTGAATGGGCTACATTGGGAGGAACTGGGAACACTGCAAACCTCGTGCGAAGAAGAACCTTGACTCTGTCCAAAAGTTGAAGTATCCACGGGGCCAATACTCTCCACACTCTGGTTGGACTCAGTATCCAAAATTGGCTCTTCGACACCCAAAGCCGACGCTTTACGCTTAAGCCAATTGCCACCCTTCAAAGCGCTGTCCGACAGACCTGCTGGCATCGGCTCAACTGTACTGGTCTCCGTTCCAACCCGGGAAGGTCTACAACCCACCAGGACACATCCAGGGTCAGGAACAAGAATGGGTTCGTCGAGATCTGCGGCTTCCCTCCCCTGTCTGGCATGGATATCATCTCCCTGGGAACCATCAGACTGAGTAGCGGGGACCGGGGTATTGGGTTCAGTCGGTGATCTAGCTTGGGAATCCAATGATGCGACTGGCGCACCCCTCGCGATACATTGTTCGCACAACTCGATCTCATCAGGAACGTCTTCGGCGCGCGGAGCACCGCAGTTCTTGCAAGGTCTGGCCATCTTCACCGGATCTATTAGTAGCGGCACTTTGGAGAGCCCTGTTCAGACAGAGCGGCGCAATAGCTGTATCAGCGGATCAACAGGGAAGATCGAAAGAGAATTAGTATTCAAGAGGAGGTTTGTAGGCGTTGTGCCTCTACCTCGGGTCTTCTGTTCGCCTTTCTATGGAGATAATGCACGCTTTTGTCAAATCGCCTGGAAAAATGACGAAGGATCTAAAACGGACGAAAGGAAGATGAAGGATGGGACACGAGGAGAAGCTCTGGACGCAGTGGGCGTGAATGAAAAAAGTGGGGGTAGGATGATTATGGAAAGGGCTTAATAGGGCTGTAGGAAAAGGACGGACAAGAGCGCGCTTTAAAGGTTGCAAGAGCCACATCGCCTGACTCTCTGCATCGAACACAACGCCTTCCATATACCCAAGGCTTTATCTCCCATTGTTGTATGGGAAATGTCCGGCCGGAATAAGCTACATCCCCATTGATGTTTGGATCTGTCCTAGAGTGTTATGAACAATGCGCGCTTGCTCACACCTCATTGTCCCCAGACAAAGCAATTCATTCGCATCCCGCACTCGCCCTTCTCCACGCTATCTACTGCTCCAACCTGAAAGAGCCATCTTTTAGATCCCAATATGGCATGGTTGTTCTATCATTGTCTCCGTTGTGTGCATGTGCTTAATGGCGCACAACGCATGCTAAAGTATTTGCAGGAAAACAATGAAGACAGCGCAACATACACACTCACAACGCTCATGGCCACAGTTCCGTTTCCACCCACTCTCCCTGTCCATCGGTATTGTCCGCAGGAACAAAGGTCCATCTGACACGCCGCACATTCTGAAGGTCCGACAGGTCAAGACGTTCGAGCTCATTTGGACGAATAACAACCACCCGAAAGTTCGCACGCGCAACAGAGTCCTGAAGATCATCTATCTGCTGACCCAATTTCAAGCTTGGATCTACTGGCTCCTGGGATCGCGGCTGACCAGGCGAGGGATTTTTGAACGTACCTGAACCGATCAGCCAACGCCTTGCCCTCTATTCGATGGAAAAAGAAGGACAAACAAACCTCTCATAAAAGGCGAATGATTCGCAAAATAAGTCGTTACCTGCCTCTCCCAGCTCCATCTACTCACATCCGCAGCGTTCCCTGTTACGTTCATGCCCTTCTGAATCTCCTTCCTCGCCGCCTCCTCATGCGCGCCACCCTTCGGGTCCCCAATCACAAACGCCTCTCCCTTCACCCGCCACTGGCTTCCAACATCCGTCAACCAGAAAAGACCCTCCACAACGTTCCCAGAAGAATCAAGCTGGCCGACCTTCTCCATCCGAATGTCAGTCGTGAGTGAGATCAGATCGCTCTCATACACAGCGGGGTTCTGGCCAATGCCCTGGCTGCTTAGCGCCTCGACAGCCTGGTCATGGAGCTGCGGGCTCGGCCAGAAACCACGAAACTCACAGGTCCGCGAGCGTGGCACGGGCCTGTTCTGAGAGTCGTGGTCGACGGTCGAGAGAGTAAACGAAGTGGAGGAGTTTTGAGTCAGATGAGACTGGAAGAGGGAGCGCCATGGGGCTTGAGGGGCCATTGTTGATGTAGATATTGATCCAAATCGGGCAAGTCTTTGTGCTGTGTTAGAAGGAGATTGCTGAAGGTGGGATGCTAGGGAGAAGATTCTCCTGCTGCAGGTTCGCGAAGCCAGTGTGACTGTGACGTGGGGTTGAGATAATTGGATCCTGCGCAGTGGGTACTAGGCTGTCTGAAGCTACCGATGTATCAATGATTGGCTAATATTGGACGAGGCAAATAGACCTCAGTGTTAAGCGCTATGTTCCCTATGATTGTATTTCAATGCGAGGTAGCTGAATAGTACCAGTGAAGATTGGTAGTGAATCACTGTTGACATGACGTCGGCACGTGCTGGTTATCTTATCTGATCAATGGCATCCCAGTATCCCACCAACTGGACAATCCATAATGATATTGGGCCTTGAGAGCGTCAAACGTCACATCTGTACAATGCACGCTATTCTGGTCATGCCACTGCTAGGGATATTATGTAATTTGATCACTGTGAATACCTTGATCTAAGTTGTACGTAATGCAGCTCTGAACTGCGCCAAGTCACTCCATACCGGGCGGGACAACAAATGCAAAGAAAGCAAAAGAACCAGAAGAGCCTTCAATTCCACTAAATATAAGCATTCCACAAACACCGCCACGGCCAAATGAAAGCTTTTCTGTATTGAGCTGAAGATCAAACGAAAAATGAAGCCTGGACACGCGAAAGATATCACATCCTTCATGCAAAAGAAGACCCATAACAAGCCCTGCACCGAATTCATCATAATAAGAACAAGAGAAACGATACGCCCATTTCGGGATATATTACGTCTGCATTTGGTCCGGGTCCTCGGCCGCATCGAACGCGCCACCGGGTATCCGACCTTCGTTCAATTCCTTTTCCAGTCTCGCGATCTCTTGTAAGCTCCTTGCTTCGCGGATCATCTTCTCGACTCGTTTTCTCTCGGCCTCGGTTAGTTGGACCCTGACGGCCTTGTCGGCCGGTGCCCTGTCAGCTAGGCTTCCGGATGGGACGTCGAATGTGCGGGACTTGATGCCCATGATCTTCGAGGCTAGTGCCGATGGTTCCTCGGCGGTTCCAAAGAGTTCCTGGGCCTTTTCACGCTCGGCCTCCTTTATCTTCTGGTAATCCAGGAAGCGCACGCTGGGGATCCTCCAGATGACCCAGTACCGGTAGTGCTGTGAATATCAGTAAGCGCTCCCATTCTGCGATTTAAACAGCTAGGGGAAAACCATATATGCAGGAATTCTAAACTGAAACAGAGGAACGGAGCGTATAGAATGCTTACCTCTTTCCGGGTGATAGGGTTCTCCAGCAATACCAAATGGGTCAACTTTGCCAGGTTGCGCAGAGGATCCAAGTCGGCGAGCTCGGTCATATGGTTCGATGTTAATACAAGGTTGGCCAGGTTCGGCACGGAGGTTGCTAGCGTGGGCTGGATGTGCTTGACTCGATTCCGGGCGAGGAGAAGGGTGTGGAGGCGGGGAAAGAAAGGGAAATTCCCAAGGGTGGAGATATCGTTATCTGTGAAGTCGATTGCATCTTGATCCTGCCAGAACAGTTAGCCTCGATTGACTGGAGGGAAGATGGGATGCAGAACGCCATACCTTGGCAATACCCAAGTTCTCGATCGCGGGTATTTTGTGCCCTATACGACTCAAAAGAGAAATGATATCAATCCAGCTCTTCAAAAGTGTAGTATCTGTCCTTTTCAGACCGATGTGTAGAACGCACCTCGGAGATCTAATTCGCGATCCTTGAGCGGGTTGATGTACGACAGGGAATTTTGGATAAGCTCGACGGTCAATCGCATTGCGGCGGTGCGTGTCTATGAGTCGTTCTATCGGGTATCATGCAATTATGGGAAGAAGGACAGAGTACGATTAATATAGAAATCCAAGGCCCGACAAATCACGACCAAGGGACAGTAAATTCACAGTGAAAAGAGCAAAGTATGCGGAGAGCAGTCAGAGCTACTTTGCGCATACCAAATTATCAAAGCGGTACCGCAAAGGATTTTGCCAGGGCGGTGAGCCGACGAATCAGCACTCATACACGTGATCGCATATTATTACACAGTATTTACGAGAAAGAGAAGGGGGCAAGCAAGTCACTATTTGAAAGTTGGATTAAAATTCATAATATTTGGTATAAATCGCCGAATCTGGTTCAGGCTAGGTGGCATAAGTCTATTGATACATGCAGCGTCATTAAAACGTATAAATCGCCAAGTCAGATCCAATGAACGACTTCGGGAGAAAAGCAAGGATAAACGGGATAAGAAAGCAAGCAACAGCTATGTACTTCGGAGCAAGAGCGCTCCTTGCAAATATCACACTGAGAAGTAATAAATATCCAGCCATTATGCAGACTTTTTGGTACCGAAGCCATGTCAAGAAAGTAGTTCTCGCCTGACAAGTCGTACCAACACCAAAACCGAAACTCCTTGGAAAAATGCTGATAAAAAGGGACATCAAGAGTTTTAATGTGGATAGCGTCACACAACAGCATCAAGCATCATGCGACAGCGGTGTCATGATGGGTGATCTATGAGGATGGGATCTCGAGGGACTGCCTGCTCTGGAGCGTCGGCCGTTTGACGTAGGGCCCAGTGCTATAGGCGCAAGATGGTCCCGACTCTCAGTCCTCACCACCAGGCCTGCGCGATCCATAGCGTTGATACCGGAGCCAGCGGTGATTCCAAGCCCAATGGTCCCAGATGAAGAGTTGTCCAGCCCAAATTTTAGACTGGGCGTGGGGCTGCCCCAGCTTGATGCTCGCTTGGGCGGCAGGAAGCTTGCGGATTCAGTATCAGACAGGCGGTTTACATCCAGCGAACTCCGTCCGGAGACAATCCCACCCAGGTCGAACTCGTTTGCACCATCTTCAAGAACACGTTCATAAGAGGGACTTCTGGGGCCAAAGAATGGCAATTTTCCACCAAAGAACTTGCGCTTCTTCGGGTAACTGGGGTGGGACCGCCCTCCGAAGAGGTTGCTAATCTTGTGGAACATCCGCGAGCGGCGACTTCGGCCGCAAAGGAAGAAAACTATCATGATCATGATAAGGAGAAACAGCACCAGCCCTGGGACTCTGCGGGACGATCTCGCGTTAAGAAGAGCGTCATGCCAATTCGCGCCATGAAGACCCTCGGGATTTGGCAGCAACTCAGTGCTAGGATATTGGAAGTCGTTGGGAACGCCGGCGACATTGCTACCGAACCCAACAGGTAGGGTCTTCTCTTCGATCTCCACAGGGACCTGGGAGGACGCGTACAGAACCATCTTGCCTAGGGTCCAGCTAACTTCGGTAGAGTCGATTTTGTTGACTGCCTGGAAGGGATCGAGGTAACCTTTTTCTTGCGCGTGTGTAATGACCTCCTTCGTGCCATTGTGTCCGGAGCCTGTTGTGTCCTCTAATCCCACACGTGGAACTCCGATGCCATTGTGCAGAACATTGATAATCCAGGAAGCCTTGAAGCAAACTTCAGAAGCCTTCTCATGGTTGAGTTTCTTCCATTTATGGTCGTCTATACCCTTGGCAATAGTCTCCCAATCCTGCGAACAAAAAGAATCCACACGCTGCTGATAGGTGTTGAAGTCGTACGCTTTATCCTTATGGCCCATTTCGAAAACGTCATGCGTTGTATGCCAATATTCGCTAATGCCGATGAAATGGTTCACATCAAAATCTATGGCGGGAGCGTGAATACCGTGGAGAAGACAGGGCTGATCCAGACAGGGTGCATCCTTATCCAACAACGGGTACGTTTGCCGCAAGCACTCATCGAATTTTCCGGTACCCAAAAAGTGCATGTTGCCATCTTGTTCCGCTGTAAAGGGCTTCCCATCAATTGTAGTCCGAAGACCGCTGGGAAGACAAGGGTCAGGGAGCTCCTCGGCGCTATCGACCACGCTTGCTGCTTGCATGGACTCAAGATAGCGTCGCCGTGCCTCGTGGACGCCGAACTCAAGCCACGAGGTGACAAAAACTCTATGCTCTTGCGTTGACCCATCCACATTACGGAGGCGCAGCAGCGTTAAGTCGTTGGCGTGCTTCTGTGTCTCTGTCGAGTTAGGAGCAAATGCGATTTGCGCCGATGCTCCTCCCATGTCCAAAAAGCCATAAGTATGATGGCCTTTACCGTGGTCGTGTTGTTCAGGTGCATTGAAACTACCCAGAAGGTAGTTGGCAGCGATCCATCCATACAGACCTTCCGTCACCCCAGGAATGACTTGGATGTGGACATCACAATCGGGTAACAAGAAGTCGGAGTTGGCACGCGCATAGGAGCAAATCTGATCTAGGAGAAGGTTTCGTTGTACATCGTCTAATAATCGCATACCGGCAGTAGCAAGAAGGAAGATCGGGGTATCCTTGATCGCATCAGGGGGCACGATTGTCTGAGCGTGTTCCAGAAGTTCTGCAAGATGTTGCGACCCAACCTCCTCGGGTCTGTCGGCAAACGAAGACACTCCTACAAGAGCAGGGTAGTCAGAATGCGTTTCACTTTGTTGTATCCTGCAACGCTGAGTCTTTACCTGGATGTATCTTCTTGGCCCATTCTGGCTTCGTTTTAATTTCCGGCAAAGATTGCAGATCCTTCGAATCTGCCCCTTTGCGCGCAACAGCGTTGTTCAACCATCGATAAACGTAAACTCTCGTCCCCTGCCGTGGGTGTTAGAGGGCGTGGAAGAGGCACTCTTTGACATGCGTGACTTACAGACGATCCTGCGTCGAGGACAACTCCGTAGTGCCCTAATTGTCACCCTATGGTCAGCGTCCGGCAAACATAGTAGCAAGCGGGGACCCAGAAGATTACATTTGCCCATTACGACTGATGATTAGGTATTATAATAGTGATTCTCCAGCAAGCATGACAGTCGAAAGGCAAGCTCGATTAGCGAATGGAAGGGGAGCGGTACAGGTCAGTCAATGGCGAGATTCGAGGGGTACCACAGTTTTTCTTTGAAACCGGGGGAGATAAGACCGGGGTCAGGTAAGCGGCGAAAACGGGGCTAGCGAAGACGAAAAGATAAGGAGGCCGATTATAATAACTAACTAAACGAATGGCCTTGCTGACGGACAGCAAGATGAAGAGTGACGCGGACAAAACCACGAAAAAGAGGAAAGAACTCAGATTATTACCGGTTCCTCTGAGGAAGGTTGGAGGGACAAGAGAGAAAGGAAGGACGGGAAAAAAGCCAAGAGAGTCACATTGAATGAAATGGTGGTAACGATAAGACGGGAACGGATGGCGACAGGACGCGACGCTGCCGATCTCCGGTCCTGAGGCCCGCCGTTTTCCTACTTGGGTAAAGGTCGGAACCAGCCTTTTTGAACTACTTTTGGAGGAGGCTGAACGATACACTCATGGACCCCGATGTCAAGAAATTGACTTCTTTGGCAGAAGAATCGAAAAAAAAAAAAAGAAAAAAGGAAATGGATTGTTCTGGTCTGCATATTACTGTGAATGGTTCATCTCGAGTGTTACTCTCTCGCTTGGACAACAAAACACGACGGAAGGGGACCGGTGGATATTAATCAAACCTCGTAATTTCGGATTAATTAAAGGTTGGCATCCAGAGCGTCCATCCTCAGGGTCTGCAGGACACTTCAAGGGACTAAAATAAATCCCTGTCGCCTTGACGTAAGCTTCGGCCCTGTTATGCGGGAGGGCGGCGTCCGCCCTTCTGATTGGTGGATTTGCCAACTGGTCAGAAGCCAAGCATGAAGCAGTCGTCATCACCTCTCGTGAATGTTTGGCCCTTTTCCCCCCTCCATGACGTTCGAGATCGGGAATGCTGTTCAACATGGAGCACCAACCGTTTGGCATACGAGTGATCGTCCCGTCGGCGACCGACCCCATAAACAATGGAGAAGAATTCCATTGAAGATGGAGTCCCTTGGAAAGACCAATCCGGATTCCCCAGATCGCCAAGGTGTGGAGTATTTGGACCCCTGTTGCTGGGATGTACATATATGTACGTATACGATGACACTCGTGCATAGGTAGTGTTGAGGAGTACGTACTACTTTCTTACCTGTCACATTGCTTATTACCAAAACTGACCAAAATTTTTAGATCATGTAATCACTTGAATCGTGACCGTGACTATTGTGACTATTGTGACTATTGAGACAAGATCCATAAACAACACGCTAGACTCCCGATTTCTTCTCTGTCTGCTCATCTTTTGACTCAGATGGCTCTTTCGACACCCCCATCATTATCGGACTGCCCATGCCATGTGCGATCGACCAGTCTCCGATCTGTTCGTCAAAGAACTGTGCCCGGTCGAGACCCATCATCTCCGATTCCTCATCCACCCGTAGGCGCATCCCAGGGATGTACTTGAGAATGAAAAGCAAGATGTAGGACACCGTAAAGGAATATCCGGCGATAGCACAGATCTCAGCAAGCTGCCGCCCGACCTGGATCCCGTTGCCATCAATCGCTCCGCCAGTAAGACTGGCCCCATCCAGGGCTGAAATGGATTCACTCGCAAAAAGTCCGGTTAAGAAGGCACCTACCATGCCCCCAATCCCATGAAGCTTGAAGACATCCATGCCCTCGTCAATCCTGAGCCAGTCATTAATGTTCTGGAGTGATGAGCAGACGATGCCGGTAATGAACCCAATACAAGCCGCGAGCCAAAGAGAAACACAGCCGGCAGCTGGTGTAATCCCTACGAGACCGGCAATGGCGCCTTCGCAAGCCCCAACCACAGAAAATCTACCCTTGTGTTTGATCATGTCGACCAGGACCCATCCCAAGATCCCCGTGCATCCTGCTGTATTGGTGTTGAAGACGGCCACCATAGCACGCATACTGGCGTTAAGACTCGACCCACCCTACACTCACAGTTAGATAGACAGCCATGGAAAGTGAACGGTTAGGCACGACATACGTTGAACCCGAGCCATCCTGTCCAGATGAGAACTGTTCCCAGAAATACTAACGTCGTGTTGTGGGGTTTGCGCGGCGAGGCTTCTCCATGGTGCAACCGCTTTCCCAGAACCAGCGCATATGCTAAAGCGGCACAGCCGGAAGCTATATGGACGGGACCACCTCCAGCGAAGTCTATAGCCTCAAATTTATAGAGCCAACCGTTGCTGCTCCATGTCCACCTGGCTAGGGGGCAATAGACGATCGTGGCCCAGAAGAAGCTGAAGATCAGAGAAGGCAAGATGTTACCTCGTTCAAAGGCACCTCCAGCAAGTATCATTACCTGCTGGTCTCAGTAATTTGGGCCATCTGTGATGGAATTGGATCATACCGTGCAAGCGCAGAAAAGAAGCTGGAAGAAGCAGAAGACGATCTCGGGGAGCACGGCGGAACCTGGAGAGGGTGCCACCATGACATTCATCAGTCCAAAATTCTGCAGCGTGCCGATGAATGGTCCCCCATTTCTGGAATAAGCTAGAGAATAACCCCAGAATAACCATTGGAATGTGACCCTACAATCTGTTGAGTATCTGCACTGACACACTATGCTACCACCTACAGAACTTACACCGCAAGGATCATAAAGCCTTGGAAGAGGAGGGCCAATGCGGACTTTCGGCGGGTTAATCCACTGTAGAGGAAGGCGATCCCGGGCAGAATTAAGAAGACGATAAAAGTGCAGGCGGTGATGTAAATATAATTGTATTCCAATCCTGCATATTGTGCATTGACATCGACTTTGGTTGGATCGCCCCCTTCGGGCATAGAAGCATTATACACCGGCTGTTAGCCGTACACAGTCACCATTAGCTCGATGTTGTTATCGTAGAGGTCCTCTGTCAGGGCAGAGAAGGACAGACATACCGCAGCCATGACAGCAGATGTGCTCTCTATTCGGTGAGAAGCGAAGATGACGACAACAAATATATATTATAGCATTCGCTCTTGTCTCTGGAACGATCGATATTGGGAAACTAGCGAAAAGCTGGAGAATCTGTCGGTCTGCATCGCAATTTATCCTCACCTTCTCCCTTGATTTGCAGCATCTCTTGGCCGGACTCAGACTACCATAGGATCGGGTACGACGTTTGTTTTGAGCTTCTCGTGTCCTTATCTGCACGAGCCAAGACTCTTGTACATAGACTGGCTCCAGTCATGATGAAATATAATCCAGTAAAGGGGACTATGAAATGGGCCGCTCGTTATCAGGGGGGCAATGGCTCAAGCACGCCCTCCGCCGCTGATAAGATACGGTCCATTGATTGATGGCTATTGGCTTTGCCTCTTCACCCCAGGATCTGGCAACCCGGCGAGGGATAGGGTGGAATTTTCATGTTAACTGTCTTGGGAAGTCAAATGCGCGAACCACGATGATTATTGGTGAGAGATAACCTGCTCCTGCGGCTGAGGTGCTCTGCAGAGCTAATCTTATCGGCTTCCAATAAATGTTCGGTTGCTATACGCAGGCTTCGATCATCTTGCAGATGGCGGGTCTATTGATAAGGATGAAGAGAAACGCCACAAGTATGGCTGACCTATGCAGAAGACATGTCGACTACTAGTACTAAGTCACATGGATATGTTGTGAAGATTCTGCTTGTGGTTAGTCTCTTCTCAAGGCTGATTAAGCCCTCTCTCGTCAAGGATCTTTTGAATCCCGCCGCCAACTACCGACATCCACCTTAGTCTCAGAATTTTCCCCACAATTTACTCCCCGCATGGGGGTCCGGGGAAGTGCTCAGGCATATAAAGGAGAACCCCGATCTCCCCACTTCACCTATAAGAAGATCGGGTGTCATTGACTGAGCAATTTGCCGTCACAGCTTAGCGCGTCACGTCCCTGCCCCGATTGGCCCGGTCCCTGCCTTATATCTCGGCTACCTTGCTTATTTTGGTTCGATTGAGGCATCGCGAAGCTTAGATCTGGGTATCTTTAGACTCTATTGGATGAGCCCTTACCCCGAGTTGACGCTGCTAATTCCCATGGTGGGGTGTTATGGACCGGTCTTGGAGAGTTTCTTACTGCCATTGTGGTCCAAATACCGATCCTACCACAAAGCCTGAAGCACAGCGGCAAATTTCCGCATCGATGCCTTCAACATGTCCCGTGAACCTGTACCGTTTCCCAAAGACTACCCCAGGAGGTGCCCTTTGCGGTAGCCCCATTCGGTTGAGAGCTCAGGTTCCATGACCCATTAAGGAAAGATGGGCGAAAATCCGGGTAGGGGATGCCGATAGAAAGTGGGACTAGGAACTTTCAGCTGAGGGCACAGCAAACCAAAGTTTGTGCCTATATATACCGACAGAGTTTTCACTGGACCTTTCGTACTGTCCATAGGACTACCGAATTGCCTTCACACCAGGTCGTCGCAAAATGTGGCACACAAATAAAGCCAGCTTTCTTAACCTCTTCACCCTTCTACTAGGGGCTGTGGAATCCTCTGCTCAATCCTTTACTCAATGGCCTCAGCAAACCTTTAAGAGCACCCAACTCGAAGCACCATACCTGAACGTCACCAAGAATGGCAAAACAGAACTGGGCTACCTATTCTTCTCCCCAACAAACAGTAACTGGAGCTACCCAACCATCTATCAAGATGACGGACAGCTCGTCTGGCGAGGTCCATTGGTCAACACCTCAGCCGAACAGCCGCAAATGCTAAACGGCGAGCCCGTCCTAGCCTACTGGAATGGTGCCAATATCAAAGGCTTTGGCTTCGGCTCCATTAGCATCCTAAACAGTTCCTATGACGAAATCTACAAAGTCACCCTCCCAGGCACAGAGGAGAGGTTCGTCACCGCTGATTCCGAAACATACCCCTCCTACATCGACATCCACGAAAGCCAAATCACAGACCAGGGGACGATCCTCGTGACAGCTGTAAATGTCACACAGATGGACCTCTCATCAATCGGCGGCCCAAAAGACGGCTGGGTGCAAGACGGTCTCTTCTACGAAATCGACATCAAGACCAACGATGTTCTTTTCCGCTGGAGTACCGTCGAGCATCTCTCTGAGATCCCTCTTTCCAACAACGAACTTCCGCTGGAGGGCAAGGGAACGAACCAGACCACCCCCTACGAATACCCGCACCTGAACTCCGTAGCCAAATACGGTGATTCATACCTGATCTCCTCCCGATTTATGTGCAGTTTCTTCTTCATTGACAAGAACGGCAACGTAACTTGGCAGTTGCATGTAAGTTAACCCCCTACCTCGGGGTATAGGCAAACTCCAACCTAAAACACAAACTAACAAATACCCCAGGGCCAAAAAGGTGGAGACTTCACCCTAACCCCAGGCACCAGCTTCTGCTACCAACACGACCCGCGTTTCGAAAGTCAATCAGAAGACAAAATCACCCTCCACTTCCACAACAACGAAAACTCAGATTTCACATCCGAAACCGTAATGACAACGGGCATGACCATCGCCCTAGACATGAAAACCAAGATCGTGACACTCGTTGACAAGATCTGGGACGCTGAGCAGCCCGTTTACGCCGAGTCCCAGGGTAGCTATCAGAACTTGACTAATGGACACGTGCTGATGCAGCACGGCGCAGTTCCAAAGCTAGAAGAATATGACGAGAACGGTGCGTTGGTTATGAGGGCTTGGTTCGGGTATCACGGCGGCACGAAGACATACAGAGGGTATCGGTTCCCGTGGGTTGGTAAGCCCAGGACGAAGCCGGATGTGGCTGCTTGTGCTGAGAAGGGGAAGATGGTGGTTTATGTTAGTTGGAATGGGGCGACAGATGTGCCGGAGTGGAAGGTTTTGGGTGGATCAGAGGAAGGGCAGATGAAGAAGGTTACGGTGGTGCCTAGGAATGGGTTTGAGACGAGAATCGCTGTGGATGAAGTGGTGGAGAAGGTTGTTGTTGAGGCTGTTGGTGGAGTGGGCGATGGGAGGAGATCGGAGGTCGTTACTGTTGGGCAGAGTTGTTGAGTTGATGTTGAGTGCTTATAAATATCTTACTGGCATGCTTACTCTGTAACCACAATCTAAGTAATTTGGGGGCTGATACTGTACTTCAGGTATCTTTAATTCTTGCTAACAAATAGAAGGCGCTGGAAGGACGTGTATGCCTCGGAAGCTGGACCACATGGCGAATAAAATCTATGCTCAGGTACATATGCACATTAAGGAAATAGTTACATACAAAGGGTTCATCACGAGTAGAGTAAGGGTATTCACAATGCAAGCAGGCGGGGGTTGGAATAGTAAGCCACTATCAACAATCCGTAACAAAATATAAAACGATGGGGTGAATATTAAAGCTTAGAGCTGGGCGTAATGTCTTTTCTGCGTTGCTGTCGGGCTGAAACATCTACGCTATCTTCCAAGTCAGGGCTTGCGGCACTCTCAAATAGTTTACGGCCGACCAAGTCGGTCATGATCAGAACACGAGATGAGACCGTTGCGCCATCTCGACGATTTTTCCTGCTCAGAATTAGTATAGTCAATCTGGGAAACAGGGATAAGAGCATGACTCACCCTTCGCGCCTAGATTGAGCAATCAACTCGGTGAAGTCCCAAAGGCGTCCCCGAGGCAACAGCTTGCCAGTGGACGGGTCTCGTTCTGGTGTCCATTCGGGTGCAAGCTTCACCACGGGTGCAGCGCGCGATTCTTTGCCCTTGCGAACGAGGATGATGCCTTCTTCCGCGAAGCGTTGGTACGAGTTTTTGAGGGTCTCCTTGTTGACGGCTTCGAAATAGGACAAGTCGCCTTGATGGTACAACGTTTTGCCAAGCTGCCCTCATGGTTAGGCTTAGATTTAATTTGGAAAAAAAAAATTCAGGAATAGACCTACCAGCTGAGCGCTATCCTGCGCTTTCTTCAAGTCGATCCAGATATCCTTCTGTTCATTGACTGGAGGGGTGAGTCCAAGCAGAGATACCGAACCGAGCCATGAAGCCTCGATGAATGGCCAGATCAAGAAACAGTAGAAGTCATAATTCTCTCTTCCACACTGCCGTTCCGCATCGCTTAGCTCAACGGACGTAGGTGTGCCGGCGGAATCCCTAGAGACGGTGATAACATCATCTTTCTCGAGTCCCTGGAGAGTTTTCTCTAAATTGGTAGTCAACCCCTCCGGAGGGAAGATGAACTCGCCACGGAAAAGCTGGAAGGTGTTAGTGATTTCGGAAAGGATGAGAAAGTGGTATCGTACCTGCGAAAGAAATGAAACCTGGCTTAAAAGATCCGTATATGAAATTCGTTGATGAGAAGGGCCACCGCCCCTTTTGACCTTCGTGTACATAGCCGCCGACACCAGCGCTTCCGTAATGAATAAATGAATGGTCATGTTGCGATAGAAAGACAGCTGGAAGCGATCCACAGCGTAGTATGTCGGCTCAGCAAGACCGCTTACTACACCCACGAGCTTCGAGCCGAGCACCTCAAGGGCACGATCAACGACCACCTCAGTCGGATATCGATAAAAGTGTGCAACCCGGCCACCCTTCATGCGCACACGCTCACAAAGCCACTCAACCCGACGCACCAGTTCTGCTTTGCCTACGCCGCGCCCGCGAAGCGTTAACAGCACGGTACCAACCAAAGCGGTAGGCATCATCACAGAGACATCATTGATCTCCGAAAGAACTCTATAACCCAAAGTCCTTAGGATTCGGCCTTTCTCTTCATGATTCAGTTTCCTGCCACTATTTACGCCAATCTGGTCTGGTAATCGGGACAATTGCTGAGTGACAAATTCTCTCAGACTCCAAGGTTCGTGAAATCGAACATCTACTCGACCTAGCTTCAGGGATAATACGGAAGAAGACGAAAGGAAATCCGCAAGGTTCTCTTTGCGCTTCGGCTGACCAAGAAGCTCGCTAATGTAGGATCTATAGGCAATGTCAGCAAGTGTGTAGGTCTATAGAGGGTTTCCTTCGTACTCAGTCTCAATAACTTTATCGTATTGTGTGCTAACGGGGCAGATGATTGTGTCCTCCACACGGCCGGATAGCACACTGTCTAATATGAAGCTCAGAATTCCGAATTTGGGAGACAACAACTTTCCAGTTCTAGATCGCCCGCCTTCGATGAAACACTCGAAATTGAACCCTTGTTGCAACATGGTATCAATATAAGCCTGAACGACGGTATGATACAACGGGTCATTTCCAAAGCTCCTCCTAATCCACATGGCCCCTGCAGTCGTTAGCATGGATACGAGAGAGGGTATATAATTATATCATACCAGCATGCTGCAAGAAAGGCCCCAGTAACGGGATGTTCAGATTGTCGCCTGCCACTACGACAGGTAAACCAATCCCTAAGCGGTAGCAGATAAGTTGGAGCGAAACATAGTCAACATGCGACTTGTGGCACGGCAAAAAGACAATGGACTGCTTCTTTTTGGCCGCTTCTGCTGCAACGGACCTTAAGCGCAGAACTTCTTCACTCGATACGTGAATTCCTACGGCCATTAGAGATAAACCCTCACAAAAAGCTCAAACACAGGCCTACCTTGGTGATAAGCACGCGTGAGAAGCTGAGTGCAGAGATAATATGCGCCGCGGATAAACCGCTTGCTCTCCATCTTGCAAATCATATTGTCCAGCATAGAGTCAACCACCTCCTTTAGGTTACTCTCGATCTCATTCCGCCGATGGGCCTTCTTCTTCGGCATCGGGCCCGGCTTCACATCTAAGAGGCCCTCCTTCTCTTCTACCGATAGCCGAGCTTCGGCCAGTTCCTTAACCTTGCCGCGTAAGAGAGAGCTTGCGAGGATGTTCGTCTTCATCCTATCCGAAAACCCGGAGTAAAATATAGGCTGCCCGATCACATCGTCGTACGCGCGCCAGCCAGTACCTGACATGTAGAGGCTCACTTCCCGTAGAAAGTCGAACGGGTTCTCCCGAAAGCGTGCCATATGATGGACAAGATTCCGCTCGGTAATTTCGTCATCTTGAGGATCTGGTCCTCCGGTGAATCCACTGGGATGAATCGTAACTTTATCTCCAACAATTTCCAAGTCTGGGGGCGATTGATCAACAGGGCCCTTCTCGGATGGCATCTTGGCTAGAGGTGAGAGCGGAGAAGTAGCTCTGCAAGGAACGGGAACGAAGCTAATCAGGGAGAATGACAGGAGGTCCGGCTGCCATGGACTTCAGAAGCACGGGAGACACAACGGTCATAACATGAATGGCCACCCGGAATATAGGGAAGAAGGTTTCATAGCCACAATAGCGGTAGAAAGTTGTTGTGATTCAAGTTCCCAACAAAAGCGCCTGATCATCCCCCGGTATTTCCCCAGAGTCACTACCTCGGATAGCATCACGTGAGATAGCACGGCCCTTCTGGCGTAAGGGCCAGTAATAAATTACTCAGAGTCCATGCAACCATGGCTCCAGAACTGTACGTAAGAGAAAAACAGGTGATGGGGCGTTCTAACCGAAACGGGCGCCGAGCGTTAGGCCCGAAGTGGGCAAGTTCGAGAGCTCCTCTTCCCGAGTCCCGCGAAGGATGATTTCCACGCAGAAGCCGAGAGCACGACGATCGCCCACCACCTTCTTCAATCAGAGAGCATGTGCGCCCGTCTCAGTGGGCTGATGCATCCTGTCGTGCAAGTTTCCAGCTCATAGACTTCGGTGTAACGGCCAATGTCACTTTGGCGATTCAGTGTCTGAGCCCGTTGTTGCTCCACAGTGGGACAGAGGAAGCACACTGACCTGCTACATGGAAATCTGCGAGCCTGCCACCTCATAAATAAATTTCCAACATGTTTCGGTGGGCGCGGGCATTCTCAAGTAAGACTTCGAGAGACTTCTGAATTCAGTCCGTATTCAAGCGCATATTTCTCTAACAACAATCTCTATTACAGCCGCGCCGTCTTTTTTCAACAACGCCTCAATGGCTTCCCCATCCCTCCGCCAGTACTCATTCCAAGTCTTCCGCGATGTCCCTCCGCTCCGCCAAATGCGCCGGCAGCTAGTACTGGATAAGAAGACCGTAGGGTTTGTTCCTACCATGGGGGCTCTTCACGAGGGTCATCTCTCGCTGATCCGACAAGCCGCGGCCGAAAACACCGATGTCTTCGTTAGCATCTTCGTCAACCCGACCCAATTCGGTGTTAATGAGGATCTTTCGAGCTATCCCCGCACTTGGGATAGCGATGTGGCTAAATTAGAACAACTCAATGATGAGTTTGCCCGTCTTGGTAATGACACTGGTCGTATCACGGCCATTCTTGCCCCTACGTCGAAGGTCATGTATCCTACATTGCCGCCTTCATCGGAAATTGACGGGGATGGGTCTTTTGTTACAATAACCCCTATCTCAAGGAAGCTGGAGGGTGCATCCCGCCCGGTCTTCTTCCGAGGGGTTGCGACCGTTTGCATGAAGCTCTTCAACATCGTTCAAGCCGACCGTGCGTACTTCGGACAGAAAGACGTCCAGCAAACCGTGGTCATCAAGCGCATGGTGCAAGACTTCCATGTGGATACTGAGATCAAGATTGGCGACACGGTTCGTGAGCATGACGGGTTGGCGATGAGTTCGAGAAATGTGTACTTGGGAAATCGGAGACGTACTGTTGGCCTCGTCCTCTACAATGCCCTGAAGAGTGCTGAAAACGCATACAACTCCGGCAAGCTGGCGCGGAGTGACATTCTCGATGCCGCTAATAGTGTGACATCCCAAGTCTTGTCCGAACAACAGGCGTTGTCGGCGTCCGAAAGAGTCCTTTATGAAGTCGACTACATATCCTTGGCCGATCCTGACACACTGGATGAGGTGGAGTCAATTGACCCCGCCAAGGGAGCCATCATAAGCGGTGCGGTCAAGATGACTCCTCTTGAAGAAACTAGGCCCGGTGAAGACTGTGGCCTAGGTGATGGACAGGTTCCTGTTCGACTTATCGACAACCTGATCTTTAAGCCTCGAGCCTGAACCCTCTGCTTTTGGGAGATTTAAAAATATACAAAATAGATAGATAATCTTCAAAAGAGCGTTTATACAACCAGCTGTACCCTGAACAACGACCAATGCACATATATGACATGTCTGCCATGGTGGATAACCTTTTGCATCGACCCACCTGTTGCAATACAAAGTACTAAGTGCAGCATATGCTAACAGTTATCAATCTAATACCTCACACCCACTTGCACTGCATAAAGCAACCGCCGATCTTCCGTAGCAACCTTCCCATCACCCAAAAAGGAAAATAGGGCACATAGAGAGGGCTCGGAAGCAAAACGGGCCGAGAAAATTTCCCTCCGCAGCGGGACCCATCGAAAAAAAGCAGCAGGCCTAGCTTCACTTAGCAACCAAAAAACTCATAAACACCCAAACAAAACCAGAAGTTCGTCATTACATCCAAAATGGCGGACGACGGTTTACTCCTCAACTTCGCCATCGGCGACATCAACATAATCAAACCCGAAACCAAGCTCAAAGGCGGAACCTGGCGCGACCGCCTAAGCGCAAAGAAAATCGCGCAACACCGCACCAACAACCCCCGGAAACCCGGCGAGGAGAGGCCATCCTCGAACAAAGGTCCCCAGAACCCGAATCACATTCAGGTGCCCTCATCTCGGCCGTCGAAGAGACAGAAAACAGATACCGATGGAGACCATGAGAAACCACAACATAAGAACCAGCAACACCCGCGACAGTTCGTCTCGTCCCTTTTTTCGAAGAACCCTACGCCCCGGAATGCAGAGGAGGTGCCTGAGCAAGAGCCGACTGAGGATGCGAAGCCGACGAATGCGCCACTAATTGATGGTCTGGATACGTTTACGAATCTGGGGCTGTCGCCGAGTTTGGCGGCGCATTTATTGACGAAGTTGGAGTTGAAGGCGCCGACGGGGATTCAGAAGGCGTCTATGTCGCAGTTGCTGAAGGAGGACAGTGATGCGTTTATTCAGGCGGAGACTGGTTCCGGAAAAACGTTGGCTTACTTGCTTCCGCTTGTGCAGCGGATTATGACGATTTCGAATCCGAAGAATATGAGCACGGATTCGAAGGGTGAGCCGATCGTTCATCGTGATAGTGGGTTGTTTGCCATTGTCCTGGCGCCGACACGTGAGTTGTGTAAACAGATTTCGGTTGTTCTGGAGAGTTTGCTTCGATGCGCGCATTGGATCGTGGCTGGTACGGTTATCGGTGGTGAAAAGAAGAAGTCGGAGAAGGCGAGACTAAGGAAGGGACTAAATATCCTGGTGGCTACACCAGGTCGACTTGCTGACCATCTTGAGAATACACAAGCGCTGGACGTGAGTAATGTGAGATGGTTGGTGCTAGATGAGGGCGATCGGTTGATGGAGCTCGGCTTCGAGAAAGAACTGCAAGGGATCATTCAGAAACTTGATGCCAGGCAACGACCTAGTCGAATTCCCGGTATTCCTACGAAGCGAACTACGATTCTTTGTTCCGCTACATTGAAGATGAATGTACAGAAGCTGGGAGAGATCAGTTTGAAAGACGCCGTTCATATCAAGGCAGACCCCGCCGACGAGGATGGGGAAACCAAGAAGGACGACGACGGCTTCAGGGTGCCAGCTCAGCTCAAACAATCTTATGCTCTTGTTGCAGCTAAGCTCAGACTGGTTGCTCTTACTGCCTACTTGAAACGAACATTTATGCGGAAAGGCTCCGTCATGAAGGCTATCGTATTTGTCTCGTGTGCGGACTCGGTCGATTTCCATTTCGAGGTGTTCTCAAGAAAGAAGCAGTATAGAGACGAGAGCGAGGAGGAAGACGAAGATAAGGAAGACGAGGATGAAGATAATGCGAAAACGAAATCCGAAGCATCGCCACACGGCACAATCGCCCCCGCCGTTGCCTTTTCTAACCCTTCGAACCCGGTTAAATTGCATAAGCTCCATGGATCTCTCCCCCAACACGTCCGAACAGCCACCCTTAACGCCTTCTCTCGCGAACGCGAGCCATCCGTACTAGTGTGCACCGACGTTGCATCTCGAGGATTGGACTTGCCAAATGTCGACTTGGTCATCGAATACGACCCGGCTTTTAGCGCGGACGACCACACCCACCGAATCGGACGTACCGCCCGCCTTGGACGGGATGGTCGAGCATTGATCTTCCTGATGCCTGGCTGCGAAGAAAACTACGTGGAGGTTCTGAAGCGGGGATACCGTGACGGCGGGAAGGCACTCACGCGCACAACTGCGGAAGATATATTGAAGCGCGGGTTCGGCGGGAACATCACATCCGAGACCAAGAACTGGGAAGAGAAAGCGACCGACTGGCAAATGGACCTCGAACGATGGGCAGTGGATAACCCACAGTACCTCGAGATGGCCCGACGAGCCTATCAATCCCACATCCGCGCCTATGCCACCCACATCGCCAGCGAGCGAAGCATGTTCAACATCAAGGAACTCCACCTCGGACATCTTGCCAAGAGTTTCGCCCTGCGTGACCGGCCCAGCAAGATCAACGTCCCCGGCCTGCGCCCCGGAGACAAGGATGCGAAGAAGGACTACAAGGCCGAGCGGAAGACCGTCGGAAAGAAGAGGAAGGCAGGCGGCCGAGACGACGACGATTTCCCATCTTCAAACGACGCAACATCGGCGGCCCAAAAGATGAGAGCCAAGCTGAAGGAGCACATGGCTGGAGCCAGCGAATTCAACCTTGCCTAGTGTATTTTGTATATAGCAATTGACGACCTCAGTAGATATCCCACAATGAGATCTTTCCATCTTTTGAACCCGCAGCTAACCAATGCGTCTTCTGGACCTTCTGATTCCGCTGCCGCTGCACCGTAGCAAGCGAGAACTCCCCCGGTCTCGTAACCTGAGCGCCGTCCTTACCCCCATCCCCCATCGTAGTAGTAACACCCGAATCAACAGAATCCGCCAAATCCGCAAAAGCAACCGTATAACAGCCCTCCTTATGCCACTTCAAAACCGCCAACTCCCTCATCGTCTTACAAGAATACACGCGAATCCTTGAATCCCAGCCCGCAGTCGCAAAGACCCTCCCATCAGACCGAATCCTCAGCCCCTGCTGCCCGGCATGCTTCGTATCAACCCTCTTCAGCGTCGTCGTCTCCCCAAACCCCGGAACGGGATGCCTGACCAACAAAGCATCAGCGGACGACGAGACAAAATACCCCCCAGCAGGAAAAACATCGATCGACAAAGCGGGCTGCGAATGCGGGCGAGCGATGTAAATCTTCTCCCACTTCCAGGTTCCCGACAAATCCTGCGGACCTCTCCGCGCAAAAACCATCACCTGGCCGTCTTCGTAGGCGGCCGCAACGTGTAGCTCCCGACTAGATGAGTAGAAAAGGGTCACGGCCATGACCATCCCTGTTGGCGTGGCTGTGCCGGCAGGGATGGTGCAGAGGCGTCTTTCGCGTGGCAGATGGAAGAGATCGATTGCGCCTGAGTCGAGGGCGTTCGGAACGGCGAAGAGCGAGGCGCGCTGCCCAGGTGGCTGGGCGTCTGACAACGCCTCCTGTGGACCTTGGGTTCCCTGATCATCAAGGAAGAGCATGGAGAAGGCGCAGAAATTCAGGGCATTAACGGGGAGCGAATGGACGAGCCAGGGCTGGGTCGCCTGGGATTGGTCCTGCTGCTGCTGCTGCTCGCGCAAGTCCACGGGGAGTGTTTTCTGGAGGAGATCCTCGTCTTGGGCGCGGAAGCGCCACACGCATAATTTGTGATCTCGTCCATGGCTGTGGTGGCATTTGTTAGATACTTTCTGTGGCGAGGTTGGGGAAAGAAGGGAAATCGTACGTATATACTTCTGTCACGGTTTCGTTACTGAAACTGAAGCCTTTCACTTCCAGGATGGCGCCTTCGTGGGCTTTCCAGACGGCGACGGGCCGCTTGAACACTAGGTCCCATACAATTACCCAGCCGTCGGCGTCGCCGGAGAGGAGCCGGAGGTTTTGGTGGAAAATGTGCAGGCCGTGGATTGGCGAGGCATGGCCGCGGAGAATGTAAGTTGGACTTGCTGGCGGTTGCAGCTGAGTGGGGGCGCTCATTTGTGGTTACTTGGATTTGGAGATATGATTATGTATCAACTATTATGGGTGGATTTTGGCTATATCTCCTGTACTGGTTGTATGTCCTTTTATATTTGGTTCGATGAAAGTAGTTGAAGATGATGAAAGGATATGTGGATATGGCTGGGAAAAGTCTTGGCACTGGAACGCAGTAGATATCGATCTACTCATAATCGATCTCGAGATAGAATGATGCAAGCACGAAATATTACCCCGGGAGTCTGTGGAGAGTTATTGATTTAAACTGTTGCATTTTATTATAACCAAGAAACCGAAAAACTTTCTATATAACCTGGACCACTAATATCACATATGTGGACAAGACGTCTAATCCCAATAGCGAAAGAGAAAAATCAACATCATGAAGGTATCATAGAAGAATAACGCCGGTAAAGGGTATCGCACAAATGATGAACCAAGTCCCACAGAACGCCGTCATACCGGTACAAATAACATCTATAAGCTCCCACATTGGTAATCACTGATTTGATGCGGCGCAACGTAATGATCTTGATACGGGTGATTGTCCATGGAGAAATCCGCAAACGCCATGATAGGGTTGACGACCCCGGGGGGCATCTTGAGGAGAGTCGAAGTAGGGTCGATGTCGAATGTGTGGTCGTTAAGCAAAGGTAGTGCATTTGGATCTGCCGGAGCCGGTTGATGTTGCTGGGCTGGATTCCAGCCCCATGCTTGTTGAAGCCCCTCTTTGACTTGTTCAGACCTCCATCCGGTCTCTTTGGTGATATCGTCAATGATCCCAAAGACTTCCTCCTGAGCCTCCCTTGTAGCGAGACATTCGGCAGCCACGGCCAAAAAACGAATAGACAGGCTAGCAACCCCACTGATTGCAACCGTTAGAACCAACAACGACATGTATAGAACAACCACTGCTTACCTATCTTTCACATTTGCGACAATCCCGCATATGTCATGCGCATGGCTTTGCTGCACGCTCTGCATATCAGGGCTGAACTCGTTTTCGAAGGGATGTGCTTTTGTAAGGAGAATTCGAGTTGTATGGTAGAATAGCCGAGCTATGATTGAAGCTCGTTTTATAAGCCTACCAAGAGTTAGCTAGGGCGGCTGATTGTCAAGGCTCACAATGTACCTACCATATCTTTGGAAACGCAGATTTCGAGTTGGTCTGCCACGATGGCAGAAACGCAAGAGGCATCATGGAGCGAGGCACGGCCTTCGCCCATTTATCACACCAGTCATTGTACATCGTCCATTCCTGACATCGATGGTTGATCTCCATATCGTTTGTGGAACGATCCAAGGGCTGGAGCTGAGACATGGACGACCGAAGATTTACGACTTTGGCACAAATATAGACCATGCGGTGGGTCCACAGTTCCTCGTTGCCTGCAACACTGGGGTGGGCTTGCTCGAAGTCCATATTTACACCCCATGTGTCGGGATCCCAAGCCAACGCCCAATTGAAATGCAAACAACTGAGTAGTTCCATACTAACATTCAGCCAGAAACAGGCCCCACCGAGACCTTGAGTCCTCGCGTCCCAGTGACACTCCTTAATGAGGGCTCGCGCACCAGCGATGTGGTTCATACCATGGATTGATGGGAAAGATTTTGAACACATTAGCTCGTAGACATTGAGGACAACAGCTGTTGTCGCACATAGGGCAGAGTCTCGGTCTGGGTCATGCAGCGCGCTAAGGAGCTCCCTAGAAGCTGCATCATGGAAATACGAGGCTTTTTCTTCTCCGTACGAAGGGTTCTTAAGGTATACATGACGGGCACCACATGCCATGAACGCCCTCAAGAGCATCGGTTGTCCTAGCGCATGGAACGGCAAGATATGCGTGAACTGATTATGTCAGGAACACCGACATGTTCTTAAGGGCCGTGAAACTCACATGTTTTACATCGTTCATCGAGTCCATCCATTGACCAACTTCTTCTACAAAGACTTGCATCAGGAAAACATCGTCGGGGTCCTGAAGACATGGGTAGTTATTGGACTGTACATCCCCCTTTCCAGCCGAGTTGAAAGGCGCATAAGAAGCGCTGGGATCTGGAAGAGGCTGATATGGGGGATGAGGATGGCTACCAAACGTAGCATTTATACTGGCCGGCTGAGCCCCAGGACCCGCTCCAAATGAGGGAGCGGCATGCGGATTATACGCAGACGGCAGAGGGCTCGTGAGATTGTCCGCCTTCAAAGGAGGGTCCGCTACTGGCGGCGGATATCTCTCAAATCCTCCAACGTACTCAGAAGCTATATGCCTAGACTCGTCACGGAACGTCACGCGGGACCCTGGAGGGCGTGGAATGTAGTGGGGAGGCGCTACCGTTTGGGTATCGATGAAATTGAGACGAACTCCACGTCTGCATATCCGGCCTGATTTCCGGCAATTCTGGCACTGATGCAAAGCTTCGTCACACTTCAAATGGCGCTCTCGGCAAGTGAGACAGCCAGTTCGGACACGCCTGGGCTTCCGTGCAGTGTCCTTTCGTCGACCAGTATCGCTGCCTGGTGTCCGTGAGACGCTCATTGTGGTGCTATTCGGGGTGAGGACTCCTCCTTCACCAAATGGGCTTTCTCGAGCATTGTCATCCGTGGCTAGCTTGTCTGGGGTTGGAATGTCTACTTCCAGGCCAGGAGTATCTGCGGTTTGGTCGGTAGCTGCCACCTCTACGGAGACATCCAAATCGGGTGACGGCAAAGCATTGCCCTTGATAGTAGAAACCGAAGCCATATCAACGCTCGGTGTAACGCCCCAAACTCTTCTGGAGCCACTTTATAGCCAGCGCTCAATATTGTTACGTAAAGCCTCACGATCAGCCGCAAAGACCAGGCCCCCAGCGCATTGTGGCTACCTGTAAGATTCCCGGTTGCGTAGAGATACTGACTGTCGTTTCTGACGGAGTTACGGATAGCGGCGACGATTGATAATGGAAGTAAGTACTACAATCGAGGGCGGAAAGGTTAAAAAGAGTATCTTCTTGTATTAATCGGGCCATGAAAAAGCGACGGATATTCTTCGGCACCTGGAGGGAAAGAGGTTCTTGTCAGTCTAGTCCAGTCAATGATGGGCCCAGTACCGAGCTACAGGTTATACCCCATTCTAAAAGCGTAGCGCGGAAAAAAGCGGCATCAGTCCATACCCTTACCAAGGCCAATCAATATGCACCAAACCCACAGAGCGATTGGTTGATAGGAGAGAGTGTGTGAAACTGAACGACCCCGAAGATTTGCGGGGAGATAACCAGCATTCCTCTAGACCAAGAAGGGACTAGCGCATCTTTCACCGGACTTTATCAAATCACCTTTTTAAGGCCGGCAACGTGATTGTTTATCAGTTTGCTCTATACTAGTATTCAATACGTACATTTCATTCTCGTGGCTTTCTACAGTTTGTTTCCCATATTAACATGTACAGCCTTCACCTGGCTATACGCCTCAAGTCCAGCTTCACCTAATTCTCGCCCAATTCCACTCTGCTTCACCCCTCCGAACGGTACCCGAGGATCGCAGTCCTGGCTGCTGTTGATCCAGACCATACCGGACTCAATCTCAGCTGCAACGCGGTGGGCACGCTCAAGATCCTTTGTGAAGACAGCCGCACCAAGGCCATAAGTGGTATCATTTGCACGCCGAATGGCTTCTTCCTCCGTCTCAAATGGCACAATGACAACCACGGGCCCAAAGATCTCCTCCCGATAGATACGCATCGAGTCCGTAACATTTGTGAAAACAGTCGGGCGAACATAGTATCCCGACTCTCCGTTGCTGTTGGGTGGGTGAGGACCTCCTCCGGAAGCCACCGTCGCGCCCTCCGAAATGCCCACTTGAATGTACTCGAGCACCCTATCGTATTGAGCGCGAGTCACCTGGGGTCCTTGGAAGGTGCTCTCATCCCACTGATCTCCGATCTTCGATGTGGTCTGAATAGCGCCCTTGAACTGCTCAACAAAGGTATCGTAAATGTCCTTCTGGACCAAGATCCGCGACGTAGCCGTGCAAATCTGGCCTTGGTTGGACATGATACCGAAATGGGACCATTTCACGGCCTGCTCCATGTCGGTATCGTTGAACACAATCAGGGGCGACTTTCCTCCCGTCTCCAGAGTAATATTCTTCAGGCTGCCCGCAGCCATCTTCATAATCACTCGCGCCGTAGCAGTGGAGCCCGTAAACGCCACCTTATCAACCAAAGGGTGCTGCACCAGAGCGGCACCGGCCTCGCGACCGTATCCATTGATGATATTCACAACACCCTTCGGGAAGCCGGCTTCCTTGATCAAGGTTCCCAGAACCAGAATGCTCAAGGGCGTCTGCTCGGCAGCCTTAATCACAACCGTGTTGCCACAAGCCAGAGCAGGCCCCAGCTTCCAGGCTGCCATGGACAGCGGGTAGTTCCATGGGATGATCTGACCGACCACACCGATGGGCTGTCTGATTGTGTAGGCGAACTTCTGGGGGGTTGTGTTGATCGTCTGACCGAACGTCTTATCGGCCCAGCCACTGTAGTACCGGAAGGTGCTAATGGCTTCCACCAGGTCCTCGCTCAGCGCAACATGGTATGGTTTTCCTGGTTCATCAATCTCAGCACACATATAACAATTTGGGAACCAGACTAAGACCCAACTCACCGTTATCCCACGCGTCAATCGTAGCGAACAGCTCCTTATTCTGCTCTATTAAGTCGGCCAACCGACCCATCAACATTCCTCGGTCTGTGGCGGGGAGGAGCTTCCATGAATCATCCTTCAAGGCAGCTTTGGCGGCATTGACTGCCTTGTCGACGTCCTCGGCCCCAGCTGCGTAGACCGAAGCGATTTCACGGGTGGTGCTGGCATGGGCGTTAATTTTGCACAAAGATAATTAACCCCCCCCTAAAGGTCTGGTAAATAACATACGCAGGATCAATAGACGCAATAGTCTGCCCAGACGTAGACTTCACAAATTCATTGTCGATAAACAAACCCGTAGGCTGTTTATACTTGCGACCGTTTGGCGCTGTGATATCAAGGAAGAGATCGAGCTCCGGCATGGCGGGGTATGACTCGTTTCAAGAAAAGAAAAACCCCAGAGTAAGAAGAGTCGGGTATAATAAAGATAATAAAAGTCGGAGATATGAAGAACAAGAGGAAAAAAAAAAAACAAACGTTGAAGAATATTCAGAGAATCATTCAGCTACATATCTACGTCTAGAGGTCATGAGCTTTATCTACACGGAAAGGCAAGCAAAAGGCAGAGCTACCCCACTGACCACAGCTTTCAAATCAACCACCAATGTCCACTGAATCAGACCCAGAAATTGCCCCTCCGCGGGGTTCTCTCGGGTGCACATACCATATGCAAGCAAGCGATTTGAGGGGTGGGGTTTAGCGCATTCTGAATCCAGCCTTATCGGAGTCACCGCGACACTTAGGGCTGGATGTCTGCGCCCCGAAACAGGCAGGCCGTTCCGAAACCGACACTCATTCCGACTGCACGTTCGACCCTCATCGATAGCATTACATTATTCATCTTGATGTCAATCATTCATGCACACAGAGAGAGTTTACCCCGGATCCATAGATCCAACCGTCGGAATGGTCCTCCTTCCTTCAGAATCAGATCCAACAAGCACCACCACCCAAGGAAAGCTATTCCGGCTCACTCGTAGATATAATAAACCATGCCACCAACCAAACAACATACAACATACAATCAATTCAAGATATTCAAGATATTCATTCATACCCACACTACACTCTAAGAATACCCATTCCACCCACCTAACCAACCAACCACGATGAGCAACCAAGAACTCACGGGCGTCATGGTCGCCCTGATCACCCCCTTCACAGACGACGGTAGCAAGATCGACGAAGCCCGTCTCAAGTCCCACATCGACCGACTGCTTCAAGCTGGTGTGCACGGCCTCGTCCCCGGCGGCAGCACGGGAGAATTCACAGTCCTGTCCCTCGCGGAGCGCAAGCAACTCACCGAGCTCTGCGTCAAATACGCCGCGGGCCGCGTGCCCGTGGTCGCCGGCACAGGCGCCACCTCGACGCAGGAGGCAGTCGAACTGGCCAAGCACGCCGGTGAAGTCGGCGCCGCCGCAGTGATGGTCGTGCCCCCTTTCTACGACCCCGTCAACTACGAACAGCTCACGGAGATGATGAGCGAGATCCACACCGAGTCGAAGCTGCCCATCATGTACTACAACATCCCGTCTGCTAGCGGCCTGACCTTGACGCCGCAGCAGATCGCGGACCTGTCGAAGGTCGGCGTCAAGTACCTCAAGGATACATCCGGCAATGCGCCGGCGTACACAGAGCTGGTCTTTGGCTTGTCGGATAAGATCACCGCGTTCAACGGCTGGGATACCCTCACGTTTTATGGTTTGGCGGCTGGGGCGCCTGGCTGTGTCTGGGGTGCCGCGAACGTTATCCCGGAGTTGGCGGTGCAGCTGTGGGAGGCTATTGCTGTGCAGGGTGATTTGAAGCGTGGTAGGGAGCTTTGGGCCAAGGCTTTCCCTATCTGCAAGTTCCTGGAGTCGCATAACTATGCTGCTGCGGTCAAGACTGGTGTTGAGTTGACTGGTCAACCCACTGGTGGTCTGCGGAAGCCCTTTGCCCTGTTAGCAGACCAGCACAAGGCTGAGTTGACGTCGCTTATGCAGTCGGCCGGTGTTAAGACTGTTTAAGGGGTGGTTCTTGGGAGGAATATACAAGCATTATTGAATCATGTGAGACGTGACATTCCGGCGTTTTGTGCTTCAGCTTTCTATCTGCGAATATGTATGACAGTAAATGATAAAATACATTGTTTTCCCTTTTTCTTTTTTGTTTTTTTTTTTTCTCCCTCATGAAAGCATTGGCCAAAGCTTTTTCTGCCTCAATATGTCCATCCACGTAGGTAGCGGGCCTCCAGCGCGATTAAAGCGGAAATATCCGTCTTGTTCTTTCCACACGGCAGTCATCACATCCTTCGCGACGGCAAAAGATGCAAAGCCACATTGCGCTCCTCCCTTTTCGACCCATCGCAGGAGAGCATCGCGCTTAGATGGTGCCGTGGCTTCACATCCTGCCATGAACGCCGGCCACGCGGTGCCTGGACCAGGAACTTCATGTTGAGCTAGCGCCATGTCGAAGTCTTTCAGAGCTGCTATGACTTCATCGACGTGCGATTGAAGGATTGATGGGTGAACGTTGCGAATGCGACGGTAGAAAAAGATTACAAGGGCCGTGTTTAATGCCCGGAGCATGTGAGTATGTGGTCGGGCAGGCCCTCCTGCCGAGTCGGAATTGCTTCCCTTACTTCTATCTGAATTAAAAGAGCATATCATGTTCTCAAGACGGGTGGCTCGTCGTTGTAGTGCCTCCCACGCCTCCGAGTTCATGAATCTCTTTGTCCCTCCAGAGGCCACTAGAGTGTCCATGACATTGGCTAACCTGGTTGTTTGTGACACTAAGCTAAGCCATGTCTCCGGTATACCGTAGATCTCGCTATAAAGAGTGTCTGCCCATCGGCGCGAGTCTTCCAGGTGGATGTCGTGAAGGGCTACTTCGCGCTCTTTGGGAGCGTCAATATCCAGATCACTGTCCGACTGGCGGGGCTGCAGGAGCAGAAAGTCATCTAATCGCGCGTCCAGTCCGCTTCGGCGGCTGTTATCTTGCTCCAGGATGTCTTCGCGAGGCTGGAAGCAGTGGTTGAGTGCCTCGATAAACGAAGCAGATGGGTTGTAATCGTGAAGGACATAGGTGCTTTCTCCTACGATGCGCATCCAGGTGTAAATGTGATGCAACACACGCGCTTTCCGGGAAATCTCACGTTTGGATAAACCACGGAGACGCATGAGACGCTCGGCATCGATCATATAACAACGTGCGTCCTTTTGATGTCCGGAAAGAATCTAAAGTACATAGTCAGCCAGGGGCCAAAATAGCCAGGAGCCAAAGTGAGAGTCTAACTGCAAAGGCTGCCATCGCGGATATAGCCATTAGCTGGTCCTTGTACTTGGCCTTTTTCGGCCCGTTCACCTCTACCTTCAGCGACTGCTGTATATGGTCCTTCGCCTTATGGTACGAATAATGCGTTACTTGCTTCCAGTGTTCGGCAGAGTGCGGTGACTCAATAGTGGCATTTAGGCTCAGATGATGTGCGGAGCACGCAAGAAGAGAGTAAAAGTTGGCCAGCCTAGCGTGGTTGAGGTTGTGGCCCCCCAGGTATGTAAGATCTCCAAGAGTCAGTACGGCGGTTGGAATATTTAGTATCTTCCATGGGGACTTTTGCCCAACAGGCAATGTCATCATCTGCCCAATTACATTATCCTGGAAGTGCTTTAGCAGGAAAGGAGCATCTGTCAGTATGTCGCTCGTGGGGGAGACCAGCTCAATGGGTGTCTGTTGTGGTGTCAATGCCCTCATTCCCCGTTGCCCTTCGTCTCTTTCAAATGCTGCTAGGTCCTGATCGTGTGTCTGATGAGACATGTCGTCCAACCCACTCCGATACATGGAGGAATATAGACCATGAGTAAGTTCACCATGATTGAAGTCATCGGATAATATCCCAGAGGTCAGATCAAACCCAAGGCCAAATAGATCGGCCCAGTGAAGGAACTCGTCCGCCCCCAGGAGGGGATCAGTTACGGAAGACAGCAAGGGGTCAAGCTCCAATACTTCATCATAAGGAAGCCTATTGATAGCCGGGGGCGGGCTTGTCTTCTCCGACTGAGCATTCTGGGGTTTATTGTTCATGTCGGCACAAACATCGAACTTAAGAACCCCAAAAGGCCCAACCGCGACATCTCCAGTTGATGAGCCTTCTACTTCTTTGGATTTGGTATCGACTTCAGTGAGTAACGCATCCACGGTGCCGGAAGCAAGGTCCGCGGCCAACGCCGTGCTCATGGAAGCCCTCGACTTTTCTGGACCGGCAAATCAGCACACGAGCATAATGTGATATGAATGCGGGGCATATGATCTCACCTGTATAAAGATGGCGTCTCGTGCCATGACCCCCACTGGCAGGTTTGTCTGCACCTCGACTTTCGGAACTTGATTGCCGTTGCTGTTGTGACTGATGCTTGCCGGACATCCATCGGATCTCCGTGGAATAACCTTCACAAGAAACGCCGAATGCACGACACGTCAAGCAGGTTGGTCGCATTTGGTCACATTTCACATGGCGACGGCGGCAGGTCTGGCAGCCTCCCAGCGTATGGGTCCGGCGCGATTTGCTCTTTCTCGAAGGCGGCATTGGAGCTCTATTCTATAAGACTACCTTCAAACCAATATAGTAAGTAATATGTGAGTCAGTAAGAGAATCAATATAGTTCGAGAGAGTCGTCCGTGGCCACTTCCCCCAGACTGACTGCGTTGATAACTGTTCGGAGTCACCTTCCTTTTGGGTTTCCCCGCACTACAGCAAGCCATGGAAGACTTTTACACTAAGCCACTTGTGGGCTGCCCTAACTCCATCCTCTTGGCCAATTAAATTATACAACGCTGGGGACAAATTATAAATCCACCAAAATCCATGGAAGGGATATAACTTTAAAGGAGTACAATTGTGGGTGAGAGGCGTTCAAGGCACACTGATTCATTCAAACGGGGGGACTTGGTCTCCACAGGAGATTGCCTCTCAGTAATCAAACCTGACACTAGATCGATATCAAATGCGGACGATCGAGCGACAACAGGACGGTGCAGTGGCCCAAGTAGAAGACCAGGGGTAGGAGTGCCGATATAACTCGTCACAAAGTTGGACGTGTTTTAATGGCCAGCCATGGGTGAAACTCTTGTGGCCTTTTATAAGAAGCAATAGATTGAAAGCACTGCCAGAGATGTATGGCATATAGGGCCGAAATCGGGATTGATAGGGCAGGTCAAGCACTCCCTGATCATCAGTGGCCTTTGTAAACCGCAGATAGATGATACAAAACACAGATCCAGCCTTGATAGGCCCCAGTGTTAATCATGATGAACCAATTAAACACAGTCGCTTCTATAGAGGATACATTGAGATAGGAGAGAAGACAGATGGCTGTGCTGTACATGATAGCATTAGAAGGAACGCCAGATTTAGTGCATTTCATCAGAAAACGGAGTGCACTACCTATCGAGACCGTCTAATAGAGTGCACATGTTGACATGTAGAGGTAAGAATTGCCGGCAGGTAAATGCTGAGGGCAGAGTAGCTGCTTTTATGACCGAGTCCAAGCCCAGTGTACCTGCATTTAGGGCTGCCCTAGACCATGGAAAGGCTCATGCGCCAGACCCATCTGTGAGTAGCTTGGGGTCATCGCTCGGGGAGAATCAGACTGATGGCCAAAGCTCTGAGAATGTACAAAAGTACGAGTCTGTAGAAGTACCGTTTTTTTGTGGCTGGTGGATTGCGTCAGGGGGGGCTGCATCCCTCCGCCGGTGACGATAAGAAGTTTTGGGGCGAAGCCGAATGCGAACACAGGAAAGAAATTGGTAGCAAAGGCAATCAGGTAGCCGGAATGACCAGGAATCATATACTCGTTGATAGGACCTGGGTGCTTCCGATAATGTAAACCAAGCGATTCCCGGTTCGGCCCTCCCCCAAAACAAGCAGCACAGCCATGATGATAATACCAACGTTGCCAACTATCTTGAGCAACGCGAACCAGAACTCCACTTCACTGTAGGCCCCAATTGGAAAGCAGTTCAGTACAACAATAAGCATTGTAATCCATACAGCCACATGCACTAGAGGGTTCCAATACTGAACTACAAGGCTTACAGCTGTTACTTCATCTGTACAGAGATATAGAGACTTGGCAATGTAATGTGACTCGCAAGATCCTCAATGAATAAGAATAAATCTCGCTCAAGTAAAGAAAAAGCAAATAGATTCTTAAATTGTCACGTTCGGATGTTGTTCATGTATGGAGATGCTACGTATCTATAGTACAACAAGACCTACCTGACAGATGAGATATTTGTATCTTTTAGAGAGTACTCGGAGCTGCCTTTAACTCTTTGTGAGGGTCGACGGACTGACAGCGGTCATTTACTCTTACTAGTTATGTGTATTGACTGCAAAGTCATGAAACAAAGCACAATATATGTCCCAGGTGTAGATTTGGCAACTGACCTATTCATAATAATTCAGAATTCGAAAGATTTACGTAATTGTGAGGGCCTATAGTTTTGGAGCTAAAAACAAATCAAGGGTTCGCACATTATCCTGAGTTTCATATCACATATACACAACAGCCTTAATTCTGACAAGGCCATCGAAGAAAGTCATCTATGCAGACAAAAGACCGAGCTAACCGCCTCCACACGAACTGCATCAGCAATCTCATCCTGCAAGGACTTCCCAGTAGGAGTCCATCCCAGCACCTTGCGAGCGCGCTGAGCACGCTCCTGTGCATTGGTTCCCCAAAGCACACCACCATGACCCGACAGGGCATTCGCCTCGGAGTCACTGATCTCCTTCACAGACGCCGAGCTCAGTCCTAGCTTAGCAGCCTCTTCAGCCACCAGACGGCCAATCTCTCCAAAGTTCTAGACCCCAGTTAGAAACCCACTTAGTAGAAGAAAACCAGTGAAACTTACAATGGCTCCATTCTCCGCAAAGTAAATCCCATTCTCATTCCAGAAGGGACCCTCCTCCCCGGAAACAGCCTTCTCAACTAGCGTTACGAATATCTGACTGATATCTGCGATGTGGACATTGCTCCAGGTACTAAGACCCCGCCCAACTTGGTATCCGGTTTTTTTCTGGAGGGTAATACGTGAGAGCTCCGGGATCTGCACACTGCGCTGCTTGATGGGTCCTCTACCGTGACCGTAGATGATGGGGGGATAGACGACGGCTGTCTTTGGTGATTGGGGGGTTTCCGGAAGATTGAGGATGAAGCGGTCGATGAGACGCTTGGCTGCGTACTTGTGGATCAGAGCCTTGATTTCTTGCTCATCGTCAATGTCGCTGTAGACTCTGTCGGAGGGCTCTCCGTAAACACCGCTTTCGATCTCAGGTGCGGAGAGGAGAGTAGCACCGGATACTTGGATCCAGTAGCCTGAAGCACAGCTTGGTCAGAATTACAAGCCCAACACTGATAGCTACATTGTTATAGTTGACTCACCAGGCTTTGTACGCTTGGAACTAGCCAGTCCTCGGAAGACCGCCTCCGCGCCTTTATTGTTCTGCGCGCTGGCCGCATCTACAAGACGCCATAGTGATTAGCAACTAAAAGTTCAAGTAGTGATAGTAAAACTTACTAACTACCACATCTGCATTCTGTGCCTCTTCTTCAACTGCAGTCGAGTCGAGCTCTCCCTGCACGACGCGGACTTTAGGATAAGCCTGGGTGATCTTCGCGCCCTTGTCGGCGTCTCGAACAAGGGCCGCAATTTCGTACTCGGGGTGCTTTTCGTGCAGGGCGTGCAGGACATCCCCGCCAATGTAGCCCGATGCGCCAGTTCTACAGTCCGGTTAGTCAAACACCGCTATATCTTTCACATCCGTGTAGCTTAGTTGCGCCAACGGGTAGCATACAGGAAGATCCGAGTCATGATGGTATACTCAACAATCAAGTGCTGTGAAATGGAAAGGCGAAACAAGTTGTTGACAGGCTATCTCAATTGGATACACAATCTGAAATTAAGGAAACAAAGAGGGGCACACACCCCTCCTCGATCCCCTCATCATCTCATCAAATCGCGCTGCAAACCAAACAGGCAAGCGATTCCGCGGAAAGGGATCAGCACGATAACGATTTGGATATGCATCTGCCCCACTTTTCCGAAAAAGGACAGTAATTGCTACATTCAGGACTCCAGGACGTTGCTGTCAACTCGCTTCTAATCAGGAGTGAATTGGGGTACTCCTGATTCGTATACTGAGCTGGTTTACCCCAAGATTGTTTGTCTAGGAAAGTTTGCTGTTCGCTTTTAGGGCCGTGGTCTGACCGCAAGAATGGAACAGCTCCGCGAACTATATATTTCAATTTCGAAAGCTCCCCTCAGTTGTAGATTTAGATTTGATATACCCCAGATTTTTCTTTCCCCCCCCCCTTCTTGTCATCTGAAGATCAACTTTGGAAAGTGGCAAAATGGCACACCGCGGAGAGACATTACACAAGGATATTTCCTGCATCGCAGACCTAAAAGTTCAAGGAAGCAAAAAGCTTCCTCGGATGGTCAGAGGTGTGTTCGATCTCTGCCTTTCTAGCCATGACACAAACTCATAGATCTACACAGATTACTACAATGAAGGCGCTATGGACCTGATAACGTATGTAAATTGCTGCATATTCACCTCAAAACCAAAGGCACCTCGACATCACTAACCACACTATATCCCAACGAACAGACTTCGCGAGAACGAAGCATCCTTCGACCGCTACAAAATCCGCCCCCGGATCCTAATCAACGTCGACCAGATCGACACATCAACAGAGATCTTCGGCACAAAAGTACGTCCCATGGAACACAGACAAACCCCCCAAGTTCCAAACTAACAAGAACAATCCAAGGTCGCCTTCCCCCTAGGTTTCAGTCCCGCGGCATCCCAGAAACTCGCTCACCCAGACGGAGAAGTAGCAGCCTCGCGCGCAGCCGCAAAATATAATGTATGCATGGGGCTGTCGTCGTATTCAAACTACTCGCTCGAAGACGTGGCCGCGCAGGGCTGCGGGAACCCCTACGCGATGCAGATGTGTGTGTTGAAGGACCGCTCGCTCACACTTCAACTGTTGGAGCGTGCCGAGAGTGCGTTGTTGAGTTCTATTCCCATAATTCAAGTGATGAATACTTATGTTGGAACCCAGAGGCGGGATACAAGGCCCTTTTCCTCTCAGTTGACGTTCCCTTGCTCGGAAAGCGCTTGAACGAGTACCGCAACAATTACACCCTCCCTGAGGATATGTCATGGCCGAACATCCTCAGCCATGGATTGGATACGTCTAATCGAACTGACTATGGTGAGTTTATCAATTATCTCTACCATTGTGGTGTATGAACATGCCACTGACTAACCCACAAAAGATCCAAGTCTCGACTGGGAAACCACCATCCCCTGGCTGCGGAAACATACCAAGCTCCAGATCTGGTTGAAAGGAGGTATGCACAGCTTTTTTTACAGGTACAAATTCAGTATAGCTCACATCGCACACAGTATACACACCAGAAGACGTTGAGCTCGCAATCCAATACGGCGTTGACGGTGTCATCATCTCCAATCACGGGGGTCGCCAGCTCGATGGAGTCCCTGCGACCTTGGATGCGCTGAGGGAATGTGCACCGGTGGCGCAAGGACGGATCCCGCTCGCTATTGATGGTGGGATTCGGCGAGGCTCGGATATCTTCAAAGCTCTGGCGCTTGGGGCGTCGCATTGCTTTGTGGGACGGATCCCTATCTGGGGGCTTGCGGTATGGTTACTCATTTTATCTTTGAGAATTTGTACTTTAGACGATGCAAGGGCTGACTTGACTTGTCTAACTAGTGGAATGGGCAAGACGGTGTCGAATTGGCTATCAAAATTTTGTTGCAGGAATTCCGGATTACCATGGCGTTGGCTGGGTAAGTTTGATACTTTCTAGGGTGTGATGGGGAGGATTGTGCTAATTTTGACTAGGTGTCGGTCGGTGAAGGAGATTAGAAAGAGTCATCTGTCGGTGCTCAAATCCGATGGAGTGTTATCAAAGCTCTAATTGAGCTGATATTGGTTGTATTGGGTCATGTGGACAGTGTATTATTGATGATAGTCTTACATTTTAGCATTGTTAAGCCATGAACTTTTGATTAATACTATTCCCATACCAATTTTCGAAACCCCAGCAATGCAATGCAACGAAGGAAATCATTCAGTATAATAAGACTTACTGGTCTGATCTGCATAGGTGCCATTCAAGCCTTACTGCCCAGTCGGGGCAGCTGAACGCGGAAGTGCATCAGAAGCATAAGCGCACCGAACACAGCTGCGGAGAAGAAGGTCAAACGGAGCGCTGCCGCATACGCGCTCACAACTATACCAGTATTAGCTCATGAAAAAGAAGGAGAGTCTGTGAGTGACAATATGCTTACCCTGTGCTTGGTGGACTGGGTCCAGTTTCACGATAGCCTGGACTGATTTGCGGACGAGAAGGATGATACTTTCCTTTTCGGGCCCTGTAACCATTTCTTCAAGCTGGTATACAAGGGTGTTCTGGAATATCCAACTGCTTGTCGCCACACCCATCACCGAGCCCAGGTTTCTCCACAGACCCAAGGTCGTGGTAGCCACAGCCTGTTCATCCGGGTCACTGGTGGCGAGAACGGAGACCATCAACGAAGGAAAACAGAACCCCTGTCCAAAGCTTGCGAGCGAAACACACAACATGGCAACTATATCGGGGGTGCCCATACCAAGGGTGGATGCTGCGAGGCCTCCTAGCATGAGACAAACATCACCAATGATCACGGTTGGCTTCAGTCGTTTGGTCCATGTGATGATGAAACCAGTCGAGACGCTTGAAACCGTCACGGCGAGGGTGGACGCTACCAGCCTGAGGCCCGAGTCAGTTGGACTAGCGAGTTTGACTGCCTGGAAATACAACGGAGCATTGAAAATCATGGTGTTGACGGCAATGGATCCAAAGAAGTTGCCAAAAATGAGGTTGGCGCAGGGCTGCTTCGACAGGAGCGATATCGGCATCACAGCCCGCTCCACGTGCCGCTCGTATCGTACGAAGATCACAGCTAAGATGAGAGATGAAACCAAAGACGAAATGACCAGGGGATGAGACCAGCTGAGCACATTACCGCCCAAATTCAGACCCATAATCAACGCGGTCACGCCGACAACCAAGATGAACGAGCCCACCAGGTCAATATTTTTGAGTAGCTGCAGGAAAGTCATCCGTTCCGTCTTTGCCCTCTTCAGGCCCAAATCGGCGGGGGTGGTCCAGGCTGCCACGAGGAAATAGATGAAAATGAAGGGCAGCTGCACGAAGAACGCACCTCTCCATCCTACGGAATCACAGAGAAACCCGCCAAACGCCAATCCCAGGCAGCCTCCCACACCCAAACACAGATTGATGTAGGACTGGTACACCCCGCGATATTCGATGCGAACCAAATCGCTCGACAGAATCATACCCATGGAGAAGACACCCCCGGCTCCCAGTCCGCAGAAGGCCCGAGCCGCTATAAAACTCCCGATGCTCTGGGCCATACCACACCAGGCAGTAGTAAGGAAGAAGACGGCAATAGCAAAAAGATAAACCGGCTTTCTGCCAAAGGTGTCGGATACGCGACCGAATAAAGGAAGGAAAGCGGTTGAGGTCAGAAGGAAGGCTGTTGACAGCCACGATGCAGAATTTGAGGCATGGAAATGGGATGTGATGACGGGGTGACTGGACGCCATTAAAGTTGAGTCAAAGAAACCAATAATGTATCCCATTTGGACCCCGCCGAAGATTAGCCAAAATCTCGTCGGGGAGACATTGATAAACCGCGAGGCATAACCGGTGGATTCACTCGGAGACTTGCCTTCGGGATCTACCGCCGCTCTCTTGGTGGCTGCCCCTGCCGAAGAGATCCTTTCGAGATTTGGTTCGATTTCCAGCCCCTGGTTTATGGAAGTGACTCTCGAGAGGGTGATCACAGGCTCCTCATCATCGGACGTGTATGGTGTGGATGAATCACCCGTCTCTAGGGCGTTGTTGCTATGATCACTGGAGTAGTTTGCATGGGATTGTTCATGGTTGAGAAGAGGAGTTGACTCATTGACGCCAACGCGTGATGGTTGCGGGTTTTCATGCATCCCTCGAGGAAGATGGCGGGGTGATGTAGTACTGAGTTAAGTGGGAAAACTTTTTTTCATGTATCACCCGTGGGTAATAAAAAGATATTTTTGTTTTTAGATAAATCCTTCAGCTTGTGAAATTAGAAGTGTGAAATCATCTCAAGAATCAATTTGCTCGGAGGCTGCTACGGTCTAGTTAAATAAGAGGAAATGTTGGTCGTATTTGGCTTTTCAGTCCAGAAATTTTTATAGTCGAGGCTGTACGATGAGAGCGACGCTAATGCAGTGGGTTGGAGTCAGCTCGTGCTGTGACTCGAGCCAACCCTGTCCCAGTGGGGAACCTTCGGATCCCCACTCGGTTGCGGCAAGACGGAATGAGATTGTATTTCTCCCTCCATTGAATTTCTCATGGCACGTTCCACGTTTCAATGTTTTGACTCAACCCCGACATGCATCATGAAGATCCGTAACCCCATGTCCCTTGTTGTCCTCCATGCAGAAGAAGAGAAGCAGCAGTCGCGGAAGAAGAAAACATCCAGACGGCCGAGGCTAATGAAAATGCCGCATGCACGTTGATGCACTGATGGTATTTGACCCCCTCTTTTGTCACTGATAAGTACGGTCTGCTCATAAATCTGTGACCCACTTTTGTCTTTCTTACCTTACATTGATTGACTTAGTCTCTGTGTCTCCCATCCAGCTGTGGCTTGTCTATGGTCAGATTGGAACCTGATGACCAAAATGCCCCCGGAATTGTGTCATCCGCACCAAATGTTCATGCACCCATACGAAGTATATTGCCGCCTTCCCACTGGTTGGGTTCCCGGCGCAGACCCATTTGAGTCCCTCGACCTAGGGCTGTCTTTTCCGATTTGCCGCTTTCTCGAGACGAGTACAACAATTGACCATACAAAGGCTAAAGATAAAGACAGGCCATTCTCTTGGCGACTGTTATTAAGGACGCACTAATCTGCTGTCATATCAATTACGTTTGAAGTCTCCTGCACCACTATTTGGAAGACCGCTGTGACCGATGCTTATATCGATGCTTCGGGAGTTGAGATCGGATTAGAGTCCGGCTTTTGTCGGATAGTACTCCGGACACGCACTGAGTTTGCGATGAACCAAGTATGTAACGTTCCGATGTCCCGGAAAAAGCAAAGGCGGCAGGAATAAGCCAAAGGAACAGGATCATAATACTAGAACTTTATAATCGCCACCTTGAACCTGTAAGATTTGCCTGATCAAAAAGGCGGTGGCGCCCAGGGGTACAAAATGACTCAACGAGGTACATCATGCACTTTCCCATCGACTCATTCAGAACTCGTTTATCGCGTGGGATCTGCAAATCGTTGGCTTTAGAGTTTCTTGATACCTTGATCCTCCTTCAAGTAGCACCTCCTACCCTGTGACCTCGACAATCATTGCTGTGATCTCATCCCGCCGCCAGAATGCGCCCCCCGCTCCGGATCGCCATCCTTGAATGCGACACTCCAATAGAAAGCGTGGATGAAAGGTATAATGGCTACTACGGCCTATTTTCTCAACTTTTCCGTGAATGCGCCAAGTCCCTGGGATTAGATCCCGAGGCTGACCTTGACATTACTCGATGGGACGTCGTGCATGCGCAAGAGTATCCCAGATTAGAGGATGTTGATGCGATCGTGCAGACTGGATCTAGTGAGTGCCTTACGTATGCTAGAGCACTGGCCCTCTACATACACCTATCGGGCCGACACACCTGATAACCTCAATCTTTATTTTTCATCTTGCTAACGTGACGTGCCTTAGAATATGACTCCTTCGAAAGCGACCCTTGGATCCTCAAATTAGTCGAATATACCAAGACAGCCCTCAAAGATAACCGCGTCAAACTCCTCGGCATCTGCTTCGGACACCAGATCATCGGCCGCTCACTCGGCGTCAAAGTCGGCCGCAGCGATGCCGGCTGGGAGATTGCAGTCTGTGACGTGGACCTGACTGATCAGGCGAAGAAACTCTTTGGAAAGGATAAACTGGTACGCAGTGCACCCCTGTGGCTATTCGCATTCATCACCCGCTACAAACACTCAATCCGTACACCCAATCTCCTTATCGGTTTTCATTCTAACAATGTAACTTGATAGCGCATCCACCAAATGCACCGAGACGTCGTCCACAGCTGTCCCCCGAACGTGATACCCCTGGGCTCCTCGCCCAAATGCGCCCTACAGGGCATGTACCTTCCGGGCAAATTAATAACAGTCCAGGGTCATCCGGAATACAACGGGTTCATCGTTACCGAGATTGTCAACAAGCGGACCCGGGATGGCGTTTTCTCGAAAGAGATGAGTGATGATGCACTGGCTAGGGCGGAGCTGGAGCATGATGGGCTCGATATTTTGGGTATTTTCTTGCAGTTCTTGCTTGGGGAGGTTGTATAAATACCCGTCTACTGGGATCGATTGCTGTACGGCTGGACTGTGGCTTGGATTCCTCACCTCCCCCAGATTTGTAGCATATAGAGAAGATGAATCTATTATATTTGAGGCACATGAATTCTATTCTCTAAGAAAGAATCCTGGCCTGATCACCACTGGCGACAATAAAACACGCCGATAGACCAACGCATTGCAACCGAGGTAGGTATGAATAGCGTCAGAACGTTCGACACGCCGAGCATCTCGTAGACGGGCACTCTGGGCCTCTTCATGAAGCTCTTATCATATTCTAGTATAGTTTCAGCTGTCGCGCAGTCATCGCGCCGATGGGTAAATTCTCCGAGGACAAGCGCAGTGCGTACTACCCCTTTACCAACAATATAACCCATGCGAGTAAAAATACCGCAAATCCGGTATATAAAAATAGTGACACAAACAACGCCCCCAACCAATCCCAAGTAACGAACCCAAGCCAAAGCAAAACTCCCCTAATCCGAAGGAAAAACAATCACCCACTGGCACTCGGATCCTCCCTCTCCAAAAACGACGGATCCATCTCCACCTTCCTCTCAAACTTCGACCACCAATCCCGGAAAGCCTTCAACGGCACCGCATCCTGGTCACTCGAGGCAAAGCTGGCCAGGAAATTAAACGCATTCCCGATAATCCGCTGCGCGAGCACTTTGGTCGTGATCTGCCTCGTCTGCCGGACTAGCTGGCCCGATGCGCCCTTTTCGGCCTCGAGGGCCTCGAGCTGCGGCGCGACGGTTGCGATGGGCTCGAGTGAGATTCCCAATGTTGCTGTCATGCCCGGTTGGAGGTTTGGGGGTGGAGATGTGGGGAGAATGGAGGAGGGCTTTTCGTTGGCGAGGGCGCGATGAAGCGGAAGCCGTTGGGATCGGAGGGGAATTGGATGTAGATTGCGGCGGCTGTGTCTGGGGGGAGAACGGTGCCGGGGAGGAGGAAGACGACGAGGTCGGAGAGGTCTGGAGTGAGGGGGATTGTGAAGGCGAATTTGGTGGATTGGCCGTTGGGTTGCGGGTCGACTGGGACGATGTCTGTGAGGCAGGGTCGGCCTGGAATTATGACGGAGAACATGGCGGCGGGGGGGAGAGTAGTAATTGAGTAGTAGTTAAACAATGCGATAAACAAACGCAAGTGGGGGTATCTGGTTGATTGGAAGTCAAAGAATGAATAAACAAATGCAGATTAGGCTCGTTTATAGTCTGGTTATAGAGGCGATTGGGGGATAAGATGCATTGTCCAAGCTGTGTAAGAAAGAATAATCGTCGTAGCTACTGGAGCTGGTGAGAATTTCCCTGGGGGTTCCATATGATAGAATCGCAAAGAAAAGCTTGGTGACGAAATCATCCGCCTGCCCTTATCGATAAGGGCTGTGGACCGGTCTAACCCGTTATGGCTGCGTGGACATCCTGCTGGTCACATGTTTTATCTGACACATTGTATTGCTTGTAATATGCATGCATAGTTTGCTATTAACTTTACACTGGACGTGGTTGCATACACAATGGCTAAATCTAACTTGGAGCTGGTCGATGAATGCGATAAGTAATCGGTCCCCTCTCTTCTACCTATTATCAATACCAACATTCCCGAACAGATTTCCCTATTACGAAGACAACCCCGCATTCTATGCAGCCCACTTAAAGAAACACCACGCCTTCAGGGTCAATGGCTGCGATGCGGTATTGGGATACATACTCAACTCGGCCGTGGCCAAGTTCCACTGGCCCGCTGAATATTGGACGGTGGACTCTACAAACCAAACCGTTACACTGAACACTGCTCCAGATGCAACTCCGGAACAGCGCAGCAAGGTCATGGATGAGACTCTTAGAGCGGAGGCCAAACGGGGAAATTTTGAGGTTCTAAAAGGGTGGCGGAATGAGATGTACGCCGTTTATGCCCCCGGGGGTAAGTTCTTGCTCGAGATGGAACGGTGCGCCACCCCGTTGTTTGGTGTTGTGTCTTATGGTGTGCACGCCACCTGTTACGTGGAAGACGAGCACGGTCTGCAGTTCTGGGTGCCTAAGCGCGCAAAGACCAAGCAGACATACCCTGGAATGCTTGATAACTCCGTGGCCGGGGGAATGAGCACCAATGAACGCCCCTTTGAATGTCTTGTTCGTGAAGCAGAGGAAGAGGCATCTCTGCCCGAGGACGTCACCAGGGCCGCTGCCAAGTCAGTAGGTTGTGTTTCGTATTTCTATGTGCGGGACTCTCGGGCCGGAGGCGAAGTCGATCTGCTACAACCAGAGGTAGAGTATGTCTACGACATCAAGCTTAGTCGGGACATTGTTCCCAACTAGTGACGGCGAAGTGGAAGAATTTAAGCTGTATACTGTTGAAGAAACGAAGAAGGCTCTAGCAAACGGGGAGTTCAAGCCCAATTGCGCAGTCGTCTTCATTGATTTCTTCATCAGACATGGTATCTTGACCCCTGAGAATGAACCCGACTATTTCCAGATCCTGACAAGGATGCACCGCCGCTTTGAATTCCCAACAGCGTCACATTTCGCACACTGAGTGGCCACCGACCTTGAGTTAATTGGTAGATGAGAACACATTTGTTGAGAATTGTTTGATATTCTATTGATATACCCATTCACCAATCAAACGCCGACGCTGCAACCGAACACCCCAATTAATGCAAACTTTTCTGTCAGTCCGAAAGTCGACCCCGGACACAGATACCCATGAATTTTCGATACGAAGTGTTGATGGGATGATATCTTTCCTCGTTTCCTTCATTTCTTCAGAAGTAGATACACGTAGTCGATCCTCAAGGGTGCCAACTTCTTGTAGGGTCCTTCAAGATAGAGCAAAAGTCCACCGAAAGAGATGAAAACCGCCCTATGAGTGGTCTCATTAGCCAATGCTCCGGTACTTGATCGCTATGCGCGTGACCAGGCAAATCCCGGTAAAACGAAGGTCTACCTACATGTTCCCTTGGGTAGTTCCCTCTTCAAAACGGTAGACCTTTCCATGGCAAACATAGTCGTAGTCGTTCGCCAGGGTCTGTTCGCCCATACCGACTTCTCTCCAGCCCTTCGAGCCAGTGTCTTCCTTGCCGTCCAGAGAAAGGGTCGAAGCGAGAGCCATAGACACCGACTCGCCAGTTGTGCAAGGATAGAGCTCAGTGTTGACATCGAGAGTGAAGGTAGAGGTGTGATCAGACGACGTGCAGGTCAGGCGAGAAACGCGATCGTATTTCTGCTGGTTGACACCAGTGATGGTGAAGGTGTCTTCGAAAAGCAATGGGTCCGACATGGTTGCGATAACACAGTGTAACTCGGCGAATTCGAAATAGAGTATGGAGAATTGCTGAAGAGTCGCAAAGTTACGGAGTTGGAGGAAGTGGTAGAAGGTTGACGGGACGCGGCCGAAAACTGCAAAAGGAATCGCCGCAGCTTTTTTGCTCGACTTTTTAGCGCACTGCCGCTTTTACCTCCGGCCGGAAGCTGCCCCGCAGCCATTCCTCAAAAAAGTATTCAAGAGCAACAACACCTACACAAGTCAACTACAGCACATAATGTCCTTTCGCAAAAGAAATATTGGCTTGTCAACGGGCGTCGATCGCGTCACGGCTCTCAATTCTACTGCGCAACCGCAGCAAGCCGCGGCCGCCCCAGAAACAAATCCCGGAATTCGACCCTCTCCCGACGATGGGCGCCCGACTACTTCGACAGGTAGCCGGTCGCTGGATAACCTCCTAGCTGGACATGGCGGGCTTCCCATTGGAAAGACTCTCTTAATTGAAGAGAATGGAACTACGGATTTTGCAGGCGCATTGTTACGGTACTATGCAGCCGAAGGTGTCGTACAGGACCAAAAGGTTCACGTCGTCGGAATGCCCGAGCAATGGGGCAGAAGTCTTCCTGGGTTGATAGGTCCTGCGGACGTCGCAGATGAGAAGCCGGCCAAGCGAAAGGGAGAACGCATGAAGATTGCCTGGAGGTATGAGCGTCTGGGGGAATTTGGGGCCGGTGTCGCTGGTTCAAGAGGTAAGGCATAGAATGCTGTCACTGCTATCTACAGAAACTGTGTGAATCGCGAATGAGCCTAACAGATGCAGCACCTGTCACAACTGCGGGAGATCAAGCTTCGTCCGCAGCCAGCGGAGACCAGGCTCAACAACCAGCATTTTGCCATGCTTTCGACCTCACCAAACGTCTAACCCACCCATCTATTGCTAATATCACATATATCCCTCTCGCCCGCACAAACGAACCCCTCTTCGTTTCAATTCATAAACGCCTTCAAACCGCCATCGCCCAAAGCCCTCCCAATACGGTCCACCGCATTATCATACCTTCTTTGCTCAACCCCACGCTCTACCCGCCTGAGGCCAGCCAGCCCGAGACCATTCTGCCGTTTCTTCACTCGCTAAAGGCTTTGATGAGCGCACCTTCTGCACGTGTCACAGCTATGATAACAATGCCTCTGTCCCTGTTCCCCCGCTCCTCGGGACTTGTGCGATGGGTCGAACTCCTGACCGATGGTGTTATCGAGCTTTGTCCTTTCCCCCACTCTGCCGATGCCCTCGCGACCTCCGGCGCTGCCACGGCCGGTGAAGAGCCACCGCAAGGCGTGCTCAAGACCCATCGACTGCCTGTGATACACGAACGGGGCGGAGGTAGTGATCAGAATGTTGGGCAAGACTGGGCGTTTACTCTCAGCAGACGGAAGTTCGAAATTAAGCCTTTCAGTCTGCCGCCGGCCGAAGGAGATAAGGAAGCCCAAGAAGGCGCCGGCCCAGGCGGGATGCCAAAAAAAGCGGATCTAGAATTCTAAGTTGATGCTGCTATGTTGAATGAGGGAGAAGGAGGTCCGCATATCATTCTTCACGGTCCGAATCTCTCAGCATATCCTCCAGTTCGATCTGTTCGGACATGGCTGGCCCAGAGCCGGCCATTCCTCGGAGATAGTCCCTTCCGTAGGCATCCATGCCCTCTCTGAGCGAGTCCCGCGCGAACCGAGAGCGAAGGCTCCTCCCTAGGCAAGACGATAGAGCAAGCCACGCTCCAAGGTGTCAACGATGGATACCTGCTAGCGGTAGGGGAGTCACTTACCTAGGAATAGAAGGAGGGGCGCAAAAAACACCACAAAGAGGAGTAAAAGGAAATTCATCGCGGCCACAGCTGGTCGTGATACCGTATGCTAGCAGAGGATAGAAGAGTAATAGAGATGGTTTCTTGTTTGGGCTGATCAGCAGTGCCGCTCCAGGCTTAGCGCAACCTTGTATAGCACGTGACGCAATATTGCGTGTTTGACGCGAGTCTTTCTTGATAGTCAGACCGATACTTCTTCAAGGCCAGCCGTTGTCAGACGGATCGGATGATTTTAGGCCTAAATTTCAACAGCAAGCTGCAGAGACAGCTGACGGCCCTGCATTCCAGTCTCTATGGTAGAACATGCTGCCTCAGGCATGAGGAACCCACCTCCATTCATGTGACTAACGCGAAGAGGAAAGGCTCCGTCAGGGTTTAGCTTTTAAGAGCTTCTCCTCCCACCAAAATTTACCTTCTTCTCTCTCATCACTTAGACACACAGCCGCAATTGAAGTAGCTCTGGTTTTGCTGGCCAAACTCCAGAGCATCTCTCCGTCTTGTCATGTACTCTTGTATTTGATGGTAAGTTCCTGTCTTTATTTTCTTTAATATTGCTGTCTTTGCATGATTATACAAATACTATAATCTGTCAATCCCCTGAAGCTCCTTATAATATCTCATAAATCGAGCATATGTGATTGAGAAATGTATCGAAAATGACTTGCATTCTTTATTTGCCATGTTGATCTTGCATCTCTTGTGTTCAACAATATGCTAACATCAAACTCTGGTTATAGCAGTGCAATTGATAAACTTGAACATCTTCTCACATAAACAAAATGGCTACGGAGCCCACCCTCCCCATCCCGATCTCGTATATCGCGGGTAACTACTATCTTTTCTCTATTGATGCCGTTACGTATTTGAGACGGGAACATCACATCTGTGGTGTCCTGATTGGCACTCTGCCGCAAATCCCACAACAAAATGTCTTCCTGGGATTGCCGCTGGAGCTGATGCCGGAGGAGGCGAGGCTGCTGGTGGAGAAAGGTGTAGCTTGCATTGTAGACGAGGTAAAAGTTCAGAACCAAGGCATGAAAGCCTCATGGAGGAAGATCGCAAGACGTATCTCCGTGAGCTAGAATCCCAAGGCCTTCAAGCTATGCGGCTGCAAGCCAGTCGGAAGGAGCAACAGAGAGAGAAATCGTTAAAGAAATTAGAAGAAAAGAAAGCAAAAGCTGCCAAATCAAAGAAATCCTCTGAGGATCCTGAACCTGCACCTGCTGTCGCTGATGGGCCTAAGGATGACCCATTGGTCGACCTCTTCGCAGACAGTCAACCGTCAAGTCATAGTCAAACCACCTCTCGACGTACCTCCACGACTGTCGCCCCCGAGAATGCCATGGGCATCACGCCCGCAACGGCTCGTCCGCCTCTCCCAGCTGAGCCCTCTGCCGAGCAGCTGCTGCCGATGCCTCAGGTTCCCTCGTCTTATCCTTTGTTTGCTCATCTTCATGCCGAGGGTTATTTCCTGTCCCCGGGTCTTCGATTTGGCTGCCAGTATCTTGCCTATCCGGGTGATCCCTTACGATTCCACTCTCATTTCTTGGTTGTCTCTGCCGAATGGGACGAAGAGGTCGATTTGATGGACATCATCGCCGGAGGTCGACTGGGTACTGGTGTGAAGAAGGCATTTATGATTGGAGGTGCTGAGAAGAAGGAGAACACTGCCGATGAAGAGAGTGTGAGAACTTTCAGCATTGAGTGGGCAGGAATGTGAGACCATTGCTCTAGATCGTCAGACTTTGACGGACCAGTCTCACGCCACACATCGGCGATGCGGACATATCGTTCAGCAGATAGGCTGTATGGAACGTGTGCCGCGGCCCTCGACGCTTCCTGAGTGGAATATATCCCACCAACGGAACGCACTGCTGATGCTTGATATACATAGCTTACGGATACTATGGATGTCGGTGAACAACCATACTGGCGACCTATTCAAGCATACATGTGCTTGGTTGAGGTTAGTGCATATGCTAACGGCTCGGCCTAGCCATGGGGCCTGTGGCACGGCCTTTTGACGGTACGACTTTATTATTAAGTCAAGTGTCGAGTCTCTTCTATGGTTGTCATAAGAGACTCGATTATCACATCGAAGTTCTATCATCTCATATCCAACTAGAGAAGCATTTGTTCTAGTCAAAATGATACCCATTGAATCACCTCAATAGCATGTACGTCTAAATACTGGCTAATGGCCTAATCATAGCTCACATCCTGTAGCATCTGTAAGAGACAAGCTCAATGTAAGGCTGGAGAAGCAGAGCTGTGGCCTTCGAGGCGCAGCATCCCTACTTTTGACGGTTACTCCGAAAGAGGGTTGACGCCAACGGACAGCCTGGGAGGCCGAAGACTTGGTCCGGTAGGCTACGCTAGGAATCCTCTCCTATATCGACTCGGCACCAGTATTCTCTGCGTCGCGTTTTGCGCTTCATTCCTTCGGCATCCGCGCTCCGCTGCCAGCATGGCTGCCAAATAAGCACCGTCTTTCGCTGGGCCTACCTTGTCGTAAAGTGTCGTCAACATTATATAAAAATCAGCGAATACCACACCATCAATCAAAGATAGTCCACATTGCGCCACTTGAACTTCTTGTTTGCACGATCCACCGGTCGATTCAGGAACTGACTCCCATGAAGCTCAAACGTAAGCTCCTTCCTGGCACTGGAACCAGCATTCGCACTGAGATCCTCCGTCACATCCATGCCATCCTGACCCGGCGCAGACAAGGGCACCCGAAAGCGAAAAATGGTCTGTTCCTTCGGCAAAGCTATCGAAAGCACCATCAACATCACCTCACCAACTCATACACAGATAAATGAAACAATAGAAAAAACACTCACTCTTAACTTCATCCCCCTCCGTAACAACCACAAAAGTAAACTTCGTATCCCTAACCACAAAGCCTCTAACCCCAACCCTCCCCGCACACCGACTCCTCACAACCTCGACCTCTGCCCCATGGAAATCTGCACTAACCAGCTTACTCCCATGCGACAACGCCGTCACGTTAACCTCGTCCGACTTGCGACCCCCGAGATCCAGAACCTCCCGCATATACGCCACCCACATGGCATGCAGGCCCTTGAAAATCGCATACTTGCACTCCTCCTTGGGCAGGTCGTAGATCCCGGAGGCGCGCTTCTCGCGCGCCGACAGCGGCCGCGGCTTCTGTTTGCGGAGGAAGTAGGCTTTCTTCTGGAGACGGTGGCGACGGCGACGGTCGCGGTTGTCTTCGGGTGTGGGCGATGTTGGGCGCAGGTAGAGGGGTTTTTGTTTTATGCGTTCTTTGAAGAGCTGCGATGCTGTGTCCGGGGAATGGGCGCGCTCCAGGAGGGTTTGGGCGATGTGGGGTTTTGGTGTGGTCATTTTCTTTTCTCCTTTCTCCTGTCCCCTTTTTTCCTTTTCGGTTCCTTGGTTTGGGGTGGTGGTGTTGAAGGGAGGTGTTTTGGGGGTGTGGTTGCGTGGTTGCGTGAGAAATTGTTCTGTTATCGGGCCTTTTTGCTGAGCTGATAAGGTTAGGTTTATCACGGGGGTTGCCTTTTTGGGACGTGGAGGACTTTACGCCAGGGCTACGGTTTACGTAGTATATGACTTCGAGTATACCTTGGCTCTTTGTTTATTCCTTTTAGGTATTATGTCTAGTGGTACTGTGAACAGCTCATATGCTAGCTTGTTCGTGGGGCTAGTTACAAGAATCTCTCTGCTAAGTCCTTCCAACACCCCGGGAATAGAAATGGCCCTAGTCGTGTAGACACTATATATGGAAGCTCAGTACAGTATGGGCTCAATCTATTACATACACTTATTAGCATACCCGAGCTATGGAAAGGTCAAGGGTGTTTAAGATCCAATCCACATTAACCAATTGTCCGTATGTGTAATTCGTATGCCAGGTTCTCGAACACAGTAGTAATAGTGCTCCTGACTCTAGAGTCTTGACATGGCTACAGGTCAAGATTGGAATCCAACAAACGCCCACCAATACAACAACAATACCCCAAACTCGCCATCTTTAAAAAGAACTCTCCCTCCAAACTCAAACCAAACCATACGACCCCAATGTAACCTCGTAAAGCCATCGGCTAGACACCAAACCCCAAACTCAACCAAATCCTCGGCTCTCCTCCTTCCCCGCATTAGGGCTGCATCTATATCAACATCACCATCATCATCAACAGCCAGCACAAAACAACACGAAGCAACACGAAGCAACATACTTCACCCCCAGAAACCCCAGTATATACACAACAGAAAGAAAAAAAAGACCAACCCCAGCAAAATGGCCACCCAAGAGAACCTCCCCCCATTCCCGGACAACATCCCCACAGCACCCCTAACCCGACTCTCGCTCAGCAAACTGCTCGCTCACGACGAACCGGAAACAGCCCGACTCATGCGCGCATGCTGCGACATCGGGTTCTTCTACCTGGATCTCCAGAACACAGAGCCAGGGACCGTCCTCCTCGCCACAGCAGACAAGCTATTCCAAATGGGCACAGAGCTGTTCCAGCTCCCGCTCGCCGAGAAACAGAAATACGATTTCAGCGCCCAGAACTCTTACCATGGGTATAAGGCCCAGGGGGCAATGATTGCGGATAAAGAGGGGAATATGGATAGGAATGAGTTTTATAATGTAGATCCACTTACTCCTTACCCCTTCATCACTAAGATACATATGCCATACACATATATCATCACCATATACATATGCATATACTAACTATTATAACAATATGAAAAAAGGTCTCCAAAGACAGCATCCTAAACCTCTCACCCCCCCTCCCATCCCCAGCCCTCCTCTCCACCCCCGAAACACACAACTCCCTGAAAACCTTCATCTCCACCTCCCACGCCATCACCACCCTCCTGCTCACCCTGCTCAACAAAACCCTGGGTCTCCCGGACTCCACGCTCCCCGATCTCCACCGCCTGCAGTCCCGAAGCAGCGACCAAGTGCGCTTCATCAAAGCGCCGCCGCAGCCACCGCGAGACAGCCGCACGGCGATGGGCGAGCACACCGACTTCGGCAGCGTGACCATCCTCTTCAACCGGCTGGGCGGGCTACAGGTTCTCCCTGCGGGGGAAGACGCGGAGTGGGCGTATGTGCGGCCGTTGGCGGGTCATGCGATTGTGAATCTCGGGGATGCGTTGGTGAAGTTTACGAATGGGTTGTTGAGGTCGAATATTCATCGCGTGGTGGCGCCGCCTGGGGACCAGGCGCGGTGCACCAGGTATAGTCTGGTTTATTTCGCGAGACCTGGAGATGAGGTTGTGTTGCGGAGATTGGAGGGGTCGGATTGTATTCCTGAGGGAGGGGAGGAGGAAGTGGTTAGTAGTAAGGAGTGGGTTTTAAGGAGGGCGTTGGGGAGAAGGGGGGATGCGGAGAGCGCGGATTTTGAGAAGTCGGCTGGGACGGAAATGATGAGTCGTAGGATTAGGGTGTGATTTCTGGTGGCTTGTTTTCTTCTTCTTCTTCTTCTTCTTTTTTTGGTCTGTTTAGGTGCTTGCTTGGTTTGGGGTTTGGTGTGGATATGTTTTGATAAGTATGGAGTATATTGTGAGGGTGGAGTATTAAATATGCATTGCTTAGGGCTCTATATCCATGTTCAAAACATACACATTGCGGGATATTCTTCCTCGTAAGCCCTTGTGAATGACATGTTGATCAGATGACATGGTGAGCAACTCTTTAGGCTTTCATCACTTCAAAGTACTGACATGTTCTATCACTACAGCCTAATGTGGCCACTGTGAATTAACACAGTGATGGGGACAGTCACTTCACTCTGCTTTCATTCCCTTCCCTTCTTCATATTCAATCCTTGTTGACTCAGAGATTATAAGAGCTAAATTTTGGGGCAGACACAGATCAAGGGCCGTCAAGTCACAGCACATTGCATTATTGTGTTATTAGTGCCCCGGCAAGTATGATATCCTGAATTTATGAACCATTCACAGATCTGCACCTATACTCACTCCTGGCCCAACACAACATTAACTGTCTCATATGTGTTTTAACACTTTGACAGGCATGCTATATTGATATATGCTCCCCCTTTTCTCGTCAAAATGGCATCCCAACGTCTCCCAACGGCAGCTCCAACAAGGGGACAGCGGTTACGAACTCGTTTCAGCATCATCTCACCAGAAACACCACTACGCAGACATGGTGTCTTCAAGTGTTGGACCTGCTTGGTTATTTTTGCCTTCATTCTCATGGAGTTCCTATATGCGCTGGCCGACGGGTTCCTGGAAGACGAGCTCGAAGTTCACCTCCAACCCCGATGAGTCTCAATCCAGCATGGATGACCAGAACCTTCAAGAGACTCTGTCTGACGGCTCCAGCTCGCCTCTAACTTTGTGGAGCAGTCCTCTGAGTAGCCTCTCTTCCATGACACCCAGCCCATTAACATCTCCATTGCTGTTCCATGAACCGGAAAGTGAAATTCATACTCATGGTAATAGCTGAACTGGTTCGTTCAACCTATGCACGCTATGAACTGACAATATATTAGGCATCAGGTCACACTCAACCGTTTCGCGCGAGAGCTACTGTGTGGCCAAGTCGGCGACAGATATTATGCAAGGCATTGAAAGCAAGAGTAACAACTTTTTCACGGCCATAAAAGACATTGTCCTTCCACTTCTGGGTGACAAAGGGCGATTCTATCAAAACAAGGAGACGTTAACTGCCACTGTGCGACCATACAAATCATTGGATCAACAGCCTACAGGGTAAGGATAGCTAGTATTCTCCGGCTTTGGCAACGACTGATAATGCAGCTTAGGCTTGAAGCCCAACTGAAACCATATCAGCTTCGAGGCCTGTCATTTCTATTGTATCTCCGAAACAACGGCATTGGTGGAATCCTCGCAGATGAGATGGGTCTAGGGAAGACTATCCAGACGCTTGCGCTCTTTCAGTACATCAAGAAACACGATAACACCATGCGACTTGACAAAGCTGGTCCGTTCTTAATTGTCTGTCCGTTCAGTGTGATGGAAGTTTGGCTTTCAGAGATAACCAAGTGGACACCGGAGCTCACTTCTATCAAGTTCCACGGACCACCGAGCCAAAAGGAGGCAGTCAAGAAGATTCTGACTCCTGCTAGAGGTAAAAGCCGGAGGAGTTCCACACCTGCGGTGGACATTGTTATAACCTCCTATGAAACTTTGACCTCGGACATCAGATGGTTCCGAAAATTTGTATGGAATTATGCTGTTCTTGATGAGGGCCATCGCATCAAGAATAACCAATCGCAGAGAGCGCAGACCATCCAAAGTATCAGGGCTGAATATAAGCTCGTCCTCACGGGGTAAGAATACATCTCGCAGGCACCATTTGCTCAAACGACTGACATTATCGACACTCAAGAACCCCAATACAGAACAATCTAAGGGAATTGTGGTCAATCTTCCATTGGCTTTATCCTGATGTCTTTGTGCCGTCCACATCAGAGCCGTTTGAAGAGGCATTTTCGCTTGGCGATGGGAAGTTCGATCCCAAATTCTTCGAGCAAATCCAAAGATTCCTCGGCCTAATCATGCTCCGCAGAGTTAAGGAATCACCAGACGTAGGGCTTTCAATTCCACAAAAGACAGAGACGGTTTTATTGGTACCTCTGTCAGAGTTTCAACGTTCCTTGTATTTAAGAATACTTACCGGCATAGAAAATTCCATTCTGGGTGGACACGGGAGCATCTCATCCGACCATAGGCGTGAAATGGGCAAACACCAAAAGTCTGATATGATGTGTGAGCAGGATGAGGATGGTTTCAATGATGGGTCGTTCAGGCTATCTTCAACAACGCACGCTGAAAAGAAAAAGTACAGAATATTGAGCAATATCCTAATGGAATTGCGCAAGGTGAGCCATAAGACTTCACCTGGTATGCCAGTTCAACTGATTCGCAAATCCAGTGTTCGATCCACCCGTATCTGTTGGATGATGCGATTCCGGATCCTTACGAACTCGGAGCACATGTTATCACAAATTCTGGAAAGTACATCGTGCTCCTTAAAATGGTCCAGCATTTTGTGCTAAAGAGAGGGAAGAAAATAATCATATTTTCGAACTTCAATCAGGCTTTGAATCTTTGTGAGGATCTTTTGTTATCTATCCAGAAGAACGGCGATCCTGTGAGATATGTTCGATTAGACGGAAGCACATCTAACGCACGACGGAACCTCTCGATTTACCTCTTCCAGAATGATCCTAGGTACATGGTCTTTCTGATTTCGATAAGGGCCGGCGGTGAGGGTCTCAATTTAGTTAGTTCCTCAACGGTTATCTTCTTGGATGAAGACTGGAACCCCCAAGTTATGCGACAGGCTGAAGCGAGAGTCCACCGAATTGGACAGGATCACCCGGTGAGTATCTTTAAACTCCAGTCAAAAGGCACAGTGGAAGAACAGATCAGCCGTCGCATCATCAAGAAAGCATATGTTGCCAGCAAAGTCATGGAGGATATGACTGCAGCGCATGATATGAAAGCGTTTGCAAATATGATTGATTCTCAGGGGCTAGCCTACGCAATGGATACGGAGGACTTGTCCGCATTAGTCCGCAGTCGAGCAGTTTTGACGTCCAACCAGTTGAGTGCAACAGAATTGAGCTGGTTCAACTGGAAAACGATCCTTAATGTATGTGCTAGCAACCAATCCATTGAGCTGAACGGGAGAAATACTGCTATCGATGTACACCAAGAAAAGGCTTGGCTGGCGCGCACGGAGCGGGTCAAAACCAATATCTTCGACGGGAAGAAGGTCGACACAAGATTCAGATCCTTTTCCGTCTATGAAGCTCTACCTGTGGATCTCTGTCGAGCAGATAGACGCATTGGAAAGGAGCGGACAGTTATAATTGACGGGTTCTCAGTGGGAAAGGACAGTATCCAACTCGAGAGCCTATCCAGCAAGAGATGTCCAAATCTGCCGCAGACGAACCCTAAGGAGAAAATGACGCACGAGGCCGTAAGTAGTGATCCCCAAAGTCTCCAAGCCAATCACAAGGCTAAAATCTTTCCAGGCATGTTTTCTCTGCCGGAAGTTCAACCCTCAAGAGTGCGACCTTTGTCCATTGGCATTCCACAAAGAGTGTCTCGAGTCGATAGGCAAGCTGCACCGTGGCGGAAAGAGACTTTTATGCCCCCATCACTATTGTTCGCAATGCGAGAAAACAAGTAGCAAGGCAGGGGGGCTCTTGTACTGCTGTACCACTTGCTTTAGAGCATTCTGTGAGGAGTGCCTGAGTTGGTCTCAGACAGACTTCGTGGGAGAGAACCATGCACATGAAGCCATGGGATATTATCCGAAGAGCGTGTTTTACATAAAATGCGCACAATGCAGCGGCCAGCGAAAGCGGCGCTATGATTTCGGATCTGTTGTGCCGTCTAAGAAAACGCGGCGGGATTGATGTACGGACATCTACATTGTTTCAGGGGACTGAACGGTTAGTAAAGATTGTGACAGCATTTTCATGTGCCCAGAAACATTTCATTCATCGGAATTGATGTGGATCATATGAAGGGAGAAACAGAGACAAAGTACTCGGTTAGTCCATGGATACTCCGAGCACCTTCCTAAACAGGAGCCATTTAACGGGCAAAGAATCTTACATTATCACTTTCCATCCATTACATGTAACGATCCTGATCGCGTTCCGTACTGGTAATTCGCATCTAAACAGATACGGATGGAAAAGTCCTACATACCCGCGAAAACATCAAGCTGCATAACGACTGTAACGATAGACGGCAACAACGTGTATGCGGCGCCACCAGTCGGCAAATGAGCTACTAGCAGAATGGTCAGCACGAATTGAAGCACCGTATGACGGTGCAGGCATCTCATGCCTTGCCTATTAGAGCACCCAGTGCATAACACCCTCGGCGAGCCACCAATGCATGACTTGGTCATGCTAAGAAGCAGACAGGGATGCGATGAAGAAAACGGACCACCGAAGTGAGAAAAAATTCACCGGGGACTCCACCGCTCCCAAACCAGTGACACATGAATCGCCCCTCGAAAAGTGGATCAATATAGACAGGGAATATCGTTATATAGGTAGGGATATGTTCCGCGGGAACGATCCTATTTGTTTCCGTTGCGCTGGAACTTCTCAGCGGGGCCGTGCGAAGTTGCCTTCGAAAACAAAAAGCCTTGTTTGTTGTTCTTCTCCACCGAGTCTGTAAGGAATGAACCTCTTAGAGAGCGCAGAATCACCCGACAAGATCCGGGATAAGCAACATGACGGGTCCAATCAAGCCATTAATTGAGGTGGTCCCAACAGATGAGTTGTTTGCGTGGGGATCTGCACGCACCCATAGTCTTGGGGAGACCACGGCGCCATTTCCAACTGTTGATTCGTCTTGCTGGACTACACAAGTCCGAGGTCGAAGCTAGGCAGCCAGACAGCATCCTCCATTTTTGGGCTGGTAGGTGGATAGAGTATTTACCTCGTGCGTCGTGTTGGAATTGCATCTTGCAGGAAAGTGGACCTGCATCCAACCTCATTGCTGGGAATGTGTGGAAATCTTTCCATAAGTCTCTTTAATCCATGTTACACGGCGTGCCCCGAGGAGGGAAACGCAGGAAGCATCCTCGCAGAAAGCTCGCGCGTTGCTGACAGGACCGGGCAGCCCCGATGCAAGGCGTTGGCTGTCGGTGGTTGCCTTCTCGCCTGATGTATGCCTGCAGCGATATTTCATGAGCGCATACGGAGCACATCTTGTCTGATCCGTCGTGGTAGACAAAGAGATAAGTCTATGGGGCTATAGAAGAAGATCATGGGTGATCCTTGGTTATAGAATTAAGAATTGGTCATGTCTGAATTTATCCGGTGATACCAGGTAATACCATACCTGACCACAATACAATAATACTTCGGTTAAGCCAGTTTCTTTCCAAGGAAACCATGGCGGGTCACGGACCGAACCGCCAAGGGGGCTAATTAAGAATTCCATGGTACAGTACAAGAAAACGGTCCAGAAACTGGGACAGAACGAGAATAATAATGGGATGCTACTATAATAGCAACACTTAGGATCACCCTTACAGATTGAGAAGACCCCGGAAATCCCCCGAAATTAAAGAAGATAATAGGGAATGACTATAAGCTCATTCCTCGCGCCCTAGCTTTGGATGATCCTAAAATGTGTGTGTGGTATGACTTGTGTAAAATTGTTCAAGATAACGGCTGCGTAATACAGTTCAAATAAGCATAAATGCAGAGAACGTTACACAGCCATGAACTGCTGTACACATGGAATACTGAAGTTTCCGAGTCAATGGTTACAATGGTGGAATTGCTTTTCTTTTCGTTTCTTTTATACTTTTCTGTACTTTTTCTTTATCTTTTTTCGCCTCTTCTTCTCCCCTGCTGTTTTTTTAATTGATATCCGAATACCACCAATCGCCTGAGTCATGACAGCAGATCACACCAACAAAGTAAAGTACTATACACACAGAGTTGATCAACGAAAACAAGCCACCATCCCAGAACCACCATATTAACCACATCCATAAAATAACCCCCTCACTAATTACTCTACCCCAATAAACCAACACCGTTAAACCTTATTGAACCCACAACGCCATTCCACCGGAACGGTCAATCCGACCAGACCGGCCTTGCCACTATCGGACGATCGACCACAACGACACCAAAAAGAGCCATAGTAAGAGTGGCCCGAGCGCTCTCTAGCCTACTCGGGGATTTCCAGAACCAGCATACGGCGGGGAGGAGTACCTCCACTAGGCGTATTGCACTGGAAAATAAAGTGATTACTTTTGCTATGTTTACACAAGGCGCGGCGCTAACGGGACCGGTGTACGCCGTAGTATGGACGGGGGGTTTGGTTTTTAGCATGGGGATCGATCCTTCATAATAACATGGGACTGAATCAGTTGGTTTGGGCTTGCTTGCGCTGGCTGACTAGATGGGTGCTCTATTGAGAAGCTTAATCCTGGATCGTCAACGTACGCGCCGGTGACTATGGAAATGCTGGATAGGATGTCGGAATTGGATTTCCTGGGTGGTGTGTCGATTCGCATAAACTTTACGGTTACTTACTTGGGGTTGGGAGATGGCTGGTTAGTTCGCACAGCAACTGGGCGATTACTCAGTCCTGGGAGACCGAGACCAGCTTCACAACCTCGGATGAAATCTTCAGGAGCGGATATAACTAGCCCAGTCCACTTCAACTGTAACGTTCTTATCAGCCAAGCCCCCCTGTCGCTACTCACAAGCTACGCAACTCTGCACCCTCCCCCTATCTCGGCCGGAGAATCCCAGCTCTTGAACAACACTGAATGAACCGGATATCATGCCTCATAAGTCCCTTGGCTCGTCAGTCAGTCAGTCAGTCCAAGCGTCAAATCCCGGCTAGATGCCTAAACCACGACTCATGAAAGAAATCAGATAGTAACGAAAAATAAAATAAAATAAAAAGCATAATTCGGAGTGAATCCATGACCCGGGACGCTGTATCGCTTGTTCTGAGCCCGTCAATCCCCAGCAGATCATGCCCATCTAGACTATCATACATGCAACTAGTGAATTCATAGACGCCCGGGCCCGAACATCAGCCGACCCGTCAATCTGGAACTGTCCGAAAGAGTGCGTGACAGGTGGCCGGCAGGCAGGCAGACAGGCAGGCCAGCACCTGTCCGTCAGTGCCATAGTGCCTCGTTGCCAAGCGGACCCGACACTCCAGACGAAGTGGGCGTCGTACATGTCCCGGTGGGGATTGAAAAGTGGGAATCCTTGCCCAGCCGGCTGGGCTGCAGGATTCCTCGGTGCATCAGACGGATGGCGTGACGGGATTTGGTCGGCATTTGGATGAGCAGAGAGAATTTGGAATTACTCGTCCTTTGTTTGCGCTTTGTTCTTTTTTCATTTTTTTTTTCTTCGCTTCATAGGTCCATGGGAGAGCATCGGTGATGATCATGATGGTACATATCTACTTCTGCTTTGCTGACTGCACCCCTGTACCAGTTTCCCATCGCTTATGCTGTCAGCCAACATACTCAAAAGTTAATCAGATACCCTGAATGAAAATCCGTACTACCTAGTACGTACGACCATTACAGACAGTACCATACATAACCACCTCTATTAATACCCATCTGTAGGGCTCGAAAGGTACCACCGGAGTTTTCCCGGTACGACCGAGTAGCACCGGAGCGGGCCATTGGCCTGAATCATGCCATACCGAACAAATTAGTTCCAATCCATCTATACAAGTGCACAGGACGGAGGACTTAGTAGGAAGTGACCTTTTCTGGAACCCCTCAATTTAAATGATCTTGACCCAGATCATGTCCGACCGTTATTCCGCGCGGGACCGCTATGGTCCCCCCCCTCCCTCTCTCCCCACTTCCTGGCTCTACTTATCTTCCAGCCTGTCTATCGCTTCAATTAGATAGGTAGAGCCACTTTAGGGTTTGGTTGACAGGTCCAGTGGGGTCTAACGGTTTCTTAAGTTGTGAGAGCTCACCGTGAGCTACCTGTACTCGGGTTAATTCGACCAATAGTAGGTGTGTAGAAAGTAAGGAATACTGGGAGGGATTGTCTGTGTGTCCCCCCCGTTCCAGACCCCGGGGATAATTTTAGAGCAAGTGCGGGACTATCGTTCCGAAACAGTGGGTTTACTTTGGGCCAGACATCCGTTGACAGCTGTGCTTGCGTGTGCCAATTGTTTGGCCTGGTCTTATACGCTACGGAGGTGCAGGATTGGTTACAGGTGTTGGCAGTCATCCTTCCTACTAGTACCTACTGAGACAGGCTATTTTGTGATGGACAGTATTTTCAAACAAGGACCGACACGGAGAGGCTCCCTGGGGCCTGCTCCACTGTATCAAATGGTATTGTAGTCAGAAAAAGAGTGGACGCTAGTCGTGTTGCTGCAGTGAGAAGAGAATTCATGGAAACAGGCCAACACCGCAGAGGTGTGTGAGACCCGTACCCGCGCCCCAATTGCATTCCTAACCAGCGCTGATCGTAAGCTTCAATCGCTCTTCCACCCGTCTCACCACCTCCGGGTCTGGCTCTGGTTTTTGTTTCTTGGGTCTGGGATGAAGTCAGTAAAAAAAGAAAACGCACATCCGTAGTAAAGGGGGTTCCAACGTACGGGTCTCGTATGGTTTCCGGGCCTTTCTCCTGCCCACAATTCGAGCATGTCCTTTCCCCCGACCGGTACATGGTTGAACACAGATGACAGGTGTATCGCACGCGCAGACGCGGTTTCTTCCACGTGCGTGCTGGCGGTTCTGCAGGAGGATCCACATCTCCAGGATAACCATCGGGATACTTGTCCAATTTAGCCCTGGGAGTAGTCAGTACAGATGTCGCTATCATTGGAACCCCGCGGGGTAAGACTGTCACATACGGTTCTCGGGGACACTTCTTGCACCGGGTATGTTTGCAATTCTCGCACTCTGTGGCGTCCGGCGCGAAGGTCGTACAGCAACGGTGGCAAGTGCGACGCACTCTCTGCTTGACTTCTTTGCGGACGAGGTCCTGGCCGCCGGTGCGAGATGGGAGTGTAAGCGGCGGTTCCTTCGCCTTGCGCGGCACACCGGTCGGCTCCTTGCCCTTCTGCGAGAGGATAGTCTGGAGGGCGGACTCGGTCTGATGGTCGTGCGACTTATGCGGCGGGTAGCGGGGACACTTCTTGCAGCGGATATGCTGGCAGTTGGAGCAGAGCTTGTCGATTCCGAAGGTGGTCTGGCAGCGGTGACAGGTGCGGCGAACTCTCATGCGAATCGGCTTGGCCACACGTTGAACCTCAGTGTCGGTCGGCGACCTCCATTCCCCGGGTTCCAGGGTCAACCCATACTTGGCGAACAGCGAACGAGCCTTCTCCTCCTGAATAGCGCCCCAATGCTTGAATACGGTCGGTTCGGGGCCGGATTTGGCGGCAGTATGCTTTGTGGGAGCAGCCGTTGTTTTTGGGGCAGCCGTAGCCTTAGCGGGAGCAGTAGTTTTCGGACTGCGCTCAAGTTAGTGCGCTCATGGGTGCGAAAAAAAAGAAAAAAGAGAGGGGAGGCCGTACGATGCGGACTTGGTCGGCGAAGCTTGTCCACTGGTTTCCTGCGAGTTGGATGCTGATTCGGACTTCGAAGACGAGCTTTTCCTCAGCACCGTTCTCATTCGTTGGAGGTACTTCGCGAAGCCCTCTGGCTTCCCCTCATTGGGCTGTTTCGGGTCCCCTGGGCTGGACATGTTGCTTGGGGGTTTTCCGAGTCGATATGTATATGGTGATGTTTTAGATTTGGTATAATTTTTTGGTGTCGTTTAAATTCGGGAATAACATCGGCAGATAATTCTTTTCTATTCGTATCGATAGTAACTGTATTCGCAATCGTTGGTACTGAGTTTGGTTCTGTCCTTCTATATCCTCCAGGGGCTGCAAGGTTGGCGTATCCCACCTGTGGGGTGAAGGGGGGCAGTAAAATAATAAAAAAAAGTTGAGTGCAAAAAAAAGAGACGAATTGACCAGTCGTCTGCGATATGGAAGGTGATCACCCGTGAAGTCGTGGTGGTTGAAGTTGATGGTTAAGTTTATAGTCAGAGCAGGTCACACAGACGAGTACCGAACCACAGGACTGGGAGACCCAGCGAGACGGTGAGGTAAAACCCAAGGCGCAGGGTCTGCAATGGCAAGGAAGTGGGCTCGCTTGATTGGCCGAGTGGCGGTCAGATCCAGTGGTGGACTGGATCAGTCAAATCCGAGGGAGAGGTCGAAGGTGGCGGCAGGTTAAGTAGTACCTTAACTGTCGATGGGGTACGGTGAACTATATACGTTGTTGTGAAGAAGCGACCAACATCAGGTAGCCAAATCACCGGGAGAAAACAAGAAAAAAAAAAGAAATAATATCAGCGCACCAACAGCGGCGGACCGAACGATAAATAGAAGCCGGATAGGCTTTCTGGGGGAACCGGATGAGCGAGAGAGGGGTGGGTACAGCTCCGTATGGGTTGAGTCTAAAGGGAATGGCCCATGGCTCGCACTTTTTATTTTAATCATTTTATTTTTTATTTTTATTTTCATTTTTATTTTATATTTTCAATATTTCCGACGATATCGTACCAAATTAATAATGGTCAGGATCACTGTTAATGCATATGAAAATCATCAAAAATTCCAGAGCGTCAAAATGACATTCGCCATCTCTCCGTGTATTAACTCGTAGGTACCTAGATCATTACGTACAGTACATCCAAGTAGTCAAATTTTGTAACATCTTCAAATCCAATTCTCTTCATGATTCCCAATACAGGAAGGAATTTTTAAATGAAAGAAAAAGCAAAGAATAATACTCCATAGACTTAAGGTTCGGGGTTGACACATGGATACAAGTACCAAATACCGAGCCGTAAGAATGTAAACAACAGTGAGAAGTAGAAACAATAAAAACACAATCAGGAAAAATAAGAAAAGCTAGGGTAATATTTCCACTTCCCGGGTTGCCGGTTCAATTGGTTGGCTGATCTAATGCCTCCGCCAGTCTGGCGCATAATAAGCTGGCAGGTTGAAGGAATTTTTGTTCAGGTAGCTGCTAGGGAACTCCGTTGGTATGGCCCACCTGTCTACCAGTATCTATGGAATTTAGTAGGCGAACCGAAGCGACGGAGCCATCGTACTAAATCATAGCGCTGTTCCCGCTCGGGAACAATGCCCGAGCCCAGAGTTTGACAGTCAGCCTGAAGGTCCCATTCATGGACTGCCTGGGCATAGGATATGGCGATCGTGAGACATTGGTGAGGGCCTGAGCTGTTGGACTTTGGTCCTTGTGGTTACTAATCCATCTGCCAATTCAACCATGTATGTACTATGTATGTACATACACTGTCCAGAGCGGCGGACCAAGGCCGTGGTTCTGGATATCGGTCAATACGACTGTATGAAATACAGTATTTTATTGTCAGCTAAATCGGCCTTATTTTCCAGAGGACATGCAGATACGAATATTTGCTTGAATCAATCAGTCCATGCCGTTCATCGTCGCCGGACAGGAAATAAGGTTTGTATGGTCATGACCATGAGCAAGATGATCCCTCGTATCATGCCATTGTCCCACTGGAAGGGTTATGGACGCATATACTAGTATTACCCCGTCTTATACTTGAACGCTTTGCGTCCGTCCTCCGCGGAGGATATAGATAGCCGCGGAGGAGGCACATTCGAAATACTCAAGGTCGACAGCACGAGTGGTCTCTTCCAAATGCCTCAACGAAGAGATGATCATATGAGAACTCTGTCTAAATGAAATCGACCATCACAGTGATGGTCCAGGTTGCCAATTAGTAATCCAATCTAGCAAGTGCCCATAGGATACTACGTTACTTGCTCCATACCAATTCAGTCCTCCCCTGACGATAATAGGACTAATAAGACTAACGATTCCTACTGGCAATCGACTCAGTCTGCCGCCGCCGGCCTTTCCCCCGCATTAGTTCCAATCATTCAGCCGACCACGACGAAATTATTAATGGCCCAACTAACTGCACATCACGATACTTCTCATCTTCCCCAAATAGGAAACCGTAGTGGTCTCCCACCGGAAACACCGGCGAGAGTCTTCAGATCACTATCGTCTACCAGAATGATCAACAACCCCCTAGTATTTAACCAGACGGCTTTATTTAGTAACCGAGGGCTTGACAGCGTCCATGCTCAGAGTATAATTCAAAAGGGATACCCTCCCCCCCCCTCTTCCCCCTTTCCCCTATTCCACCTCACCTTATCCCTAGATGCTACGTGCACCGAGTCTTCCATGCCATGCATGTCCTATGCACCTCGACGTAAACATATCGAACACCCCCCCGAGCACCAGCGACGCCGCCACGATCGTACGAACAAGCCCCTCAACAGCCCACGATCACATTAGCGACCGAAACAGGACAAGACTCGCTGCACGATGATGCAAACACGCGCCCCAGGAACCCTTCGCCACGCAAGGACAATTGCTCTCACTTACTAAGGGGGAGGAGGGCGCCATCCCAACGGCGTCTGACAATCATGCAGAACGGTGGCTGCATTCGGGGCCCGGATGTTCCAGTTCCAGCCTTAGTTCTCACTCAACTGGACTACTAAATCGCGCCTTTCCCCCCTCCTCTCCTATGCGCGCACGGCATTCCGTACCGGGAAGGTCGTTAAGAAATTAAGTGGCTCACTAACGTGCAGCGTTCAGGTACTAGAAGCTGTATCGAAGATACTTATGTAGCTAACTAGTAGTCAAATTGTATTGGGTGGGTGGGTGTGTGCTGCTGCTGCTGCAGGTGTCCCGTCCGAGGTCACCCCCATATGCAGGCTGACGAGGGTGTCGGAGAAATTTCTACCCTACGGAATTTTTTCAGGAGTCTTCCTTCCCCACCGGTTTTCCAAGGAATTAAATTGGGGTGATGTTACTTATTATTGCTGATCGTTAATCGGTGGGTTTAATCTATATCGATTGTGTGCCCTATGAATCAGGTTGAGATTGCATGAGTAACTTCCACCAGAAACGGACCTCGGTCCGTAGTTCAACGTTTTTCGCTGCGTGGTTCAGGCGTCTAGACTACTATGGAGTCGAAAAAACGGTAGCAACCACCACGATTCCACACCTCCTCAGCAATCCTCAGCATCTCCACCGGTGGAGTAGTATCCCCCCCCAATCGACACGGTGGTCAGTGCCTGAGAAGGGTGGCCACTGGCCAGGTCACCGGGACCGGTCCAGACAGGGGTATTTTCATGACCGAGCCATGCAGAGAGTGGAGATATCCCCCAATCATATTCATGGATGGTGAGTCTGGCTGACAATGAACAATGGCAAAGGACTAAGTTACCAACTTCTGTCCCGGAAAGTTCTGGGTTGGCAGCAGCACGACCAGGTGTCAAGCGTTAAGGCCTCTCAAACCTAGCTGAGTCCTTAGTCCCGGCTCAAAATCTCCACTGTGGAGCGGCACGTACGAAGCTAGTAATGGATTTGGCTTTCTGCTAAATCGTGGTTCCATGTGTATCATTCATGCAATCGGATTAGGTATTGGTTTGTTTTTATACGCTGCATCTATAAACGTCCATACTGCGATTCCCGATGAATTTGTAGTACATCCTGGGTTTGTATAGTATTCGACTCTATTAAGAAGTCTACTTGTCATCCCTCCCAAATGAACTGTTTCCTGATTACGTTGTGCTGCTCTCCCACCGAGATTATTGTGGAAAGTGTATGTCAAATGGATCCACGGCACAGCTTCAAACACAAACACACGTGCTCCAATGGAAAATCATTGTGCTCACGGCCTCATGCTGAATATCCCCTCAATATATCTCACTAGGCGGACGGTCTTATATTGTTGACCGAACTATGCAGTGCTGATGACCCAAAACAACGCATGAGTTGTGGTCTAAGTTCGATCGTGATGCGCGATCTCGCCGTCGTATTCATGCCGACCTCATTGAGCTTGAAAAAGGGGCCAGAAGACATCTCTTGAATACGCACTAAACTTACAAGCGGGACCAAAGCATTCTCAATGCAAGCCCTTGCATTCGAAAGCTGTGATGCCTTTAGGTTTGTGTATACATACTCGCAGAAACCGGGCGTAATGGGGCACACGAGACCGGCAAGAGATAAATAACACGCTTCCAAAACTTGGCGTGCCCTACGGATATATACCCGCAAGGCCAGTCGATATGCTTGATGAACAGCAAATGCTTGACTGCAAATCCCAGATGTTGGAAACCAGTATGTATGAAAAAGCCAGTCATCCAGCTCCTCGATATTGTATAACCATGCGACTATAATGGGTGTGCTGAGCCGCACGAGCGCTCCAGAAAAGATGTACCATTAACCAAGGTCTAGGAAGGAGCGAATGAACTTGAGCTTGACCGAGATGGCTTCAATCGTGCCTAGCTAGATTTTTGTCTGATATTAGCTACATGAGAGACCACATGCGAAACTTGCGTGTTATGAAAGTGTAATATATCAACAATGAGTATGGATGAGATCGTACCGTGCCCTATCAGCTCCAGCTCCCGCTGTCGGGGTATAGCACGACCCTGAGCCTGCTACTAGTAACATCACAATATATATCAAAAAGTAAACAGTGTCAAGTGCATAACGCCGACCGTAGATAGAAGCGCCAATGTCATGAACTAATTTGCCAAAGAAAACCGTCTATCCAAGATGAGCCTTCGAGCTCAGTCCTCACTCTGCAGTTTCGATTCAATGGAGATAATGTCATCCTCTTCCTCAACTTCAATCACGCGATTGACTTGTGCGGTGTTGCGCATCAATTCAACGGCGCCAGCGTACATCATTCGCGAATTTGGGTTGCAGTTTTCTGGGAGCCAGTAGAGAAGGACGTAAGGAACCGAGGGACGACCGGATTTCTGCCGTTGACCGGTCAATAAGAGTGGAAGGGAGACTTGTGGTATGATCACTCACCAGAGTTAAAGGATAGCTCAGGAGAATGAAACGGGGCGATGAGTCAGGGAGCTCGTCGGCCACATCTGTCATCTTCGTGTACACTTCGCCATTTTCAGGACGAATCTCTTGGCTCTTTTGGTCGATGATGTCTAGTAGGTTGACCGTCAACTTATTATACACTTGGCATCGGCGGCGTAACGGTCGGCGTGAGAGAAGGTGAGCCTTACATATTATAGCTTGAGGATCCTTTGCTCTAGAAGTTCCCAGACGAAACTTGCGCAGTTTCTCCTTTGTCTCCGGAGAGAACGCATATAACCGAGATTCAGAAGCCTGTCTCCCCGAGATATCGTCAGGGGCGCAACGTTTACGAGGGGGGAATGCGGGGCAGTCTCACCATGTTGTAAATGCCTCGTCCGGATCCAAGCCAATTATAGTCGCTCGGTTTCCGAAGGATCTGAAAGAACAGGAAGTCTTCTAATTTCCTCGATTTAGATCAGGAATTCCAGCGCAAAATAGCACAAAAGGAGAAATGAGCAACGGTTACTAGGTGGTGCTCCACGTTTCTGCGGAAAGTGGGATGAGGCGGAAAGGGAGTTTTTCCCCACTCCACCTCCAAAAGCCGTCATTTAGTCGCCCTGAAACGTTGCCTGAGGTTGTGTCTCAACCCCCATCTAGTGTCCTTTCCTCTTTCTCACCACCACCACCACCTCCTCCTCCTCCATTCGCGCTTCTCTCCCTCCATGTTCAGCCGTCTCAGTCAGTTGACCCGCCACCTCGCTCGACCATCACTCAATTACACTTCCACCTCTCCGGTCGCTCTGCCGCCCTTATCGATTCCTCAAACTCGTGCCTCCAACATGACATCATCCGCGGTGCATAACTACACGAAAACGATACACACGGCAGCATGCCTGATTATTGGTGATGAGGTGCTTGGCGGAAAGGTGTGTATTAATTGAATGGAATCGGCTAGTCAGCTCTGATAACCGGCCTATCTACTACCATTTATGCCCGACCCTCCCTTTCTCCCTTGCCGTGTGTTGCACCGAGGTCATGTGCCTGTTCCCGAATGAGTGACTGATAGTTGGAGCCCAAACTCTCAGACAATTGACACCAATTCCGCATATTTCGCCAAGTATTGCTTCTCCCTTGGGATTCAGCTCAAGAGGGTAGAAGTCATTGCCGATGACGACAGTGAAATTATTGAGGCCGTCAGGCGCATGAGTAACAACTATGATTTTGTGGTGACCAGTGGAGGCATTGGACCGACGTCCGTATACCCTATTCTTTTCTCTCGAAAGACTCCACAGTTCCCAAGACCGTCGTGCTATATCGGAAGCTAACTATACGCCCCTTGGCAAAAAGCCACGATGATATTACGTATGAATCCATAGCCAAGGCATTCGGTCTGAAGTTGAAACTACACCAAGGCGCTTTTGAGCGTATGAAGAAGCTCTCCAAGCCTCACCCAATGCAACCGCAATTTGACTGGGATACCCCGTCCCCCGGTCTAACAGCCAAGCTGCGTATGGTTGAACTTCCCCACGATGATACTCTGTCGGAGGAGCAGCAGGCTACCTTCGTGGCAGATGATATGTGGGTGCCAATCGCCATCGTCAACGGTAATGTGCATATCTTGCCAGGCGTTCCTCGCCTATTCGAGAAGCTCCTTGAGCATCTGAAGCCTACTCTGCTTCCTCGGTTAACCGACCCTGAGGGCAAAGGCATTTATCGCTACTTATTCAGCACCCCCCTCCCCGAGAGTGCTGTGGCGCCGTACCTGACGGACCTTGCAACGCGGACATCTTCACGAGGAATCAAGGTTGGTAGTTATCCCCGCTGGGGAAAGAAGCGTAACACCGTAACTTTGGTTGGAACCGACAAAGATTTCATGGACTCGTTGGTCTCGGAGGTCGAGCAGAATGTCCAGGGCACAAGAGTCTCGCAGGAAGATGAGCTTGACCCCCCTTCTGATGCAGAGGAAGGTAAATAAGGAAACGGCCGGTGATGCCGATGTACATAGATTTGATGCAACTGTCGATACACGCTTAGACATTAGCCGCGCTCGAAGCATATAACTTGAGCAACTGCACGCAAGAGTTTGGATGTCTGTCTAGTAGTCGGATTGTCACTTCATGCTGCTGGCGGTTAGATAAACCCGTTCAACCAAACAAGTTATAAGCGAGAACAGAAAATTGATGTCCGGGAGATCAAACCGATGAAGTTGAGGAAGCACTACGTCCCTATAGAAACCCAATCCCGTGTTGCGCTGGAAGTATCAAACAGGATCATATTTCCCATATCCAAAAAAGTGCTCCGACTAAGCATACAGAAGCCTATTTGCATCCACCCAAAAATTCCGAAGCAAGATTTACCAATATTTTCATTGAATGGGAAAAACCAGGTTATTAAAGGAAAGGAACAGAGAAGATGGGATGAACTATCTTCAGTGCATGTCTTGGCGGAAACTGGTAATAAACAGCAGAACCGCAAAAGAAGTCAAGGATAGACAACCGCAAGATTCAGCGCTGAAGTCCCAGACTATTGCAAGCCCCGATATATTGGTTGCTGGCGACCTGGAGAAAGTGTTCGGACAGCTCATGTCCTTGCGCGAGATATGTTCGAGAGATAAGCAAAGTGCCACACCAATGCCCAAGCGATGAAAGGAAAAGAATAGAACAACGCAAAACGGGGATGTTGCCCCTGCAGAAGATCGCAGACTAAGGGCAATGATGATGAAAGGACGACCAAAGATGATTTTGCAGTTCAACGTAACCAGAATGAAAACCATGACAATAACATGTACCTATATAAATTGCACAGATCTACTGACAGGGTTAATTCCTCGTTCTACCCAAGAACGAGATCGTCAAGAACAGTCTTTCCAAAAAAAAAAAAAAAAAATAAACAAACAAAGAAACAAAGGGGGAATCGAACGTTCATGGAGATGATGACGGCATCATGGAGCAGGCATCACATCCGATAGCGAGTCTCGTATGGTATAAATTTCACAATCCAAAAAGCGTCGACAAGCCAAAATTAGCTCCGAGGCCGTGGCGCTATTCCTGTCGCCAATATCTCGTTTCCAGTCGAATTTTATTATATGTTTTGCTTCCTTCCGTGTCTCGACTCGTGTGCTTGTATCCTTTTCAACTCCAGCGCCTACCCAATTACATTATAATACACTTTCCGCAGCAACCAGCGCTGTCGCCTGGCTCGCTCACGTCCATTTTGCCCTCTGGGGCGCGATTGCCGAAGGCTCCCGAGCCTGACGGGTACGACGACATTTCTTTGTTGTACCGACGAATCTCACGGACGAGGTCGTAAAATGCGTTTTCGACATTGATGCGAGACTTCGCGGATGTTTCAATAAATTTGCAGCCAAACTGTCTTGCTAGAGCTTCACCCTCTGTTGATAGTCACATCCATCAGTCACAGTCATTACAGCGAGAGAGAGAGAGAGCTGACTAGCTCGTTACCCACCTTCTACTGTGACGGCTCGCTCCTTCTCTAGATCGCATTTATTACCGACCACGATGATAGGGAAATAATCCTTGTCCTTGACTCGTAAAATTTGTTGCTGGAATGTCATAATTTCTTCAAAGGACTGGCGTGACGTTATGGAGTAAACGAGAAGGAACCCTTCACCGGTTCGCATGTATTGTTCACGCATTGCCGAGTATTCCTCCTGTCCTGCCGTATCTAGGACATCCAACAGAGCGACCTCCTCGTCGATAACACACTGCTTGCGGTATGAATCTGTTTACCGGAATCCGATGAGTAACCGGAGGGCAGAGGAATTTTCGATGGGGAGGCGACTCACCTTCGATTGTCGGGTCATATTCATCGACGAAGTGACTCTGAATCAGTTGAATAGTCAAGCATGACTTTCCGACACCACCACCACCAACAACTACCAATTTGTATTCTCGTAGGAACTAGAGTTCGTCCAAGGGTGAGTAACTTAACTTGCGCCATGTTCTGAAAGGGGCATGATGGAATCGGGATTCGCAGTTGAGCAAGGGGAGAGAGAGGGAGACGGGTGCCAGGGCCGGTGCGTCGGGGAGAACAAGCTTACCTTTGAAGCCATTCTAGAGTCTTCTATCCGGATGTGTGTCTGATAGGAAGGATGAAAGGTGCGCGAAGGCGATGATCGAAGCTATCCCGACGGGCGTAGTGACAGCGGGTCGAGAGAGCGGTAGCACAATTTTCTTTTTTGCAGCAGGGTCAAGAGTCGGGGCCCAGCTTGTCGGGAGTTTCGCGCAGAACAGAGGCGCCTAAAAGACAAGTCCACAGCAACGGCGGGTCTAGTGAGTCGACTAGGCCAAGCTTAAAGGCGGATGGGGGTTGAGAGGATCAGGGGGGCAGGAGTTCGTGGAACTTCGAGAAATCGGCGGGAATTGAATGCGAGGCGGCAGGCCGTTTTCCCTTTCGCTGTTACGGAGCAGAAACCCGACTTCTCTTCTAGTATTTCCAAACTAAGAAACTAAGCCAAAAACACAATCAAACCGTTGCTCCTTTTGGAGAGGGTTTTAGGGGAAAGAGATGAGGTGGAGATTGGGAGGGGGGAAGGGGGAATGATGATTAAGGAGAGTTTAACGTGAGCAACGGAGGTGGGGGATTAATTGAAGGATAGGGCCAAAAGAGAAGCAGAAGAAGCAGAAGAAGAAAAGTGAAAAAGAAATAAAAAAAAAAGAAAAGAAAAAGAAAAAGAAAAATTCCTAACACAGATAAAGCAACATACCGTTTTGGTTACTCGAGACGATTCTGTTAGAGTGAATTACTCTAGGGTTCCTTTTTCAGGGAGAGCGGTGGTCAAAATGAGTACCGATTGGAGAATAATAACAACAATCAATAAAAAAGATTCATGAAAGGGGGCCTTTTCCTTTCTCTTTTTCTTCTTTTCTTTTTCTTTCTTGGTTTTGGGGAAAG